TTTGATAATCTTCCACCTGTAACTTCTTGTCCTGTCCTCAGGTGCTTTGGAGAATAGGTCAACTCCCTCTTCTCTCTGACAGTCCCTCAAGTCTCAAGCCCTCTAGCAATCATCCATTGTATGGTTTAGCCTCCAGAACCCTTATCAATATTGTTGCTTTTAACCAGAACTGAATGTAGTACTCCAAGTGTGGTCTTACCAGATCAGTATAAAGTGCTTCTATTACTTCACATGATCTTGATACTATCCCTCAGTTGATCCAGCCTAGGAATGAATTGGCTTTTTTTGGCAGCTGCAATATACTACTGGCTTAAATTTAAGTGGTTGTCCACTAGGACACCTAGATCCCTTTCGGTCACTACTTTTGAGCTATGTAGCATCTATTTTACACCTGTGCATTTAGTCTGCAACTAGTCTATTTGCTTAAATAGTTAATGGGCCAGGTTAGAGTGTCATGTGAAAAGTTATATCCAGTCAGTTCTGGGATTAGAACAGAACAGAATAATAGAGTTGGAAGGGACCTTGGAGGTCTTCTAGTCCAACCCCTTGCTCAATCAGGAGACCCTCTACCATTCCAGACAAGTGGTTGTCCAATCTCTTCTTAAAAGCCCCCAGTGATGGAGTACCCACAACATCTGAAGGAAAGCCATTTCTCCTGTTAAAGAAAGTTAGTTTAACTCAAAGAATTCATTGGAACCAGACCTAGCCAGCCATGATGTGTGAGAGATGGTTCCTTGCCTCAAAAGGGCTTATCTAGGAATTGCAACTCTGAACTTTTTACTGTCTCAACTGGATTGTTTTAAAGAGGATTTTGGTGGCATTGAGCCTCCACTAATTCTAACCATAGCAACTCTGACCTTGATCAGATCTGAGCAAATTTCTTATACAGGGAAGAAATTAAAAATGAAATGACAGCCACTTCTGTCATTTGGCTGCTCCCCATTTCACTAGGGCATATTTGGTCATCTTGCAGAGATAAACTCGGAGATACCAGAAGACTACATCCTTCCGCTGTGTGAGGACAGCCTCCAAATAATGGAACTAGGTAAACTTCCAGCAGGGTTTCTTGCCTGGTTATGGGTTCCCAAAATTGATGATCTGGTATGCCATTTATTTTTCATACAAACCTATCACTAGTAGAGAATAAGTGAAAGGAAAAAAATCAGTGTCCTTTGCCAGTTTAGTTATCAGGAAAAAAAGATGCTTACTGTACTTAGCCCTTCTGCAGAAAATAAATACACATTCATTTTCTAACATCTTTTCTTTTTTTCAATACCCCAAAATCTCAGCACAAATAAATAACAAAAACACAGATTACTCTTTCCCAGAAGAAAGAGTTCCTTACCTGAGAGAATGGTCCTGCTATGGTCTCACTCCGAGCAGGGGTTGCTTTAAAAGTCAACTTAATTGGCTGGTGCTGCTGATACATTCTTACAGTTATGCCGGCAGCAATCACTATGAAGGTACAGTACCTTAAAACTAAACATTAGGCCCGCCCATTTGGATTGCAGAAGAGAAATAGGGATCCCAGCCCATTTTCTCCTACTTCAATAGATGGGAAAGCCTGCTAAATAATAGCTTGTTGCCTTGAGGAATGAGGTTGTGAAAGAGAATTTGGTCTGTTTCTTTCTTACTTTTCTGTATTATGGAGAAACATATGTAGGTACTTTGGAAGGATCCTTATTAACTAAATAAACCCCACCACATGTTGCATTTATGCTTTTGTGATTAGATTTGTGGAAATCAAATTTATGAATAACTCCTCAACTTCCCTATGTGTGTTTAATTCTTTCTCTCCTCTGCATTTGTACCCCACTCCATGTATACCTCTGTGACTGAAGAGATGCTTATAGCACCAAATGTTTTATGACTGTCAATTGTAATTTAAGAGAAATTTCTCTACTAAATCCCAACTGAAAAAAAAAATTGGGTTGCTCCCAAACCATGACACGGAATGCAACCTACTTGCCTGGGAGGACATTCTATCATGCTTCCTCATTTGCACTTGAAAGTGGAAATTAAAGCTGAGCTAGATAAGAATAAGAACACTCTTATTAATAAATAATGGTGAAACCTGAAAATATTATATACAAGTTCTAAAAGGCAAAATAAAATTGTTGACTAACTTGTTGACTATGTCACATTTACCTTTATGTAAATTTATTTATTTATTGGTTTGATTTATATGCCGCCCTTCTCCGGAGACTCAGGGCGGCTTACAATGCGTTAAGCAATAGCCTTCATACTTTTGTATATACCTGCTTAGTAGGGCTTTCAGCCCCCCCCAAGCGGTGTTCTTTTTTATATAAAGTCAGCTTATTGCCCCCACAAACTGGGTCCTCATTTTACCTACCTTGAAAGGATGGAAGGCTGAGTCAACCTTGAGCCTGGTGAGATCTGAACTTCCAGTAATTGCAGACAGCTGGTGCTACTTTAACAGCACTTAGTCAGCTGCGCCACCAAGACTCTATTTATTTTACAATCTCTGCTTTTTCAGGAGGCAACTGGACTTTCTTGTTTTTTCTTTTGAAGATGTTTTTCTTCTCATTCAAGAAGCTTCTTCAGCTCTGACAGGACAGAATCCTTCCATTCCCCACTGTCCTGTGGGGAAAAGACAAGAAAGTCCAGTTACCTCCTGAAAAAGCATCTTTGGGATTACAACCGATTGCTTAGCAACTATTTGAAGTTACAACAGACGGTTCATATGTTACTTATGCTGCTGTTTCGAGGCTAAAGCCGCTGCAGCATCCCTGCAATCATTCACTCTTATGAGTGAATAATGCTATAGCGTCCCTTCCCTACCTCCCCATCCCACCCCAAATCTCTGCAAACCTTGGACCTCCTCCCCAGAGCTTTCCACAGCACTACGCAGGGTGTGTTAGAGAAGCAGAATGGATCACTTTATATGCTGGGGCACGTGGCCATATCACAGAAGCAGCTGCCATTTCAGTGTGGCCAAAAGGAAATGTGATTGTGCTGAAATTGTGGTTACGTGACTCAGGGTCACTGACATGCCCTCCTTCCCCAATGTGAGGTCGGGAGCTCCAGAGACCTTTAAGCGTGTGATGGATATTGGGGGAGTAGGTAGGTGGCCCAAGCTCTTCAGGGACGGTGCAGGGGGAGGTCTGTGGGGAGCAAATCCAAGGGATGTGGGAAGCCTGAGGGGTGGTAAGCAGAGCACAGGGGGTTTCAGGGGGTAGGGGATGCCTTGGGAAGTCCAATGCAGACAGACCTGGACCTGTGCTAAGCCTTCCTGAGGCCTCCCATGCTCTCTTTAATCACACACAGGGTTATTTAATGACTGGATCAGGGAGACCAGGGGGTGAAGTCTGGTAATGGGCAGTCTCCATTGAGGACTACCTGTAGTATGTCAGCTGCAAAATAATAAACTATTAAATGATAATAACTGTACTATTTAAGTTATCTAACAGCTGATCTGGGATAATGAAATCAGCTGCAAGGAAGCTACACTATAGAAAGATAAGTCATTTCTAAACAGACCTGCTGATCTATCTAGCTTATCTTCCATTTGGCCACATGCAGAAAGACATGAGATGAACTGTGAAAAGGGGAAATGCAGGTCTTTGGAGAACAAAGAGTAAACAGATAACCTGTTTTGTGACTAAAACTTTGTCACTGCCCAGATGGAAAACAGGTTTCATGATATGAGTAATTTATAAATGTTTCTTCACAGCATCCATGGAAAAGCCATGGCGTAAATCATTTCTCAGTGTTGGCAATATGTGAATTCCTTAAAAAATAAAATAAAATAGTAATAACATGATGGTAGTATCTTCAAGGGAGGGTCAAAATAGGCAAGATGGCAACACAGCATTGCAAACCTTTTGACAATGTCATATATGTGTACAAATTGGGAGACCTTGGACTGAGATATATGCCTAAAATTTTGCCTGTTTTGAAGCTTCTCAGTGGGTCCCCATGGTTGTATTGATGGCCTCAAAGGGAATATGGGCGGGAAAACATGTCAGGAACTACTTATAATGACTATGTTTTATCACCCAAGTTAGAAGTAATATGAGAGGTCCTTGGTGCTCTCTGAGCTTGGTTATTTTCTTGCAGACATTTCATTACCCAAGCTAGGTAACATCATCAATACTAGTACTGGACTAGGACTAACAGTGATGATGTTAGTTTGTGTAATAAAATGTCTGCAAGAAAACAAACAAGCTCAGAGAGAACCAAGGACCCCTCATTTCAACTCTGAGCTACAAATATTCTCCTTCATTGGTAGCAGTAATATGACTATGAATAACAGATACTAAGAAATAATAGTAGAAGTGGACAATTTTCCTCCAGCCCTCTACATATGATTCCTAGAAGCTTTGACTGACCGTTGTGCAAAGCAAGGTATTGGATTTGATAAGACAGTTTTTTAAACAGGATTACCATCTTTGCACTCACAAACAATGATTTATATTTCCTTCCCGTCATCTTTGGTGTCATATATAATTCTCCAACTTCATATTGCGACACTGGACTAAATTGTGAAAGATTGACATGACTGCACCCACGTGAAAACAATTTATTGAAGGGAGAGGTTTGAGATACTAGACAAGATTCAAAACACGTAAATTAATTACTGCTTACAGTGTTTCCCATTTTAACCGGAAGTATTTTACAAACTAAAACTTTTTTAAAATGAAAATGTGTGTTTAGTCACAGTAATTGGAGCTCCCTCAACCTTTATAGACCATAGTAGGAATTAATAAATATACTAAAGTAATAGCACATGATATATTTCAATTTTATCCTGCCTATTAAGGCAATTTTGTGTGAAATTACTTGAGCTGTACAAACATAAGATCTCAAAATTATTTACCCTATTTTCAGTCAAAAAAAGCAGTGGGTGGTATTTTGAAAGGAAGAAAAAAAATGGCAACTTTTCTTCTTGAAAACCTAACAATTTAATTATCACACCTGATGTGGCTTCTCCCTATGTTGCCCTTCCCCCACCACCCCCAAACAAATATTGAAAATTCTGTTTTCCTTGGAAATGTGTTTATGATTTAGCACACTTGATCAAACCGAGTTTGGAGGTAATGTAATATCATTAAAGGACAATGTTAACAAAAACTATTTTTCAGAACAGACCAAAACACCCAATAAGCCCCAAATCAGTCCCACCCCACTATGGGATTTTTCCCTTGTATCTTTTATCTAATTCTCACAATTTAAATTCATTTGACATTTCCAGAATAATGTTTTCCTACCCCGAATCTTTTCTTCTTTCACAATACCTTAATTATCCATCCCAATATTTCAGATTAAATGAAGTTGCTTTTCTTCTTCTCTGTCAAGAACTGGCAGTTCTTGCTCCTCTTGCCATGCAAGTTTTAAAGCTTATTTTACACTGATATAATATTGGGGTATATTAATCCCCCAACCTCTTCTGCTCATGTTGCTTAGATAATACCAACCTCTTTGGAGGCCCAAGGGCCCAGTTCCCTCTTAAATTATAGCTTCCAGTTGCAACTTTTTTTCTGCTTAGTTTATTTATTGAGAACAAAGGGAAAAGAGTAATGCTATCATATTGTTTTTATCTTTCATAGATTTTTAAAAAAATATTTGTAAACTGGTCAAAGAATATTGGCTACTAGAAATACATAATATGCTTATTATATTTATTACATAATAAATTAGAGATATAATAACCTATAGTCACAGCAATAACAATCCAAATAATAGTATCAAGAATAATAAGGGTCTAACATACACATGAAGGAAACAAACATTACAATTGTGATTCATATCACTCAAGGCACATTTTGTTTGATGTCTTAAAGAAATGACTGTTCAATGAATATTCCTGGGAAAACTTTCTAAAATTCAGATGCTACTATACAGATTAAATGCTCCCAAGATCTACTAATATAATGCCATAACCAAAATATATTATGATCTTAAAGTATAGTAAACTGACATAGCCATTAATGATAAATTAGACCAAGGAAATTGCAACAGCTGGTTCAGCAGTCTTCCACTCATATTTGAAACGATGTCTATTTCGTCTGAGGCTTTTTTCTCTCTATTGCTCTTTGTAAAGCTTGAAGGATTGAGTTTTTGTTATTCTGAATGTTGTAACTAGTTAGCTCTATTAACTTATCAAAATTTTCCTCGGAGTATTGAAAGTTTAGTATTCCATATGGAGAAAGAGGACTAGTTACATCAACTTCACCTTGCTTCAGTTCAGTGGGAGCACGTTTCATACCTGCAAAACACAATTTACCATTAAATGTATTATTTGCTCAAAATCTGCAAAACAAAGTCAGTATCTTTTTATTAGTGCTGCTATCCCTATTACAGAAGCAAGTCTGTTATGGTTGTCGACCACAAGAGTTGATCTGATCTAAACCTTCTGCTTCTGGATTATATCAGGGATGAGGAACCTGTGACTTTCTGAATTACAGCTTCCACCATACAGTATTTCAACATTAGCCATACTTGCGTAGTAAAAAAACCAAATCACAAAATATACACATTCATCAATTCCAAATAGAAGTTGTAGCTGAGTTGAGTTTGGAAATATCTCAAGCGCCACAAATTGCACCCACTGGAATAGAATAACTTTGGCTCCACTATCCATCCATTATAGTAGAATGGCAGGAGTGCTGAGGCCTCTGCTGCCATTCAGCTGTCAAGCTGCAAAGCATATATTTCCCTAAGTTCAGCTTTTGCATTATTAGGGTGCTATTCCATCCCACAAACAAACAGGAACTTCCATTCTTCCTAACTTCCTGTTTGTCGTGGGATGGAGTAGCACCATAATGATGCAAAGGCTGAAGACCAGAACAAGTCATAATGAATGTTGGAGAGGAAGGAAAGGCATGCATTTCAAAGGCATGATAATGCCCATAATATCAGATCTATTTAACATAAGAAACTTAATTTTGAAGGGTGATGGGGTGGCAGCCTTTGAATGTTATGTTAGGGATTGCATTCAAGAAGTAGAAAAAGCCAGGAGAATATCTATTGGACAAAAATTATGTAATAATTTAATTTAATTTAATTTAATTTAACAATTTTGCTCCACTGTCATATTAAGCAGTACAATTTGGGGACAAATTTCCCAAGGTTCCTTTGGACCAAACCCAGAATTGTAAGTCCATATATGTCCCTGGGATTCCAGACTATACACCACTAACTTAATATAACTGAAAGAGTTTAAAGATATCTTTAATATCTTCTTGACTACTCCAAGGTTGTATAACTGACAAGAAGCTTCTTGGATGAGTAGCAAAACATCATCAGGGATAAACCAAAGTCCAGTAGCCATTTGAAAATCACCTTTGGGACAACTAGCAAGGTATTTTTTAAATAAAGAGTTATCTAAAGTTAGAAAATGAAGGGTAACTTAGTAGGAGGATTATAAGTAATGATGATAGGCTTGTGTAAACTTCCAAATTTACTGATTTATAATAGCACAAGTGTAGTAGAGGGTTTAGTTCACCAAATGTGAATATTCACCTGTGGGAAAAATGGTTAGGTCTGTTAAGGAAACAAGCAACTTACCTGGTGCTTTGTATTTCTTGAAGGTATCATTTATTAGTGGGAAAAAAACCACAATAGGTGCTTTGGAATCTGTAGTATCTTCAAAAACATAACACTCCTTCAGATTCTTTTCTCTACTCAGATCTATTTTGGGGAATGGAATCCCTTGCTTTGTAAAGTATCTGGAGGCTTCGTTTAAAGGCTAGATTATGACAGGACAAAGGAAATAATAGCAATAATAAGAATAATAAGTTGTGGTAATGATTATCATATTTCTTTCTTGATTGATTCATCTTATTTCTTGATCTTTTACTCCAATTCATTTCTACCTAGGAAATCAAGGGAAGGTGTAGGAGATGACTAGTTTGAGGCCAAGGGAGGGATCAAGTGCATTATCAGTGTGGAGTCCCTTTGTGCCCACAAGAGATCTAGGTCCATCCATCCTTAAATTCCATTGACTCTTATCTACCACCAATTTGGCTTGACCATTAGCAGTACAGATTCTTGTTTAGAGATAGCATGGAATAATCCTGTATTCATTTGAACAACCCTGGTTCCTGATTTCTTATACCTGCCAGAAGACTTTATAAGGATCTATTAGTTAAGGATAATCTCTCTTGGCACACAATTCAACTTATCTGTGCACAAAGAATGTGTCTGTGTAAATGAACATGGTTCCACTGAGCCTGTATAATGGTATATAGGAATGGCCTTGGGAGATATGGTAACAAGACACAACTGAGGGAACAGTTGCATAAAAGGCAGCTTAGCCTACAGCAGGAATGTGGGCAGAGCAAGTGGCTCAAAAGAGATCCTCCTAGTTTTAGGGCAGGAAAGGGAATGGGGAAAAGAAGTATTTTCAGACTTGCAAGATTGATGTTAGCTTTACGAGGTAGATCAGAAAAAAAATAAGACCAGATGAGCTAATTCTACTTTACTGTAAGCTAATTCTGTTATTGTAATTAACAGAATCATGCCTGTGTCTGTGTCTTGTCTATATTATTCCTACATACCATTAAAGCCTGTGAGGATCTTCTGTGAAAATAATCTGTGTCTTGATTTAGACTGGATTCTGAATTTGGTTGTTACAATGTTCAAATTGCTTTTCATACATCACCTAAGTAATGCACAAGAGAACTTCATTGGCCCCTTTAGGCAAAAATGGAAGAATATTTATTTGCTTGGGATATTTAGGCTGTATATTTACCCAGAAGTAGACTATTGTTCCTGAATAACCTGAATCTTGTAATCAGAACTGATCAGTACTGGCTGTGCGTAGATGGAGTCTCAGGATTTCTTGCATTTAAGATTTACTTAAGTATAGGGTGGCACTGGAACAACTTCCTATGATTTCCCAACTTTCTGTGCTCCATAACTTAGCTTTGTGTGCTTCAAGCATAACAGCTTCTTAAGAGACTTTGGTATTTTCACTGGATTGTGTTTCGCTCACTTAAAGATGACCATCAATAAAAACCTGTATATTTGGAACTTGCACTACACACTAGGATTAGCATCTAAGCTATTGACTTCAACAGTGAATGTCCTTGCTAATTTTTAGCTCTGGACTGTTAACCAGTTTACCAAAATGGTAATTGGTAATTGACCAATTGTTTGGCCAGACAAATTGGGTAGAGAAGACATTGATATGGAAGTAAGAGAAAATCCTTTTCTACCCAGTTTTGTGACCTCCACAAATAATCTCCAAGACCTATAAAGAAGGTTTTCTTGCTGCCAGTACTACAATAACAGTGTTTAATATGAGTGAAAATGCAATCATGTATGTTTATCGCCAGGGGGAATGAGACAATCCTTTTAAGCTCATTTAATGCTAGCATTCTCAGACAAAGCAAAAGCACATACTGTATATGGACATGCACGCGACCTCTCAGAATTCAGATTAACATATTAACAGAGTTGGAAGGGATCTCCAACCCTAGATGTAGGCCATCTAGTCCAACCCCCCACCCAAGCAGACCCTACTCTATTCTTTTCTGTAGAATTCTGTAAGTGTAAAACACAAACTAATGACACAAAAACAACACTTAATTGTAAATCATCTCACTGCTGTTTGTGAGCCTGAAGAATAATTCAAATGTATAATGACATCCGCTTTTCTCTCTGGTCTCATCAGTGGTGCATAGCTGGTGTCTATAAAGGCAGCTGTATCTACAAGGTTCAGATATTCCAATGGAGTCATCAACTGGTTAGGAAAAGTGTCCAGTACAGTATCTGAAAGGCAAATTTTTTTATTAGCAGCTCATAGCTTCAAAAAGTAGTTTGCTTTTTGCTTTGATTCAACTTCTAATTTTCTTTAGGACATGTGGCACATCACATTTCCACATTCATAAAACCACATTCATAAAAGTATGGAATGTTACTTGAAACAGCTTGTTATCTGTTTATAGCTGATGTAAGAGAAATCTTCTCTCTATAACTAAATGTTCTTTTCGAAGCACTGTTGCACTGAAAATTGCCAATGTGAAATAAGAATGAAGTAGCAACCAAGGAGCATCTAACCCTAACCAGTTTGAAACAAGGAAGCAATTGATTCACTGCCAATATATTTGCTTTAATAAATAAGAGAAAGAAAAAGAAGGTAAGAAAAAAGGGGGGAGAGGGCAACTAAAAACCGAAAATAAAGAGAACAACAAAACACATGCTTCATTCAGTCTAATTTTTGCACTGATCATTAAACCTTGACTACATGGAATGATATTGACCAGTATTTCCATAATATTGAGAGATTGTCAGCACATAAAGTGAATACATTTCAGGAATTCAGATTTAAACCATATTGATCTTTGTAATAGTATATTAATAAATATGTGGAAATTAAACAAAAATGGGCAAAAGCAGACAAATCAATATCACCCACATTATACTTTCAACATAATAAAGTTAATCCCCTGTGGTATCCAGTATATGTGAAAAAGAATATTTCATTAAATTAGTCTCAAACTACAGTTAAAATTTCTTTAAAAACTTACCCAACGATATGTGATTTCGCAACACTTATTCTTCAGTTCTTGTAAATACCCTTAGCAATATTGTTTTATTGCTCATTTAAAATATTGTGGAATTAGAATTATTCAAATCACATTCTAATAATGTAGCTGTGAACTCATGAGACTCTTTGCTATTTTGGACTTTGAGTGCTACATTTTAGTGGCTAAGTTCACATCTTAGTGTGCAAAGATGTTAATATACAGTATTTTGTTTGGTTTGGGGAATCCAGCCATCATAGTTCATTTGACAATTGCTATTTTCAAGGGAGAGATATGTCCAATTTTAGACATCTTACTAACTATTTTTTAGCATTAACGCTTGCAGTTTTTAAAATCAGGTCATCATCTTAATGAACAAACTGATACAAATTTTCGTAGCATTGACCATGTACCTTTCCATATATAAAAATTTTTATTCTCTAGATATCCATTGTTTAATTGGAATCCATTTAAGAAACTGTAGACCTCTGATGTTGATACACGCTCTGTTATGACTTCGCGAAGTAACTTCATAGTCTTATGTGTAGGCATGACCAGGTAAGTATTCACTGCTTCTGCTACTGGTGGCAGAGGTGGTTTTTCTCCTGAAGAACAGAAGATACATAGGTTAATTTAGTGCAGCAGGCACTAAGAGGAAAAGATAGACTAATGTATATTGCAAGATTTTTGTCATTGATTATCACTTCAGAGTATACCAAAAGCCATATAAATAAATGCAACACAGCTATTCTTTTCATATGCTCATTAATATAGAATTAATATAATAGGTAAGCTAGTCTCTGACTATATGTGGAATAAAGCTCCTGCACATTCATGCACATGCTGTCAAGTTCTGGAATGGCGCATTGAAATAAGATTCCAAACAACTAATGTCTTTGGTGTAGAGAGTTCTTTATCTTGCACTCCATCACAATCCAACAATCACCCATGAAAAGTGAAGTATTGTCAGCACTATTGCGCAGTGCTCCCCACCATCATTTAAAGTGTCCCACTTCCATCCCGTGACTCCACCCCGCAGCTCCACCCAGAGGCCGAGTTCCGCTCACACCCCCAGCTAGACAACATTACAATCCAAGGCTTGTTCCACTCAGCTTGTCATCCACACTGAGGACTGGTTCCCTTCAGGTGGAGGCCCTGAATATCAGCTGTTTCTGGGCCCACCTCTCAGTTGTGCGGCGGTGACAGCATCGGAGGCCGCAGCGAAAATGGAGGCACCCAGAGCAGTGGTGAAGACTGCAGGGGGGCTTCAGAGGCCGCGGCGAAAATGGCAGCGGCCATGACAGAGGCAAAGGCTGCAGCGAACATGATGGCAGCTGCAGCTTCCAGTCGGCCAGGCTGGTTAGTAAGTGGTCACTCCAATCCCGCCGGAATGGCAGCCCCGGCACATCGGGACTGATACATGCAGCTATCCATGTGGATGATGGGTGTAATCAGATATGATACAGAGCTATTTGACATTAAAGCTCATCCTTGTATAATGATATTGATTATACTGATTGAGACTATCTTGAGTTTCTCTGTACATGGCTTTTGCTGTCTTCCAGTAAGCATTGGACTCAAGCTCAAGACCCTTTCTATGGGAAAAACTAAGAGGATTGGCGATTGACTGTTGCTATTGTTCCTAGTGCATGAATTCTATCAAGATGGAATACAAGTGTCTAATTTCAGACTTCATCTCTGTGCACAGTAGAGGCATTTTAGCTCTTTCCTTCTGTTTTACTTATGGGTCAACTCATTAACAAAACAACTCTCAGATCATTAACTCCCAATAACAGAAATGCATGTTCTATTTCTGCTTTTTTAAGAGATGACATAGCCATTATTTCAAGGTCCCCCATTGGTTCTTGGTGCACATTCAAAAGTCTTGTGTGCTACTATAGTGACAATCACCTTGTTCTGAACTTCCAGAAGACCAAAATAATAAGAATAAGAATAAGATTAAGAATAAGAATAAGAATAAGAATAAGAATAAGAAAAAAATAGAAGGAATAGAACTGGGAAATGGAAACATAGTAAAAGCATTAGCAAAGGATGATGGTTACAAATATCTAGGCATATTGGAAGCAGATAACATCTTGAATGGAAAAGTCAAAGAGTCAATGCAAAAGGAATACATCAGGAGGGTCTGCAAAATATTAAAATCAAAACTGAATGCTGGAAATTAGAGGCATTAATACATGGGCAGTTCCAGTGATACGCTACTCAGCTGGAATCATCAACTGGACTTTGGCTGAACTGGAAAACCTGGACCGCAAACTTTTCAATATGTACCACGCTTTACATCCACGTAGTGACATCGACAGATTGTACCTGCCAAGAAAAATAGGGGGCAGAGGACTATTGCAAATCCATCAAACTGTAGAAGAAGAAAAACAAAGTTTGAATGATTTTATGAACCAAAGTACAGAAAAATTGCTGCAGGCTGTGAAAACGGAGAACAACAGAAACAAAGTCAGAATATAAGGAAAAATAGCTGGATGACAGATTAAATAGATGGAAAAACAAAGTTTTGCATGGACAGCACTTGAAAAACATTGAAGGAAATGTGATGACAACATTACATGGGCTTGGCTTAAGATGGGAACCATCAAGAAAGAAACGGAAGGTTTAATACTGGCTGCTCAAGAACAAGCACTACAAACTAATGCCATGAAACCAAAGATACAAAAATCCATCAACAATCCAAATTGCCGACTTTGCAACAACAAAGTCGAAAATGTTTCATATTTAATATGTGAATGCAGCAAAATCGCACAAACTGATTACAAAGCTAGACACGACTGAGTTGCTAAATTAATCCACTGGTCATTATGTAAAAAATACAACTTTCCTGTATCCAAAAAGTCATGGGAACATAAAGTGGAAAAAGTTATAGAAAATGAGAAGGTGAAGATCTTGTGGGACTTTCGAATACAGATGGATCGTCACTTGGAACACAACACGCCAGATATCACAGTTGTCGAAAACCGAAACATACAATTTATTGACATCGCGGTACCAGGAGATGCCAGAGTTGAAGAAAAAGAACTGGAAAAAATCATGAAATATTGTGACCTGGCCATAGAAACTACACGGCTATGGATGAAACATGTCACAGTGATACCCATTGTCATCTGGGCACTTGGTACCATGTCCAAGAATTTCACAAAACACCTCAAGAAATTGCAGCTTCCTGCAATAACACCAGCGGAACTGCAAAAAACGGCACTAGTTGGAATATCATATATTTTAAGAAGGTTGATACCTAGGACGCTGGCAGCAATCTGTATCAACTATTAGCACCAGTCAATGGTATTTGTGACACGTTTTTAAATGTCCAGTTGACTGAGTTTCATTTTTAATGAATAAAAGAACTCGCATATCAACATAGCAGATGCACAGACTCAAAAAAAAAAAATCCTCTTCAGCTGTCTTAAGATTTTTCCGTGCAAGAGGTGAAAAATGTATCCCTTAAACTTCTCAAATTATTGACAGCAAAATCACTGGCTCAGTTGTTCCGTGATTCCCAGCTAGGTCCATTTCTAAACAATACCCAGATGGAAACTATCCAAACTAAGTTTATAAGAACAGTGTTCCAAGTTCCAAAATGCCTATCTATTGCAAATTTGAGATTAGAATTTGGGCAGATGAAGATAGAGGTTACAGCATGTTTGTTAATATTTAGTTGTTATCTTAAATCCATTCTTTTTCAGCTGGGCTCAGCCCAGCTGAGTTTTTTTTTTTAAAAAAAAATTTTTAATTTTTAAAATTTTAAAATTTTAAATTTATCTTATGAATTTGGGTTGTTTTAATTTTTGTTTTCTGGGCCAATTATTTAATTGTATTTTAATGGTTTTTTAACATTTGTATTATATGTATTTTATTTGGCTGTTCACCGTCTTGAGTCCTTCGGGAGTAGGGCGGTATACAAACTCAAATCATCATCATCATCATCATCATCATCATCATCATCATCATCTCTTCTCTCAGATGAATTTGAGACCTCATGGAATCAAGCAATATATAAACAACTTTCATCATATGACATCTCCCTTGTTTCCCTATATTCTTTTGATTTCACTCAAACTGGAAGAGACATTAAAGGAAGACTTTGACATTGAAAGAGGACTCACCCCAAATTATCTCCAAATTTGAATTAACCATATTACATGAAAATCAGCCAGCTACATCAACTCACTCATCTCTCCAGCCTAGCAAAGATTCTTCTTCAGAGTCAGATATAATAGTTTACCTTCAATACTTTTATATGGGTAATTCAATAAAGTCCTCATATTAACTGAACCTATCATTGGGATGATGAATAATTGAATCTATTCTTCACTGCTCCTTCTACAATCATATCCAAAGAAGACTTATCTCCCCTGCCTTGCTACATACATGAAACTATCCTGAAGAATTCCTTGTCAATTTCCTCTTATTAGACAAGTGCTATCAACCATAATGTAACAAAGTTCTATATAACTGTTGTGAATATGCACAAACTTATTATCACACATGACTGATTCCTTTGTACCTCATTATTATATTCTCAGCTATATAGTATTGAAATACTTATTACTTTAACATTAATAATTTGAGAGATATTCACCTTTTTAAATATTTCACCTTTTCCAACATGCATAGCTAAATGTCTATGGAGATTCTCAGTCATCCGAGTCATGGTCATCCCAAAGTTGCTTTTTAAAGAGGCAACCGGATTTTCTTGTTTTTCTTTGAAGATGTTTCGCTTCTCAACCAAGAAGCTTCTTCAGCACAAGAAACTTGGATGAGAAGCAAAATGTCTTCAAAGAAAAACAAGAAAGTCCAGTTGCCTCTTGAAAAAAGCACCTTTCGGATTTCTCTTTTTTAATTTCTCAGGGCTATGTGGATAGTTTGTATAATTGTTTTTTCTTTGCTTTACAGAATATTCTGTATGTTTTGTTTAATCTGGACACTGAATGAAATAAATATTATCTATCTATCATTTGGTACATGAATACATACACTGCAGTACCTGTTCAACATGATTTATGGAAGGATGGTGACTGAGACCCTGCTTCACTTCTGAGAAGCACTGAGGAAATAAATTCATATTGCTTTAAGTATGCATTTGTGAGCTCAGTTCTGTACTTCCAGAGTTCATTTATTTATTTATTTATTTATTTATTTTAATTTATTTTATCAAGCATGTATGAGAAAATAAGTATAAGTATGAACATAACATATAAACATATAAGTATAAACAGGTATAAGTATAATAAATTAGTACGAATAAATGGGAACAGTAGGAGAGGAAAGGTAGGCGCGCTGGTACGCTTATGCACGCCCCCTTACAGACCTCTTAGGAATGGAGTGAGGTCCACGGTAGACATTTTAAGGTTAAAGCTTTGGGGGTTTGAGGATGTAACAACAGATTCAAGTAGTGAGTTCCAGGCATTGACCACTCTGTTGCTGAAGTCGTATTTTCTGCAATCAAGTTTGGAGCAGTTTGAGTTTGTATCTATTGTTTGCCCATGTATTATTACTCTACCACTTTTTTTAAAAAAATACTTTTTTAAAAAAAAGTGTACTGTTATGCTGATCATTATTTTTTGTTGTTATTCTATAGCAGTGTTTCTCAATCTCGACAACTTTAAAGTGTGTTTACTTCAACTCCCAGAATTTCCCTGCCAGCATGGTAACTAGGAAATTCTGGGAGAGAACTCCACACAGCTTAAAGTTACCAAGGTTGGGAAACATTGCTCTTTAGAGTACAGCTATTGTCTTTTTCATTATTCAGTGACATTCTGAAATACGAATGAGATCTATTTACTGAAGTATGCCCTTATCTATCAACATCCTACACCATTTTTTGAGAAAGATTACTGTAGTTATAAACCTAAACTGTTAAACATTTGAAATTCAATAAAAGAAAACATAGCAAAGTTGTGAAAACATAGCCGTGTCCTCTTTGCTGATGATGTCAAACTATTCAACACCACAGACAACTCTTACTACCCTTCAAAATGACTTAAACTGTGTATCTGAATGGTCAAACAATTGGCAACTTCAAATTTCTGCTAACAAATGCTCCGTGCTGCACATTGGCAATAGAAATAAGAACATCAAATATTTGCTGGCTGGAAACGATCTAAAAGTTGACCTACACGCTGTCAATGACCTAGGAGTACTCACTTCAAAATATCTAAGTCCCAGAGCTCACTGTAACATCATTGCAAAAAAGGCATTAAGAGTTGTCAATCTTATTTTACGAAGTTTTCTCTCTGGTAATGCTATACTTCTAACTAGGGCATATAAAACCTTTGCCAGACCTATACTTGAATATTGTTCATCTGCCTGGAACCCTCACTGTATTTCAGACATCAATACATTAGAGAGGGTCTAGAGATATTTTACTAGAAGAGTACTCAAATCTTTTGCTAGAAATAAAATTCCCTATACCACCAGGCTTGAAATTTTAGGTCTGGATAGCCTCAAACTACGCCATCTACATTCCGACCTATGCTTAGTTCATAAGATTATTTACCAAAAAAGTCCTACCTGTAAATGAGTACTTTAGTTTCAACCGTAATAACACAAGGGCTATCAATAGATTCAAATTCAATGTAATTTGCTCTAATCTTGATTGTAGGAAATATGACTTCTGCAATAGAGTAGTAAATGTCTGGAACACTCTACCTGATCCTGTTGTTAGTCTCCCTAATCCCCATACCTTTTACCTTAAACTGTCTACCATGGACCTTTCATGTTTCTTAAGAGATCCCTAAGGGGGCATGCATAAGAGCACCAGCGCGCCTACCATCCCTGTCCTACTGTTCCTGTTTATATGTAATCATTCTATGTGTTTATGGCTATGTTTTGCCTATTTATATCCTTTTATTTGTGCCATTTTTTTTCATGTGTCCATGTCCATGTCTATACTGTTACTTGTTTCCTTGTACTTGTTGATAAATAAATAAATAAATAAATAAAGTTCTTATATGTAATTTGCTGCAGTGGGTTAATTGCTCTTTTCCATTACATTTCAGAATTAACTTTTTGCAATAATATAGCTGTTTTGAATTATTCACTTAATGGAAATTTACATCCAGGTTTTATCATTAGAATTGATACTCTAGAGAAGTATTATATAAACTACATAATTAAGATCCATAATCAACTTTAAAGCAGCTTGTATTTTACTAACCTATTTGCTTTATTTTTTCCTGGGTATAGCTATACAAAAAACTATCTTCTGAACTGTCAATTTCACGCCATGCATCCAAGAGGTTATAGGAAAACACATTACTCCACAAACCTAAAAAAAGATCAAGAGTTAGTAAGATATTCAGGTTTCATTCTGAATTGTATATATCAAAAAGTCTGTTTTCCAAACAGTTTTAACTGGATGTTAAGACTGCAGTCCTATGGCTCTCAGGAAGATGTCTCACTCTCTAAGGGTTCAGAGCTAGCTTCCTTCTCAGAAATGCTGATCCCTAAACATCCACATGAACTTTGCCAAGGCTGGTTCCCCAGAGAGTCCAGTTTGAATGATTTTTAACAATTTAAACTTCAGCAGTTTAAAACAATTTGGATTGCCAAATAAGAAGTTTTATTTACTTTTATTTATTTATCAAATTTAGAAACTGCCCATTTTCCTCACAGAAAGATTCTGGGTGGTGCACAAATAAATTATTTAAAACGTAAAAATGTACATTTTTAAAAATTGGATGGGAAATTGTTCAGCAATAAAACGTAGACTTTGTGGAGGAAAGGTCCTAGCACCAGTTCACTGCATATTTCTTTGAAAAATTGGAGCTAAGTTAGTACTTGTACAAAGCAGAAAAAAAGCCAAAATCGGAGGTTGTGGCATCTCAAAGATATTCATATCAATTAAAGCATAAGCTTCTATAAAATAGAATGTAACCTTCATTGGACATTAGTAATATGTTATTCTGATTTAAAAGGAATCAAAACATATTATCAAGAGATTTGGAAGCCAATAAAAATGTCTCAGCCTTTTTCACTTGGTACTTTTCAAGAACAGCCTGGTCATTCATTCAGTTCATTTCAGTAATTAACTAAAAATGTTGTGCCTTTGAGTCACTACTGGCTCCTGGCAAATCCTTTGGAGAAGTCCCTCAGTTTTCTTGGCAAGAGCGAGTGATGGTTTGCCATTGCCTCTTTCCTAGGGATGAGAGAGAGAATGGCTGACTCCAGATTACCCGGTTGGCCTTGTGCCTAAATCATGACTAGAACTCACAGTCTTATGGATTCTAGCTGGTGTCTTAAGCATTGCATCAACCTGAATCTCTAAACTCAAAGTACCCAACAGCTTGTATAGTAATTAAAGTATTGATCATGCTAAACATTGTTGAACTACCCAGAGCAGCATACTCCATATTAATAATCAGACCAACAGAAGAAATACGTTCCTTTGCATGAATCTTCAGTATTGTTGGTTCTTGAGGTCAATTTTTAAATCTTCAGCAAAATCAAAAATTTTAAGGAGAAAGTTAAAAAAAACAGAAGAGCTCTGAACTAGACAGTTTTCTAGATGCTTTCACAGCATGGCCCTGGATTCTTTCATAGCTCGGTGTGGGTGTGTCTTTAAAGGAGAACAACTGCTTCACAGAAGTAGAGATAATGGGACTTGTTTCTTTTACTATGTACAAGTTTTATCCTGGCTGTACACCGCCCTGAGTCCCGCAGGAGAAGGGCGGTATAGAAATATAATAAAATAAATAAATAAATAAATAAATAAAGTCTGTATACAGGCATTAGGAAAAAACAGTAGTTTCCAAACATTTCCATTTCTGTCAATTTCTGCCTCTTTCCCAGGGCTATTCATTACCAGCCACCTGCTCAACAGGGTTGAGCAACAGGGTTACCCTGTTGAGTAACCCTGGCTCTGTCCCTTGGTACACAGCAGGGTTGAAATCCAGCAGGTTCTCACAGGTTCTGGAGAACTGGTAGCGGAAATTTTGAGTAGTTTGGAGAACCAGCAAATGCCACCTCTGGCTGGCCCCAGAGTGGGGTGGGAGTGGAGATTTTGCAATATGCTTCCCCCAGGAGTAGGGAGGGAATGGGGATTTTGCAGTATCCTTGCCCTGGCGTGGGATGGGAATGGAGATTTTGCAGTATCCTTCCACTGCCACACCCACCAAGCCACACCCACAGAACAGGTAGTAAAAAAATTTGAATTTCACCACTGGTAAACAGGCTTTCAAAAAAGATACATTATTTTTAATGAAGAGATTTGTTAATGGCAGAGGAACAACATCCCCCACACACTGCCAGTGTTTTTCCTATCTGATCAGAAGAATTTAATTCTAGATAATGTAAGAAATTGATACTCATGAATAGGGGGAATATACGCTTTGATAAAAGCTATAAAAGAGAAATAATTGGGTGAGTTTTAAGCAGTACATTTTTATAAAGTTTAGGTTTATACCACTGTAATAATGTTCTTTTGGTTATTTTCATGCTGAATAAAATGGTCTCTAACTGAAAGTATAATTGGAGTAAGCTTTTCCACAATGCAGCCTTCAGCTGCTTGCCTCCCTGGCATAACAGAATAACAGAATTGGAGGGACCTTGGAGGTCTTCTGGTCCAACTCCCTGCTCAAGAAGGAGACCCTATTTAAGGGTGTCAAACTGACGGCCCATGGGCCAGATGCATCATGTGCAGGCCACACCCACCCCAGCTCCGCAAAGATAAAAAAAACATTGCAATATATCACGTGACGTCATGTGACACAATCAACTTTGACACCCATGCCCTATACCATTTCAGGCAAACCTCCAGTGTTGGAGCACACACAACTTCTGGATGCAAGCCATCCCACTGGTTAATTGTTCTATCAGGAATTTTCTCCTTAGGTCTAGTTTGGTTTTCTCTTTTATTCATTTTCATTCTTTGCTTCTTGTTCTGCCTTCAGGTGCTTTTGGAGAATAGCTTGACCCCCTCTTCTTTGTGGCAGTTCTTTAGATATTGGAACACTGCTATCCTGTCACTCCTAGTTTTTCTTTTCATTAAACTAGACATACCTAAGTTCTGCAGCAGTTCTTCATATGTTTTAAACGCCAGTTTCCTATTCATGTTTATTGGTCTTCTTTGCATTCTTCCCAGACCAGCCAGAAATAAAGCTGGCTTAAGAAATTCCTTTCTATTTTCAAACCTCCTCCTTCATTTTGGTCATAGTCCAGAGCATATTTACCAGTATTCCTGATTAGAGGATTCTCCTGCTTCCTTACTTCCTCTGAACTAATAAAGGGAGGGGAGGGGAAAGAAAAAAAATTCAGTTTTACCATTTCCCCTACCACTTAGGCTAGAATGGGAAAGCAGCAGGATTCTTGTCAATTTCACCCTGAAACAGAGGTGAATTTTAAAAAGTGCACTTTCACAGATGCATCAGTGAACCTGGCAGGAGGAAGAGGACAGGAAAGAAAGTCCAGCTTTTACTGTTCGCTGCTGAATTTGTAAAAAAAAAAAAAAAAATGGCCCTGAAGGAAAGTCCAGAGAAGAGGAGCTATCCAGAGTACTATAACCAACTGGAGTGGAGGTGCTAAAGTGAAGCAATGTGGACAGGAGAACACTGCATAAGCTGCCACAAATGAAAAAAAAATAATGGGCTGAGTAAAAGCAGAGGATAATATGAGGTGCTCCTTCCCTAGTAATAATCAGTGGTTTATATTTGAGGTGGTGCATATCGTTCGTGAACTATGTGAATCAGCCCCGTTAACTACTGTATTTTTCAGAGTATAAGATGCAGCTTAGTTTTTGGGGAGGAAAATAGGGGAAAAAAATCTGCCTACCAGATTTTTTGCCTATCTGGCTAGCATCCTTAGTCTGGTCAGCTTCAGCACATTAGTTTACTGTTTCTTATCCCCTGCTTGGGGATAAAAAACAGCTTCTAAAGCACAACTGATCTTTGGAGAGAGAAGCAATGAGAAAAGCAGGCAAACCACGGAGGTCGCTTCACTCGCTAGCGCCTTGTTAGGGCTAAAAAAAAACTTCAAAAAAGCTACATTCGGAGTATAAGACACACCCAAATTTTCAGCCTCTTTTAGGAGGGAAAAAAGTGTGTCTTAAACTCTGAAAAATACGGTAATTTAGATTCTAGCCTGACTGCCACAAGGAGGCAGTCTTTACTTATCTTTATCATTGTTGAAATTGGCAGACTCAAGGAAAAAGAAAGTATTTTCTGTTCAGTCATGTTTTCTCCTTAAAAGCATATTAAAAGAACAAAAGGAATTCACCCGTACAGAATTGCCTTAAGTAGGATGCTATTGTACTATTGAGTATGATCTGTTACAATTCACAATCACAGACGACAGTGCCAACTTGTCGAATTTATGATACCACATTGGAAGAAACTGAAAATGCTTTGGAGCAGTGTTCCTCAACCTTCTCTTGCTTGTGGCTCCCTTTTGACTTTGCTTTCCTTCTGTGTTCCATCTGTCCAGTCCCATTATTGGATATGGACATGGGATACTAACTAGTGTGTTTTCTGGGATCAACAAGACAGTGTTTATAGTAATTGTAAGTCACCAAGAATCATTGACTGGCAACAATCGAAATTGAATGAATGAATGAATGAATGAATGAATGAGCAAGCAAAATAGATTTTTGCTTTTCTGTGCCTCCTCAAAATGTGCCCATCCCTGTTCCACATTTTTCTCCTGTGGTTTCTTTGAAATATCCTATCCTGTCTAGGGTGGCAGGGTGGCATATGCCCCTCCCGTTACTTTAGATTACAATCTAAAACAATCAACCTTGTTGATTTTTGTTTTCAACCTTATTTTTGGCAGCTTTCAGACAAGTGGAACCAGAATTTCTGAAAATAAATGGCATTGTTTCATGGAATGTGTATGAGTCGTTTAGCAACACTAATAATTTTTAATTAGTCAAAACATTATTTTAGAAAGTTGCAAACTGCCTTGGGAAAACTATTTTTCAGAAGGTTGTATTTTTAAAAAAAAATCAGGTAAAGATCTTGAATGCACCTTTCATGAAGCAGATTTGAGATTCTGGGATCTTCTTCATCATCCGACCCATAAAGAATTTGCTTCCATAGTCTTCAGCACGAATGTAAGCACCATATTTTAATAATCCAACCTCAAAAGGAGTAAATTCCATCCACTCTACAACAAAATCATATCATTTACAGGTTCAAATGTAACACTGGTTTTGCAAAATATGATTTTGCAATGGTTCAATGTAACTCAATTAGCCTTTTAAATTTAATACTTATTAGTTGCTTTTTTTGGCCACATTTCCATCAAACTAAGTATACAAAATATACAGGGAGAAATGAAATGTTGAATAGCACTGAAAAGACAAAGCAATGATTACAAGTAAGTGCCCACTATCACTTTTTTGGCTGTCTTTTTTTAATCTTCACACTGTTTTTTGTTCCCCTCTAATCCATCAGGTCATCAGTAATTGAAAATCTCAAAAGAACTAAGGTGACAATCCTGCCTATTAGTTTACATGAGAGTCTATAGTATTTATGTTGGCTCTTGAATTAATGTTCCCTGTTCTCCTGTTGTGATTTACATTTGCAGATGCTCTCCAAAGTCTTCTTTTTGCTGTCAGATAGTTCTACTGTTCATTACCATTGCAATAACTGAAAGCTTAGAGAGAACAATGATTAAAATTAATCTTTTCTTCCTGCTGCTTATTCATGCTCACTACAGTTTTGCTCTTAATTGCCAATACCTCAAAACCTTATTGCCAAACCCAATTACTTAGACATTCTAAGCATGCATCTCAGAGGTCTACCAGCAATTGTCCGAAATCCAAAAATCCATTATCTCCCTTACTCTATCCAAGAACCAGTGGCTGAACGGAAGTGAAAAAAATAATCAATCAAGAATATATTCAAAGTATCCTACGTTCTGAGAAAGTACATAAAACTCAGGGGTGGGTTCTACTTACCTTTACTACCGGTTCGCAATGGGGCCGCACGCACACTCTTCTGCGCATGCACAGAAGCATTTTGATGACGTTGGGGTCAGTGGGCGGAGCCTCCCACCAGTTTTACTACCGGTTCTATAGAACCGGTGCGAACCGGGGACAACCCACCACTGTACAACCATGTTATGGCTGAAAGACTCCCCTCCAAGGACAAAAAAAAAAGATAGATAGATACTTGGATGGTTCTTCCATAATTTCTCTCATTCCACGGGTCTTCTTTCATATTTATCTTTTCTTCCTCATTTTCTGACTTCATTTTTTATTCTTTCCTTCCCCCAATTTAACAGGCAGTGTTAAAGAGATATCTTGCTTTTTGGGGCTTTGCAAGACAAAGCTACAGCAATGCATCACATCTTCATTTCTTCAGAAGACCTCATAAGAGGGAAAGAGGAAGAAGAGGTAGGGAACAGGGTAGAACTTTCACCATTCATTTTAGAGAATAATATATACCATGGCATTGAGACTCCTTCGTTGGGCTGTAGACCAATAACAGTAGCACTGTAGTACACATTAAAATGAAATAAATATTTGCCTTTCCTGGCAGACCAATAAGATCCCTTATTATTGTTGAGTCACAATCAACGTGGGTAATGTTACCTTTAAATTCTTGAAGGCTATATTTGTCCCTGGTGTTCAGGACCAAATACATGGGCAGAGGACTCTGACCATGATTCAGGGCATGCTTCTGCTCTGAAAGTGTGCTGCTACATCTCTGCAAAAATAAATCAACAACAAATCACAAAAATGTCATAGATTTAATCCTATCGGAACTAAAAAGAATGGGAAGAATCCTAATTTTAATTTCATTCTCCTCATATATTGGATTCATTTCTGGAACAAATTCTCACATTGTTTCTCTATCCCTTTCATATTTCATCTGGGTTCCTTGAAAAGAATAGAACTGACCAAAAATGTTCTCTTGGGCATTGGGGCCAAGGTGTTAGACAAGCTCAACCTGCAAAATATGTTTGTGTGATTTCTGTTGTGTTTTTGTTTTTACTTTTTGCTGCCCAAAATCACATTTTTGCAGTCATATAGAAGCTAAATTATTTAGCTTCTCCCATTCTTAAAACAGTTTCCCTAAATATTTCATATGGTCCTTGTGTAAATTCTTAACTTCATTATGAAAAAAACAACACCAGTATACATTAATTTGTGTACCCCTCCCAGGTCTCTTTCTATGTATTAATAATAATCTGAGATAAGCTATCTACAGTGCTCCCTTTTCTATGGTACTGGGTTTTAGAAAAGTTTTAGGATGTAAAATGGCAGAAAGTTAAAAGGGTTTGAAGAGTTTTAGAAATAAAAAACGTGAAATACCAAGGGAAGTCAGGTTACAAACTTTGTACCTGAAATAAGAATTTTACATTTGGTATACAAAGAAGTTGGGGAGTTGCCAACAAAATATTTTTACATTGTGCTGTGAATTTGGAAGTCCTTTTCAAAAACAGAATAATAGAATAACTGAGCTGGAAGGGAGAAGCATCATATTTAGGTATTTGATCTGAATGTCTCAACAGTGCTTTTTCAAAAGGCAAATGGACTTTCTTGTTTTTCTTCAAAGATGTTTCTTTGAAGAAAAACAAGAAAGTCCAGGTGCTTCTTGAAAAAGTATCTCTGGGATATTAAAATAACTATAAAAATTATACACATATAATTATCAGCCAAACAAAGGTAAACACAAATCCAACAACAGCAAATCAAATATTATATTTCTTTAAAACATTTATTCTCCTATGTTGTGCTATGTGTTTAGGAACTCCTATCTAAAGCACCTTTGGGACAACTATGACCTGGATGACACAGAATCTCCATAGACATTTGAGCTGAATGTATTGAGCACATAAATTATATAGAGGCTCACCATGTGCTCTACCACCCAATGTCACATCTTCACCTGTTCCATTGTTATGAATTGCATGATAAATATAAGGAATATTCTATAGAAGTTCCATTGAAGGTACTTAGAATCTCCTCATAACCTTTGCATTGGATGTGAAGATGTCAGAAGAAGAGGCAGCATAATGTGAATTTAAACTTTTGAGGGGGGAGGAATCAGTGCAGGTACCTTCAATCCCATACCAGATTTGTCGAATCCGATCTCCTGCTCAACAACTCATATGGGAGGAGGAGGAGAGGAGGCCATGGGTACGTGACCCAAAGATACTGAAAGCATGGGGAAACTCTTCATAGGGGCTGGTGATGGTGGCACAGGGTGTTTAGGCGACCAGATGCATTGGGGAAGAGGATCGGCAGCGAAAGGAAGGTTCACAGACAAGCAGAGGAGGCAGCAGTATTTGATGATGTCATGGGCCAGCACAGGGATAAGTAATGGGCCGTTTGCATGCCTCACTCAGCTGGATATAGCTCAGCTGTTCATTATCTGTGTGGGATGGGTGGAGTCTACACGGACATATAAAAAACACTGAGAGGCAGTTGCTCTCAGCGCCAACTTTAAACTAATGTAACTTAGCGTTGCCTTGGAGCTACCATGCAGCTGCAATAAACCATTTGCCAACTCCAGTTTCATAGTAGATTGTTTGGGGCTGTCAAGATTTGTTTAGGAACGCTGAGGAACGCTGAGAAGATTTGTATTCTGCACATTCAAACTGAATGTCAGGATAAGATTACGGTGTTATTTGCATTGCCTTGATCTTTCAGCATGTATATTCAGACTTCTATCAGAACCCTTTCATAATTGAGAAATCAGAAACTTCTATTACCCCATTTCCTAATGCTTGGTCAATGAAAAGTCCCCAGAGGTCAGTAATGCAGGTTTTGTAGCCATCTTTTTTCCGCTGCTTCAGAATATCATTGTATTCTTTTAAGTGGTCTAATGTAAAGCAATCCAGCTTGCATTTGGACATGTTTTTGCGAGCTTCTGCAATCGGTCCTAAAAGATCCTTCTGTGACCAATCAGGATCTTCATACAGATTTGAAAGTGTCCTACAAAAAAAGACACAGCTTGATAACGAGAGTTACAATTCCCTAAATTATATTAAGGGTTATTAACATGATGTAATATTTAATATTTAAACACTTAACCATCATGCTAATTTAAAAACTGTTAAAAAGGAAGAACAAGAAGAATTGTGATGCAACTTTAGGATTTTCCTGCCAAAATACCTTTAAATATTCAATAATAGTGAAAATAAGCAGAACAAAAACACAATTAATTCAGCCTATCCAATAAATGCAGACACAAAGTTTTGGCCAAGTCAACCAAAAGAAATTTTAAAAAGTCACTTTCAAGTTTGTATTTTTTTTCCTCTGTTTTTGAGCTATCATGGGAAATTATTGCTAATCTGATGACTAGCAATAATTAGAAAAAAGATGATTTTTTAAAAAATACAACAAGACCACAAAGGCAGGAAAAGTGTGTGGGAATATATTCAGGAGGTGAATCCCTGGGAGCAAAGGACTACATTCCAGAGGAATAAAAGGCAGTCCCTGGCCTAGGTAACATAGTTTAATCTATTTAGTTTTATATTTTTAATATAATTTTATATATTGCTTTAACTTTTGATTAGGGATCATTTAGTTAGTTAAAAATGGGCAGATATAGGAATGTTTTAAATAAATAAATTCTAAATGTATGAATTCTGCCCATCAGTTCCATTTCCTCATCAAATTAGAGTGATGTTTAAAAGATTATGTTTATTAGCAATAGTATAATATGAAAAGCCAAGATAAATGTATTTATTTATTTTATTTATTTATTACATATATGGCTATCCATCGCACCACAAGGCAACTCTTCTTGTCAGAATATGTGATAGGTAGAGGGGTTCAAAAATAAATCCTTTGCTTATATCGTTCTTACCAAGTAGAACCAGAAGATCCAGAAATGTACATGAGGCAGTCTAAGAGATTCAGTTTCTGAAGACCAAGTAAATGGCCATGTAAAGCTGTAAATGCCCGAGCTCCACCTCCTGTGGCCATGATAGCTACCACAGGTATCTGTTCAACAAATAAAGCCCAATGAAGTGAAAAAAAACTCATTTTATCAATGATAAAAAGAAGCAAATAACAATGGCCAAGTAACTTCACAAATCAAAATTGGAAAAAAATTCCCAGATTTTTTCCCCTAAATAAATAATAATATTTATTTTATTAAACTTCCTGTCGTCTCATCATGATGCCAGCCCCGCCTCCTCTTGGTTTGCTATCATTTTATATACTTGCTTTGTCAGTGTCAGTGGGAGTGGTCTTGATGATTCTTTGATTGGGCTGCTGTTTACTATTAGCTTGTTTGTCTTAATTGGTAATTACTTGATTGTGGTGTTGTTTGCTTATTGATTGTTGGTCTAATATTAATTTTGGAGTTAATCTCTGCTCATCTGGGTGTTGCTGATGAGGAGATGTCTAAGTCTTTTTGTTTCCTTTTTGACTGTTTGATTGTCTCTTTTGAATGGTATATAGTTTAGTTTATTATTATGTACCTTTTGATGGTTGATTTATCTGAGTGCCAGGCTTCCAGGAATTTTTGGGAGTTTTTGGACTTGGCTTAGTCTAGGATACTCACGGTATCCAAGACATAATATGATGCAAAAATATTTCTGTGTCTAACCTAGATAAATTATGAATGTATTCATTTATCAGTCTTCTCCATCCTATTTCCAAATCTGCATAACTCTTCCATCTATGTTTAGGTTTGCCAGAGGTATAGATAATTAATGGAAAACTAAGTCTTATTTTTCCATACTGAATTGCAATGGTTATGCTTTACATACCTCTTGATCTTGCAAATCGTTGTCCATGCAAAGAACCCTTTTCAGGGCAGCTGCTACAATTTTCTTCCTTTTCTGTATAAATATTTGTTCATCTGGACACAGTTCATAGTCTAAACGTACATCAAGCTCTTTTTGCCTTGCATATAGTCCACAATGAAAGAAACAAATTATCACTGTTATGATTAATTTAGGAAGACACTATAATAATATCCAGTAATATGAAAAAGAATCTCAAGCAAAACCACACTTCCATCTTAACCCAGCCATATGACTGAAACACCTCAGATGATAGTGGAGGCAGCAGAGATTATTGCATCATGCACAAAAGTCATTGCAAGATTAAAGAAACCAGGTTAGGGACAGATCATTATGGGGAAAAAAAATCTAGTTAAGCTCCAGCTTGAAGTCCCATTGTCAATCAATAAATCAAAGTATTTTCTCTTACCACTCTTTTACCTTTACACATAAGTCAATTGATTTGTCCTAGAGATAAAAATGCTGTTAATAATTTGTTAAAGTAAATATAATTTAATTGAAAGTTAATTATTATTTATTTGAATGAGACTTTTTGAGATCGCTTTCTGACATTTTTATGGAAAAATCATCAATTTCTATATTTACCTACATATTCCCTTGTTCCCTCCTTCACACATGCACAATTATATTTTGAATTCCAGAAAACAGGATTAAATATGTATGTAACATTTTCTAATACAATGAACTTCATGGAAAAGAGTCAATCCATACACCAGTCAACTACAACACAACCATCACAGTCCTCCTAAAGACTGTGTAATAATCTTAAAGAAGATTATTCTTCTATATATCAAAGAAAGGCATCTCAGAAATCACCATGCTATAAGCTCCTGGCATCACAATCGCCCACAAAGCAACAAAATCTCTTTAAAGCAATCTTAGCAAACCTGAAAATCAAATGACAAATCCGAAATGATTACAAAAATATAATGTTTTCATTTTTGACTCCAGGCAACTGCCTGGTGACATCCTGCAATTATCTGGGCAAGTTTTTTTCAGAAGTGGTTTGCCACTGCCTCTTTCCTAGAATTGAGAATGTTTCTGACTGACCCAATTTTGTGCCTAAATCAGAATTAGAATTTAGAGTCTCCTGGCTTCTAACCTGACTCCTGATCTAGTATTTCAAACTGGCTCTCAAAAATATAATGTATGGACTGCAAAAAATACTCCATAGGACAAAAGAGTAGAATATTGGCAAAACATATCCATGAACATCAATTGGCAGTCAGAAGACAAGATGGAGCTCCAGTAGAATTCAGTTTTAACTATCATGACCAGGAAGGACACACCCATAAATCAGGCAAGTCAAGCAACTATACCTTCTCTAACTAAGAATTTTTTTTTGCCCAAGTTCTGTGAGCCATTGAATTTAATCTAAAGCTCATAATAGACCTACCTGGCAGATAAATTAAACATTAAAATATTAAACATATTGTGCAAGGATGCCCATGTTATGCATTCTCTGGTTCCTTAGAAGACCTGCATGAAGCAACACCAGAGGCGATCGCCATCCAGTTATGAGGCCTCTGCCGTACCCCTCATAAAAGTTTTGTGAATAATTACATGGATTGTAATTGTATATGAAGTGTATATGTTTACTTCTCTTTGTCATGTTTTCATCATATGCTAAATAATAATAACAGGCAAATCACAAAAACAAATTAATTTTTACATTTCAAAATCTTCTTGAAGTTTAAAGAACAAATGCCACAAGAAATAACCTTTATTATTGGTTTCTTCTTCTCCAATAAGCAAATGAAAAAGATTTTTAAATCGTACCAATGACATGATTTCTGTGAGATCATCCCAGAACATAATTTATTCATGTTGGGTAACATTGCAGACATCTTCCTACATCAGGGGTGTCAAACTGGTAGGCCCGGGGCAGGGCTGGGCATGCCCATCCCATCTCCACGAATGGGAAAAAAGTCGTGAAATGTCATGTGACAGCAACGTGATGCAGCGTGTTTGACACCCATGGCCTACATGTTTGAAATTTTTGATACCTCGCATTTTATGCAAGTGCCAAAGCACATGTAGTCCTTGATTTATAACCATACTGGAGCCTGCCCATTATTGTTGTAAGTCTGACAGTCATAAAGCTATGTGACCAATTTTACAGCCTTTTCTTGCAGTAGTCATTAAGAGAACTCATTTTTTACTACAGGTTGTTTTTGCAAAAAACTGGAAGTAAAGGTCAGTTTCTGGCCAAAAAAGCCCAACAACTTTGTAAATTGCAGTTAAATGACTGTGGGATAATGCAAACACTTTAAATGTGTGCCTGTTGCTGACTGTCTCTAATGCAGTCACGTGACTGGGAATGTGGTCCATTGTAACTTTGAATAGTTGACTGGTTGTAAATACCTGTATAGCAATTTTATCCTGCCTGTTTGTAATATTTCATCTACATGTCTGCATAATAACATTTTCCTTACATTACTTGAGGAATCTTGAGGAATTGAAAGTCACAACTGAACGCATTCCTTCAGAGTCAAAAAATTCTTAGTATCTCTAAAAGATCTCTCTCTGACGTCCTGGAGACCTTTTGGTAGTTTCCACATTGTCCAATGTGTGTGTGTAGTTGGTGGTAGAGGTGTGCCCTCCACAGATATCGTTGAACCATTTCAAACATCCCTTTCCATTAGCCAGAAGGGCTGGGGTAATTGGAATGTCAAATTCCATTGTTTAAAGATGAGATTGTTCCTCTACATTTGTTACCTTAAAAGTTCATTTACATGTTTAATTCACAATAACACATTGAGCTATCCTGTTTTTGCAATATAAAATTAAGTTTTTAAACTTTTAAAAGATATTAAAGTTTTTCCATATTCCACCACGAAACAGTATTTACCTGGGTTATAATGACTTCTTTTTCCATAGAGATTGAATCCAGAGGTAAAGTAAGACAAACAGTTTTATCTGTGTTTCTATCTGTAAAACACTAAGAGATAAAACAGATTAATACACAACAGCCTTAACTGTTGCAAGGCTGCAATCTTGAACTCAGTAGAACTTTCTCCTTTCTATCTATAGGATTGCAGTGTTAATTTGTTGTTTAACACACAGCAACAGCTATTAAAACAAGAGCATCTTCAGTTTATTACAGAACATATTTCCATTGGCTATAATATTGATTAAAAAAAACTGGATTTTTTTTTTTAAAAAATCAGGAAGTATGCTATGTTAGTCATTGAAGACTCTCAGTCATCCAGGGCTCCGGGCAAAGGTGTCTGAAGGTTGCTTCATGGCAGGTGGACTAATTTTTTTTATTCGTTAATTTTTTTGCTAGTCTGAGACATTTCGCTGCTCATCCAAGCAGCTTTATCAGTCAGAGCAAGTTAGTTAGGCAGAGAGTTGTTGGAATGTACCAACTCTAGCCGCATCAACTTCAGGGGTTTTCCTTCCCAAAATGCATTGCAATATGTTGATGAAGCTTCTCAATCATCCAGGCCAAGATGTCTAAAAATTGAATCATGGCAACTGGGCTAATTTTTTGTTTTTTTGCTAGTTTGTGATGTTTCACTGCTCATATGAAGCTGCTTGGATGAACAGGGAAACGTCTCAGACTAGCAAAAAACAAAAATTAGTCTAGTTGCCATGATTCAACCTTTAGATACTATATATTAGGCAAGCTCAACTTTAAATCCAGAATCCAGTATATTGCATTAATTGGAAAATAAAGAGGTTTATGTGCTTTTATGATTAATATATTTTTATGAATGGGGAGGGGAGTTGTATGTCACCCATGGAGCATTGGACAGTTATAGTAAATTTAATTAATTAGCAGTCTTCTATTGGTTTAGAGATAGCTGTTTAACATACTTATGAGGTGGCTGTATCAAAACCATCTTTTATATGAATAATTAACAATAATTAACAAAGGAAACATTTTGGAAACATTCACAATAAGAGCAGGTGATGCTTTTTCTTTGTTGCAGCTGTTAATTCTTTGTTGACAGCTTCCACTTCCTTTTGTTCTAATGAACTACAATGCAGTGATACTTAGCATTCTTCTTGAGCACAGAGTGGGGTGAATGGCTACTGCTAACTGAAAAGAGTTCAAATGAGTTTTACCTCTGCTAGAATTCACCTGATCCCCATATTCTGGAACACAGAATTTCATTTTCCATTTCACCTCCCAAAGTCTTCCCTCCCAATCTGTCTGCACATTTATATTGGAAGACACGTAATAATGTGTGTATACACACATAAACACCAACATGGAAAGGTTAACCATCATATTAAACTGCAATATGTGGGCATATCTTATTGGGTACAACCAAATTAGTTAGAATTAATCAACAGTGAATGATTCATTTCCAACTAAATTCGACTGAATAGGTTTAGCTACATCAGCAAATTAAACCATCGCTCGAATAAGAATAATTCGTTTTCATAATATGATGGAAAGCTCAAGAAAGTTTATGTTGCAATACCTTTGTTGATCTTAGAAAATACCATATTATTATTTTATTAGGTTTAACAAAGGAAAAAATAGGTTTTCTGCTCACATCTTCTATATATATGGAAATAAAGTATCATGAGACAGATCACAAGTGTACCTATCAGTGTTATAATAGGTGTTCACTAGCTCCAATGATGGCTAGATGTCCCTAGAAGTTCTTGGTGGGGGTCCTGCCTCTGCATTTTTACTCAAAATAAATGTATGCTATAGAACAAGTAATTGAAATAGGCTTGTTTTGATTTCTGAATTAAAATGTGCCTTAAAAACATACAGAATTTATGCCACACAAATTCTTTAGTAATTCAACTTTTAGGGCAGATTCTTTACACTTGACGCATTGAAATTCAAGAGGAACAGAAGAAGTCAATGGAAGTTTCTGAGATTCTTCATAGCATCCTTGCATAGTAAATAAAGCAATTTCATCTGTGGAGAAGTAAAGGTACAGTTACACAGGGAACTCCTTCATTAATGTCAAATTTAACTTGCATCCCACGAAAATATAAAACAAACAGATAACTGCTAAAGTAAAATGTTACAATTCTCTAAAGCACACTCTACCATTACATATCTACTAATACATTACTTGGCTTAAAATGTTTGTTATGAAACAGTAAATATTCAGGAAAGCTTCATATAAAAGACCATGTATATTCCAAGTAGCTAAGTAGGGGTATATGTTTCTCTCTGTGTGTTTTTAAAGGCATATATTAAAGAAAGCTGTGTGCCTATATCTTCCTTCCTTCCTTCCTTCCTTCCTTCCTTCCTTCCTTCCTTCCTTCCACTCCTTTGCTCCCCCTTCCTTTTTCTATCCTCTGCTCCCTTCCCTACAGGCAGTTATGGTGGGGTAGGGAATGAGGAATTGCAAGACTCAAGGAACATTGAAAATGAAGATCACAAAACCACAGCAGAAGTCCAGAAGTGCAGTAGCTGCCAATAGAACTGAAGCAGCCACAATTTCCCCAAATTTCATTCTCTCAGGAGTCATGGAAGACTATTAAAACAATATATACAACCCTTTAAATTAAAAATAAATATAAAACAATACATTTCCAAGTATTACCTTTTGAAACACGTTTCATATTATTCACTTCTATCTCCAAGCAGGAAATTTCACGGGACTATTAAAAGGAGAAGAAAATCTTAGTGGTCAAAGCAAGATAGCTTTCAAAGAAATAGAACATCACTGGGAATGTTTTACAACATGAGAATTAGCCATAAATATCTAAACAAATACCTAAATTAATAGCCGAATTAGAATTATGTATCTATTTTAAATACATGAAGTTAAACATGATTTTTCATGGATATGAAAATATTGTGAGCGCTAAAATGTGGGAGGCATCTATGTTTGGTTCTGAAATTGATTCAAGTAGGAACCAAAATGGAAATGTAATTGCCTCTGTGGAGATGCCCTGATTCTGCTAAACTTTTCTGAACAAAAGACCCTTAAATTGCCTGAGAGGCTTGCCTGCCTACCTGCCTGCCTCTATCTATCTATCTATCTATCTATCTATCTATCTATCTATCTATCTATCTATCTATCTGATATATGTTTGTTCATTTATTTATTTATTTAAATGCATAAACCCATTCAGCATATAATCATCTCTGGGCGGCTCCCAAAATGGTCTAAATGATTCAGTCTACCACACCATTTGTGTATGGGTTTGTGTGCGTTTGTGGATACATGTAGTTCATACACCATACACTCCCCTCATGTCTTTGCCTCCCAATATACTTAGGACGCCTCTTTTAGACCTCATGCCAACTTATGTGAGAGGAAACTCAATTAAATATGATGGGCTTTACTTCATAGTGTTTATGTTAGGCTGACCAATTTATGGCTTGTTCTGAAGCCTTTGAGGTAGTTGGAAATTATAATTAAAGGCATAATTCCTGTGAGATTTCCTTATTCATACAACAAAGGTAAAGAATCTCTGTTTATGGCTATAGAGGCTTTTTTATGTCTCATTTCATTATGCTGAAACTTTATACTATCCACCTCAACTAATTGCACTCACCCACTCTATTCACATACCCACACAAAGTCAAATTTAGGGACTGCAGAGTTAAAATATGACCACAACAACATGAAATTTTAAAAAGAGAAAAAATGGAAAATGGAAATTACCACTAGTACACCATTAGTAACAATATTCTCAGGAGGAGCTGAGCTGAAAATAAATAAATAAAAAGGCATGTATCATAACAGATTTTGGTTATTTAAATGTTCCTTTTATCTAATTCGGGGTGACATGAGTTAATGACCTTACAATCTGCATTAACTTATTTTGGCTACAGTTTAGCCACATTCTAATGTGAAGCTTTTAAAACTGATTATAGGTTTATCACTTGTAGGTGAGCAATGGAGAATTAGGCAAGAGTATGAAACACCCAAGACTAAGATGAAACTGAACACCATTTTGACAATTTATTTTCATTTGGAATAATGAAATTGATTATGTGCCATCAAGTCATTTCTGATTCCTAGCAACTACATAAATAGATTTTCTCCATGACAAATTATGAGAAAGCAGACATAATATATTAATATACAGAAATGAATGAATGAATATTGCCCGGCACTAACCTATCTAAATTCTAATTGCCTTAATAATTCAGTTTACTTGTAGATAAAGGATTTGATTAATCCAGTCCTTCAGATTAATCCTTCAGATTAATTAGGCAGAAATCATAATAATTTAATTGCTGGCATAAGCAGCACATATATTAAATTTGTCCTGGATTTCCCCAGGCAGAATTCTCAGATATTATATCTATGTGTCAAGGAAATGGGAGCTCTTGGAACTGCTGAGGTTGTTTCAAGACAATAGCTACTGAACATCCAACAAGGTTTGCAGTTCTGGAAATCATGTCTCTGCATGAACCCTATGCCATTCATCCATCAGCCAAGATTGTATGCTGACTAAAGTGCTTGGCTTGTGCCAAGGAGTTCTAGGTTCAATCAAGCTCATCCTTGGACATGAAAATTTATTGAGTGATTTTAAATGCTGTCTTTGAGTCTAGCAGATTAACAGAATTTAGAATTCCACTTCATATTATGAAGTCGTTGGGTGTTTTATAATTCACACTTAACCATGGCACAAACATGATCCAGCAATCTCTTGTTATTCTGGCATGTCCTCCTGTGTTGCCTTCATCTGTTCCTCAATCCCTTTGAGCTCACTGGTCTTTTAGAGTTTGTGTTCTTTTTTCAGATGTTTGCTTTTTGTATTCTTTTTATTATTTTGTTTTAAGTAATATTCTGTTGTATATCACCCAAAGTCATCATGGAATTGGGTGGCTTATAAATTAATATATTTAATTATTAAATCCATGTCTGAGACATTTTAAAGTCACCCTTAGCTGTCCTCCTGTTTTCAGCATTAAACAAACAGTTTTGCCCGGAGTATTTAAAAAGTCTTCATTGACATTTTCCCCAAGTATAATCTGAAGTACTTCCCCTGACAATTCAGTTGGTAGGGCATCTATTCAGCATCTTAAGCTGGTGTAGCCAAGGCCTTTCCTATCAAATCCAAGGACTCCCATCAACTCCCATCAAGTCCAATGACACAGCAGTTTTGAATAGAGGAGGATCTGGCTTTTCAAACAGAGGCTGAGAGATTGGATCAGGCCTAAATGAATGAAACCAACTGATGACTCTAGCCATGATCGTGATGATCATTACTTGATAGATTTTGAATCCACCTTTTCTTCAGGAGCTCAAGGGATCACACATAATGCTCTGTCCTCCCATTTTCGCCACAGCAACAATTCTGTGAAGTAAGTTGAGCTTAGAGGCAGTGACTGGACCATAGCATAAAAGTCATCAAGCTGGATATCTTTGTGACGGGTCATGACAATGAGAAAGGGAGAGGGCAGCAAAGCTAAAAGATTTAATCAGAGTCTTTTCTTAATATACTATCCATATCAAAAATCACTATGCAACAACAAGTCTTAATAGGAGCTTTAAAGATAAGGCAGGGATTGACAGAGAGCAAAATTTAAGTTGGTAATGTTTCCTCATGTCTTAAAGCTGGGCAGAGAATGTTTTAATTTAGCACTGAGGAAAAGACCTGTCAAGTCATCTGTCCAAATACCAATCTTCCCATTGAAATGATGACCAACCCTAACTCCTAATCAATCCAACGATTCTGAACTGGCACTTTTCCATATTATCAGGGTAGAATAGACTAGGACTATGAGTAACAGAAAAGCTTCTACTTTTTGTTATCATTTGAGGGTCACCTGAGTTTTTTATAATCCTAATCTGGTAGTTTTAGAATAGGCATTTAAAAAATCTGTGTAATTTGAAGATAGCTACTATTATTACTACTACTAATTGGTCTACTGTATATGACAATAGAATCATAAATTCAGATCCATCATTTGAGAAAGAGAGCCTCGGTGAATAGTGCAAGAATAAAGGAAGGCTGAAGGGAGATGGAAGTTATAAATGCTAAGATGCCCACATACTCCATGCCAGGATATCAGGCAGAGGCACACAAAATTGGACAAGTTCTATCCAATATCTAATGCCTCACTGCCTATATTTTCCATAGCAGGCAGGGAAGCTTTTTTTAATGTTACAAATTCTTAAAAGTCTAGGAAGTACTTACATATTTTCCAGACTAAATTCTACTTCCAGATTTTCTTGAATCTATGAAAAAATAATGCATTATTTCATTATGACATATACGGAGTTATCTCCAGAAAATGCACTTACATAAATTCCTTTAATACACAATGATATATTAATTTCTTGTAATAGGATATCTTTTCTTTTACAGCTTCCACACTCTAGATATAAGTATTATGGTATCTAGTAGTTAAGTTAAATAAACCGGTGGCCCTCTTAATATTTATTTTAGTGTCTTGTGTCTTCATTTCATTATGTGGGTATTGTACCCATTTTAGCAGGAAGCTTCTGTCTGATTCTTGCTATCACTTCCCTGAGAATTAAATTTAAATATCTTGGGATATTTGCAACATATTGAAGGAATTCCAGTGAGGACATGATGAACAGACATTCCTAAACAGCAAGGACAACATTATGGCCAAATGGGTGATAGGATACTGGATTCAAGCTGCAGAAATAGCTCTAGGGAAAGGATAGATCATGAGAGCACCCATATATAGTCTGAACAGCTGCTACTCATGAATAGATGGCAGGAACTAGTGTTTCTGCAGACACTTCTGTGTTTGAAGCTGTGAGTTGAGGGCTTTCATCAAGCTCATAAGCTAATAATACCGCCAAGGATGTTTAAGTTGAATCAATCCTCATCTCTTAATCACTTTTGGAATTACTTTTTTAAAATTATTTCTAAAATATTGAGAACCCTCAGAATTGATACTGAAATGATTTCTGAATATGAACATAAAGACTCAGAAAAAATATTTTTGAAGTAAACAGAAACATAATAAGCTGGGATATTGATGTTTGTTCACTAGAGGGAATTAGAAGGAACGAAAGATTGCATTTAAAGGAGGAACACATAAATTGCTTGACAAGAATGGAACAAGATGTTTTAACATTGGATCCAATTTAAGGATAGTTGGAAACAATGGATTCAGAAATTAATTTTAAAAATATCTGCTGTTATTGATAAACAGATTGTAAATGATGTGGTGGAAGAGGAACAAGTTCTACTGGATAAGACTGAAACTAATTTAAATGTGGATTTGGAAATGACAAGTTACAAGAATTATATAGAAGGGGATGAAATACTGGATGTACAAATAAAACTGGCTGAGGCTTCAACAATTAAAAAGGGCATACATATAATAAACCAGGCAAGTAATTTAATCTTCCTATACTGGATGAAAGAGCCTGCTAAAACTTTGAAGGATTCTGTGACAAGAGGCAAAAGAAAAATGAAAAGAAATCCAGCTCTAAGACAGAGATCTGCTAAAGTTTTCAAGGTTTTTCTGAGAAAAAACAAAGAAAGAAATGAAAAGAAACCAATTTACAGTATATTTGAGGGTACTAAAAACTAAAACTGTACGGAATAAGGGAGGAAGAATATGAAGTAACTGAATAACAGTTGGAAGGGACCTTGGAGGGCTTCTAGTCCATCTCAAAGCTCAAACAGGAGCCCCTATACAATTTCAGACAAATGGTTGTCCAATCTCTTCTTCTTTTTTTCTTTTAAAAGCCTATGACAATCCCAGCTGAGTTGCCTGATCGTCAGAGGCTTTTTTTTCTTTTAAAAACATTTTTTTAAGTTGTCAGAGGCTTTTAAAAGCATTTTTTCTACAACCTCTTTTTACTTTTAAAAGCATTTTTTTTTTCAGCCAAAGAGTTTGTAGAAAAAATGCTTTTAAAAATAAAAAAAAGCCTCTGATGATTGTGCGGCTCAGCTGGGCGGGGGGGGGCAGGGATTTTTGCTACCAGTTCTACGAACCACCCGCCACCCTCGCTACCAGATCAGGTGATCCAGTCCAAACTGGGAGCATTTCACCCCTGCTCTCCTCTCCCTTCTCTCCCTCAGGCTGGCCCCATAGATCCTCTCCTCTCCCCTTCTCTCCCTCAGACTGGCCCCACAAAAGCCTCTCCTCTCCTCTCCCTCAGGCTGACTCCACAGAAGCCTCTCTTATCTTACCCACTTTTCTACCTCAGGCTGGCCCCATAGATCCTCTCCACTCCCCTTCTCTCCCTCAGGCTGGCCCCATAGATCCTCTCCTCTCCCCTTCTCTCCCTCAGGCTTTCTAGCCCCTTCTCTCCATGAGGCTTGCCCCACAGAAGCCTGTCCTATGCTATCCTATTCTCTCCAGAGTTATTTTCAAGTTGGGAGGGGGAGTAGAACGTCTAACTAATTAGCATCAGAGCGTGTTATAATAATATAGGAAATACTAATGCTCTGCTGGTCATTTTGAAAAATCCTTTCTTAGTGAGCACCTAGAAGCCAAGAGGAACATACATGGCAAATTTCAAGTTTGTAGGCTTTACAGTTCTGGAGATATCATGACTAATGAGAGTGGTTTTTGCTTTTATATATATAGATAAGTTGTTCTTTTTGGTAACTTTTAATGACTTTTGCTAATTAAGATAGAAGGTTTTAAAGCTTATGATAAGTAGATGAGGTATGGGATGAAGAAAGTCTTTGTTATTTTTAAAGAGAACTTGATAAGTGGTTTAAAATTTAATCATATTGTGATGAGGGAGAAGTCACTTACTTTCTCCCCTCTATTATATATGTTTTTCTTCTTGCAATATCATATATAAAATACATATTGTAGTTGCTAGTATTTATAAAATCTGTAATCTTTAATAAAATTATTATATTAAAAAGGATGTCTGCAACATAATCAGCAGGCTTGTTTTCATTTCACCTGAATCCAGTAGAAGCACAATTGCAATCAGTTCACTGATGTTTGAATGCCATTTCCAATTCATTTAAACCAAAACTCCTTAAAGTCACCTCTTGTAGATAAAATAACAGTGATGACATTTTGCTTCCAAAGTATTATTCTTGAAGAATGATTACATCTGAATGTCTGTTTTACACATGTGAATTCAATATACATTAAAAAAAAACATTTCTAGTAAAGAATTTGGAAAGTTTAGCCATGATATATCTGAACACCAATAAGGTTCCTAGAATTCCCACCCTGCCCTTCCTAGCCTGTTGTGTTTGAGGGGTGAGATGGGTTGATGCTGAAAGTTCCCATTAAATCTGTGTTCATCTATTCCCATTCCCCCACCAGTAAATGTCAACAGTTTTGTTGCTTGTTAATCATGCCCTTCCTTTGACCAGCAATTCTGCCCCTTACTTTTGGATCCAATGGAAATGTGAGGCAAATTGTTTCTCCAAGCTGAAGTTTAGCAATGTCGAAGAGAACAGTGAAGGGGTCACCATCCAAAAGACAGTGGTTTTCATCATGAACGATCAGCTCCAAAATATTCTGAGAAGAGAAGGAAACTTAAATCATCAGATTTTGAATTTAGACCACCAAACCAAAAAGAGAGTAATATTCAGTGGTCAGACTCTTCTCTTCATACATAAGAAGGCAATTTCATTTTCATTACAGAATTCCAGTTATAGTTTAAAATCAAAGTATGTATTAGGACTATAAGTCTTTGAATTCTAAGCTTGAGGAAGAAAGCAAAGCTATAGTTGATTCTTACATTATTGTTCTGACCTAGGCTTCCTTAGAAATTAAACAGCACAAACTTAGTCCCAGCAAATCTCTTTAATTCATACGGCTGTAAATTACTTTTATTTACAGTCTGCAAAGCTTGATAAACAGTCTTTCAGAGGAAGGTTATCAACTCCCACCTATCTCATATGGAACATTGCCAAAAAGCTAATTTCCAGATGCAGGGCAAGGCCAAACTTGGCACAAAGTCACAAACAGAAGTTTCAAATCTTGAATCAGCCATATGAACTAATTGCTTCTGCAAAAACTCACATCCCATTCGCTTCTTTTATGTCTTATGAGAGGGACCAATCATCTCCAAGCCTTACTCCCAACTCGATCCTGTTTCCTTAATTGTTCCTGTCTCCTGGCAGCTCTACGCTTGCGCACACTGCACACAATTAAATGTATATGTGACACCCCCCCAATCTCATTATCTCTACTAGCTCTGGTGATTTACACACCACTCAAAAGAAACAATAAAATAAACAAAAAAGAAACAAAAAGATGGCACTTCTTGGAGATCCAAACACCTCCTTGCCAGCAATTAACACCCTGATAAGCAGGGATTAAGACCAGAAAGAACATCAGGCAAACAATCAAGGAATAAACAATCAAGAAACTACCAACACAGGCAAGGCAGTGGCCCACACCTAATCAAGGAATTACCAACTACACCCACCCAATACAGACAGAGCAAGCTACTGTACATAAGTAGAGAGAAAATTCCACTCCCCTCTAGCAATGAAGATATTATCTAGCCAAGTATGAAACATCTGCAGAAAAACAACCAAGAACTCACAGAAGGCATACTGTTATTACCCAACATCTACTAGTCTATATTAAAACATTAGTATAATCTTTGAATGATATGAACTCTTAACTATGATGAAATAAATTATCTGTGTTCTATGATAATTTCTGCTTAATAAAAGCAAGTGAAGGGTAGGTAGGGTAGGCTGATTGCACTTGATAGCGATAATAATTTGGTGGAGAGGAAGAGAGACAATATTCTTCCTTTGCAAGTTTTCTAATTGTGGCAGCAATGCAGCCATACTTTGAATAAGTGTGAAAAAGTGTGTCTTTTCCCCCACATCAAATATTAAACTATGAAACAATATCAGCTGTGATATACAAAATGTAATGTGAGAAATATCTTTTCCTTCCTACTTACAAAATGATTGGTAGATTTGGGGCTGTGACTTACAGTTTAATTGCCACTTATTCTGTTAGGCTCAATACCCAGGGTATACCAAAAATATTATGGCTCATCCTTGCCCACTGTGAACTGGCTTTTATTAAGCAGAAATTACCACAGAACATATATAATGTATTTGATTATGACTAATAACTAAGAGTTCATATAATTTAAAGATTATATGTGTTTTCATAATTTAAAGATTATATGTGTTTTCATATCACGTTAGTAGATATTAAATAATAACAGTATGCCCTCTGTGAAGTTCTTGTGCAGACATTCTTTTATCCAGCTAGGTAACATCTTCAGTACTAGAAGGGAGTGGGGTTTTCTCTCTGCTTATGTACAGTAGCTTGCCCTGTCTGTATTGGTGCGGGTATAGTTTTCTCCTTGATAGTTCCTTGATTAGGGTGTGATCGACTGCTTTGTTTCAGTTGGTAGTTCCTTGATTGTTTATTGCTTGATTGTTTGCCTGATATTCTTTCTGGTCTTAATCCCTGCTTATCAGGGTGTTAATTGCTGGCAAGGAGGTGTTTGGATCTCCAAGAAATGCCATCTTTTTGTTTCTTTTTTTATTGCTTCTTTTGAATGGTGTGTAAATCACCAGAGCTAGTAGAGATAATGAGATGGGGGGTGTGTGTCACATATAATTAATAAATAAAAATATGGTATTTCTCTAGGTGCCTATTGATGGCTGATTCATCTGCGTGCCCAGCTTCCATGAATTCCCTAGCATTTTTCAATTTAAGCTTTAGTCTGGGATGCTCAATTTATTCTGGGGAGTGATATCCCAGTTGAAAGTACAGTATGTCCTTCATAAATGTACTTGGATGAGATTAAAATTAATTGTAGGATAGTCACCTACTTTCTGTATAGAAATCAGATAATTTTTTTTTCTTGAGTACAAAGTTCAGAAGTGGTTTCCAAGCAGAAACAAAACTGGAATGTTCTTTTATTTAATTAAAATAATTAAAACAATCACCTTTGTTATTTCTACTAGCTCTATGACTTTTTATATCCATTCTTTTGTTGTGCCTGATGTTCAATAAAAATTCAATAAAAATAATTTTTTAAAAAAGATTTATCTCTATGTGCTTATTGATGTCTGATTCATCTGAGTGCCAAGCTTCTAGGAATTCCCTAACAGGTTTCAATTTAGCTTTAGTTTGGGATGCTCAGTTTAGTCTGGGGAACTATGTCCCAGTTTACAAAAACGTCTATGATCAAATTGATGACATTGTGAGTTAAGGAAAGAATTATAATGGCACCTCTTAGCAATAATACTCATTAAAAATACTTTGACCACAGTATTATTTATTTATTTATTTATTTATTTATTTTTATTTATTATATTTCTATACCGCCTTTCTCCCGTAGGACTCAGGGCGGTGTACAGTCAAGAAAAATATAGACACACAAACATAATAAAATTGCTAATTAAAATTATTACTTAGTTTGGTCAATTAAATAAAACCCAGAATTAGATAACATTTAAAAAATTCATTCACATGTTCATATGTTTAGCCCCGCCTGTTGGAACATCAGGGTCTTGAGGGCACGGCGGAAAGCACGGAGATCAGGGATATTCCGTATCTCCGGGGGCAGTTCATTCCAAAGGGTTGGAGCCCTCACAGAGAAGGCCTTCCCCCTGGGAGTTGCCAGTCGGCATAATTTGACTGACGGTACCCTGAGTAGTCCCTCCCTGTGAGAACGAACTGGTCGGTGGGAGGCTATTGGTGGCAAAAGACGGTCTCATAGGTACCCAGGTCCTAAGCCATGGAGCGCTTTAAAGGTGATAACTAACACCTTGAATCGCACCCGGAAGACCACTGGGAGCCAGTGCAGCTCGCGTAGGAGAGGTGTTACACGGGCGTAATGAACTGCGCCCATAATCACCCGCGTGGCTACATTCTGGACCAGTTGGAGCCTCCAGGTGCTTTTCAAGGGGAGCCCCTTGTAGAGAGCATTACAGTAGTCCATACGATAACTAGGGCATGAGGAATGAATGAATGAATGAATGAATGAATGAATGAATGAATGAATGAATGAATGAATGTTGGCCACAACAATAATGCAGAATTTGCTTAAGCTCAGAAGTTCACAGAATTTCATTTTAGTTTGCAAACAGACAGCAGAATGAGAAATTATTCTTATACTAAGTCCTATTTGTGAGCTTTCTATAAGTGGCCACTGTGATTTAGACTAATGGACTATACGTACCTCATATATTTTCTTAGGTTTTAAGGTTATTAATATTAAGAGTAATATTAATCACTTTGTGCCTTACTTTGACTTGATTCTGTATCCTGTAGCAGAAGGTTTCATTCCATACTGGATCTTTACAGTCCTTAATATTCTTTGTCCGAGCCGTTTCAAATGAAGCTGATGGCAGGAACAAGCTCACATAGCAATCAGACTGGCTAACTGTTGGGTTTTAATTTTTTTTTTTAAAAAAGGAGGGATTAATGCAGTATTCCTAGAAGACATACTATTATTAAAATTTATTTTAATCCCTGACAAGATCATATACACATACCAAGAGTACAAAGAAACCAAGAGGTTTTTTTTAACTAGATCTAATTTCTGAATTCACAATGGCTGAATGAACATTAAAGTTTAGATCATAAATCCATAGAACTACCTAAGCACTTTCACTATGTCCACTCAACACATAGAAATTGATACATGGTCTCTAAGAGTATGTTTATTTTACAAGCACCAAAAATATCATATGCATCGTGATACCAACATTCAAATGACATAAATGAAGTATGTCACATCATTTGTGTGTTAATATAATACACATGACCTTCTTTGCTGTCCTTTGAACATGCCCTTGTCTGTAATGGCTCCATAAAATGCCTTTATTATTATGCCTTTATTATACTGTACATAAATTATTTCTGGTTCTCTCTAGAAGTACAAGAAGCTCTAGGAAGAAGAAGCTCTATGGCAACAATGACCTTTGCTACAACAGGGTGACATTTTTACTCTTATTTTATTTACCAGTGAACAGTTACATATATTACCTTTATCTACAATTCCCTTCCTTTATATTGTACAGCTATTGAAACTGCTTCTAATATAATACTGTATAGACAATTATCTTGCTTCTTTGGCAGCTCATCTAAGGTTATGAAGTTTAATCAATCAGAATAGAGCTGGAAGGGTCTTTGCAGGTCTTCTAATCCAGCCTCCTGCTCAAGCATATATCATTTCAGACAAATGACTTAACAGTCACTTCTTAAAAACCTCCAGTGATGAAGCACCATAAGGTCTGAAGACAAGTTGTTCCACTGTTTAACTGTCCTCACTGTTAGGAAGTTTCTCCTTCATTCCTTCATTTTTCAGAAAAAAATAGGCTGAAAAAAGCCCCGAAAATGTGCCTAAAAAAAGCCTCAAAAAAGGCCGAAATAATAATAATAATAATAATAATAATAATAATAATAATAATAATAATTTTATTTCTATACCGCCCTTCTCCCGAAGGACTCAGGGCGGTGTACAGCCAGTTTAAAAACACAAGACACAACAATAATTAAAAATTAAAATAATTAAATAAATTTGGCTGATTTAAAACTCTAAAAATTAAAATACCCCAATTTAAAATTATTATATTGACAGCCCTGCCTGGCGGAACAACAAGGTCTTCAATGCGCAGCGGAACACCCGGAGGTCGGAGATCTTGCGTATTTCCGGGGGCAGTTCATTCCACAGGGCTGGGGCTCCCACAGAGAAGGCCCTCCCCCTGGGTGTCGCCAGCCGACATAACTTGGCTGATGGCACCCTGAGGAAACCCTCTCTGTGGGAACAGACTGGTCGGTGGGAGGCTATTGGTGGCAGAAGACGGTCTCGAAGGTACCCGGGTCCTATGCCATGGAGTGCTTTAAAGGTGGTAACCAACACCTTGAATCGCACCCGGAAGACCACTGGGAGCCAGTGCAGCTCGCACAGGAGGGGTGTCACACGGGCACAGCGAGTTGCGCCCATAACCACCTGCGTGGCCGCATTCTGGACCAGTTGGAGCCTCCGAGTGCTCTTCAAGGGGAACCCCATGTAGAGAGCATTACAATAGTCCAGCCGGGAGGTGACAAGGGCATGAGTGACCGTGCACAAGGCGTCCCGGTCCAGAAAGGGCTGCAACTGGCGGATCAGGCGAACCTGATAAAAGGCCCCCCTGGCCACGGCCGTCATGTGCTCTTCTAAAGACAGCCATGCATCCAGGAGGACACCCAGATTGCGAGCCCTCTCTGTGGGGGGCAAGGATTCACCCCCAATAGTCAGCGATGGCACCTGCTGACTATATCGGGACGCCGGCAACCACAGCCACTCGGTCTTGGATGGGTTGAGTCTGAGCCTGTTCCTCCCCATCCAGGCCCGTACGGCCTCCAGGCAGCGAGACATCACATCAAGGGCATCGTTGGGGTGGTCTGGGGTAGAGATGTACAGCTGAGTATCATCAGCATACAGGTGACACTTCACCCCAAAACCACGGATGATCTCACCCAGCGGCTTCACATAAATGTTGAACAGAAGAGGCGAGAGGACCGACCCTTGTGGCACTCCCCATGCGAGATGCCTCAAGGTTGACCTCTGCCCCCCTGCCAACACGAACTGCGAGCGGCCGGAGAGGAAGGAAGAGAACCACCGCAAAATGGTGCCCCCTACTCCTAACCCTCTAAACCGCTGCAGCAGGATACCATGGTCGATGGTATCAAAAGCCACTGAGAGATCTAATAGGACTAGGACAGAGGAGCAACCCCTGTCCCGGGCCCTCCAGAGATCATCCACCAACGCGACCAATGCCGTTTCTGTGCTGTGCCCCTGCCTGAAGCCCGACTGGTACGGGTCTAGATAGATAGCTTCATCCAGGTGCCTGGGCAGTTGTCGTGACACCACACTCTCAACAACCTTCGCCACAAAATGAAGGTTGGAGACCGGACGGTAGTTAACTAATTCAGCCAGGTCCAGGGAAGGCTTCTTGAGGAGGGGCCTCACCACCGCCTCTTTCAAGGCGGCGGGAAAGGCACCCTCACTCAGAGAAGCAGTTATAATCCCCTGGAGCCAGCCTCGTGTAACCTCCCGGGAGGCCAGTACCAACCAGGAGGGACACGGGTCCAATAAACATGTGGCGGCACTAATCCTACCCAGAACCCTGTCCACATCCTCGGGAGCCACAGGATCAAACTCCTCCCAGATAATATTCTCAAGACCTACCCTCGTCTCCTCCCCCGGACTCGCCCAGTCGGAGTCCAAGCCTTCCCGAATCCGACCGACTTTATCGTGCAGGAATTGCACAAAATCCTCAGCTCGACCCTGCAAGGGATCCTCCCGCACTCCCCCCTGAAGAAGGGAGTGGGTCACCCTAAATAGGGCAGCTGGGCAGTTCTCTGCAGATGCGATAAGAGCGGAAAAATGGTTAGATTTCGCCGCTTTTATCGCCACTAGGTAGGTCTTGATATAAGACCTCACCTGTGTCCGGTCGGAATCAGAATGACTAGTCCTCCAAATGCTCTCTAGGCGTCTTTTCCGACGCTTCATCTCTCTCAGCTCCTCAGAGAACCAAGGAGCCAATTGAGATCGGCATCGGGTCAGAGGCCGCAAGGGCACGACACGATCCAAAGCTCCAGCGGCCGCACTCTCCCAGGCGGCCACCAGCTCTTCAGTCGAGTCGTATGTCAGGGTCTCAGGAAACGGCCCAAGCTCCATCAGGAACCTTTCTGGATCCATCAGGCGCCTGGGATGGAACCATTTAGTCGGTTCCGTCTCCCTGCGGCGGGGGGAAGCGGTAGGAAAGTCCAAGTGAAGGAGCGAATGATCTGTCCATGACAAGGGTTTAATGTCTAAGTCCCCTCTACCAAGATCATTCAACCACTGACCAGAGATGAAAATCAAGTCCAGAGTGTGTCCTCCTATGTGAGTGGGGCCTTGAACTAACTGGGTCAGGTCCATGGCCGTCATGGAAGCCATGAACTCCCGAGCCACCTCTGATGTCTCACCCGCGGATGGAAGGTTGAAATCCCCCATGACAATAAGTCTGGGGGTATCCACCGCCACCCCGGCGATGATGTCGAGTAGCTCGAGTAGGGTCGCTGCCACGTGGCAGGGAGCCAGGTACGCAGTCAGCAAACCCATCTGCACCCCACGGCCCCACTTCACAAAGAGGGACTCACATCCGGCTATCTGAGGAACAGTGGTCTCCCTTGGACAAAGACTCTCCCTAATAATCAGCGCCACTCCCCCACCCCTCCCCTGGGCCCTTGGCTGATGAAATGCACGAAAACCTGGTGGGCACATTTCAACGAGGGGGACCCCCCCCTCTTGGCCCAACCAGGTCTCCGTAATACCTGCCATGTCCGCACCCCCCTCCAATATAAGATCACAGATGAGGGGGGCTTTATTAACAACCGACCTGGCATTACATAACATCAGCCGTGGACCCTGGGCCTGAGACTCTGCACAACCCAGGCCACGAGACGCGCATTGGGGACTGGAGTGCGCAATTGCTCGTAAACAGCATATGTGCACCCCCGGCACATGATATGGTCCCCTGCACCCGTCATACCTGCCCCTCCCACTCATTATTTCAATTGCATTGCCCTTCTTGTTATTCCCCTGCTCCCCGGATAAATTTTCTTTCCTGACCCCTCTGCTGCAGCCAATCAACCTGTCACCCCGCTCAGTAGCTATCTGGACCCCCCCAGGTCCACTTTCACAACCCCCTCCCTTCCTCCCGGGTCCCCTTAAAATTTTCTTTAAAAATTTAAATAAAAAACCCCTCAACCCCCTCTTCGCTGCATGCCATCTCTTGGGATTCCAAAATCCGTCATCAAGATAGGCCCTCGATAGCGTGGAGGGCCAGACCTGCGAGAGGGGGGAGTCTCGCAGAGCAAGGAGTTCGGCGGCCGAGTGCATCAAGAACCGGGAAGGGTGAAATGTCCTCTGGCTGAGGTTCCATAGAATAATCTAATCGTCCTAGGGCATGGAGAGGCAGCAACTCAAGACATGGAAAAGCTGGGTTCCACTGTCCTCTCACGACAGTGGGCGAAGTCTCGTGCGATTTCGACAAAACTCAGAAGGTGCTCTCTCCAGGCCATCCTCTCACGATGGCTAGCCAAGATGGAATTGGCTATGGAGAGATTCGATAGTCCATCCGCTCTGGTAGGGGAAACGGCAGTTGAACCAGACTCCCTCAGAATCCATATCAGAATTGTCCATTCTCCACACCTTTCAAGGGCATAGGTGGAATAGAGCCAGTCTAGAAGGCAGAATAGTAACACAGGGAACAGATGATACATGGAAAGCAATAAAGGGAGATGGCTTGCAAGGGAGAAAGTAGCTGGGGTGGTGACCATGATAAGGTCTATACAGGCCAACAAAAAAGGGGGGAGGGGGAATGGCCTAAGGCAGCCCAAGGCCAACCCTCGGCCGTCTTCCAACCTCTCCCACTCCCCAGGTCTTCCAGGTCTTCCAGCATTTTATACCCCCAATCTACAGCCCCAGTCTCCAATGGGGCCTCCGGATTCCTGCAGCAAAGTGGGACAGCAGAAATAGGCCGCCCTCTAGCAGGTCCGGGGTTTCAAGATAGAAGCCAGCAGCCTCTCACCATAGCGTCCTCTTCGATAGCAGCCAGCTGCTGCCCCCTCGCCTCCACCATCGACCAGTGGCCGCCGACCGCCCCGCGCCCACTGCCAGTGCCGGCGCCGCTTCCCATGGCTCCCACCATACTCCAGGGTACCCAGGAGCCTCAGGAAACCCCAGGAGAGGCCAGGAATCCAGGGGAGCCACCGCATTGCCGCCGTCGCCACCGCAGAGCTGCCGCCGCCGTCAGTCCATGCCGGAGGCCGAGAAAAGCACCGCCAGTCAGATCGCTACCGACGTCATCCCGCGGAGCCTTCAGCAGCCGTTTTTTCCTCGACCCGATGTTCCGGAGGGCAAAAAACCCCTCAATGGGTCGGGGAAAGATTCCTCTCTCAAGGACTGGGGGCCATGGTGGACAATCGCCCCAGGAACCTCCCAAAATTGCCAGGAATCACCCCATCTGCCGGGAGCGTCTCAGGCTGAATCCTCCATCTTGGACATGCGCAGAAAGCGGATTCTGGATGTTTGCGGGGGTTGCCTCCCAGCCTTGAAATGGGCTGAAAAAAGCCTTGAAATGGCCGAAAAGCCTCAAAACGGGCCAAAAACAGGCCCAAAAAATGGGAGGCCAAAAACTTTTTTTCCCCCTCTTGTAAACTTAGGTGCGTCTTATAGTCAAGTGCATCTTATTGTTCAAAAAATATGATAGGCTTTTTGGCTGCAGCAGCACACTGCTGACTCATGTTTAAGTGTTTCTAGATGTTCATAGATCTGTTTTTTGATTATTTTTTCCAGTATATTCCCAGGTATTGATGTTAGGCTGATTGGTCTATAGTTTTCTGGGTCTGGTTATTTTTTTTCTCTCTCTTTCTTTTTTTGAAAATGGAAACCACACCAGCTCTTTGCCAATCCTCTGGTAGTTCCTCAGTGCTCCAAGACTTTTTTAATGATATGTTACAATGGTTCTGAGATAGCATCTGCCAGTTCCTTCAGAACTCTGGGATGTAATCCATCAGGTCCCAGTGATTTATATTCACCAAGGTCTGACAGGTGTTCTCTTAAGATTTTCTTGCTTATTTTAATTTTTCTTTATATGGAAGCAAAAAAAAGGGGGGGGGGAATTGTGTCACTAATTGCTTGATAAAAAAAATAATGAGTTGACTGTTCCCTTTCTTTTTGCAGTGTCCGCGGAAAAGAATTCTGCTCAGTCACCTATCCCTCTTGAGAGAGGGTGCTTTTAAATGAATTAACAATTAAAATGTTACCTTCCTAATAGTATTATGGCTTTTATCCGACTTGTGGCATTAGAATTTCTATAGACTATTATGGACTTCTTTCCTTTTCTGCTTTGCTTTTGCTGGCCTAGTTGGTGAATTCCAGCCTATGATTCAGAAGATCATAATGAATAATGAATAATAATAACAAAAACAATGTAGGTAGCTCGTAGAAGTTGGATTTGAAAGAATTGTTGCTTACATGCAAAAGGGAAGCAAATACTTTGGTCAGATATCAACTTCTTTACTGAATACACTGAAGGAATTAAATCACTTTATAATATTTTGGACAGATTATAATAGTATTCAAAACTAAAGAAACCTCAGCGGGGATTAGTGCCTGCATATTAACAAACTAGTGCAGAAGTATCCATAGGCAGGAGGATCAAAAAATGTTCATGATGATGGCTACAACTATACAATGGAAGCCCCATCTCATTTTATTTATATGCTTTGTGCATGCGGGACATATTAAAAAGTGGAAAAGCTTCAATTGCATGATCAAAACCACCATCTTTGCCTTTTTTGACCCCATCCCCCACCCCACCTTTTAAAACACACACTTCTGTACGGGAAGAGAGATGCTTCCCTGAGAAATGGGGCTTTTCAGCAAGTTTCCTCTGCTACTTGTTTATTGAACTAGATATAGGAAGCATCATCTATATACACACAACTTGCTACGTTCAGAGAATTTACACAGTAAAGCTAAATTGCAGAATGACTACATGGGTCAGAAAAAAATGAGTTTGAGGATAATTAAGTTTTTATAATATAAACAAATAAGTAATTTGAATTTTCATAGGACATGTAAATAAGAGGACATTTTAAAACTTATTCTTCCCTTATCCTAAATTTTGTCTTTCAGAGGCAATTAACAAAGGAAACCCTCTATAGTATGGATTAACCTTTCAGTCCTTGTTAAAAAGGAAAACTCTCAATGCAAACATCTTTTGGAAATGTATCATGTTTAATAAGTTTCTATAATCTGTTTGAAACACACTTTAAAGGAGAAAATGCAACTTAGAAATAAAATAAGGAAAATTAAATTCTTCTGAAATTGCATATACCTTTACAGTATAGTAGCAACTGTATTACACTGCATTATAGTATTTTATTCAATGTGAATATATATGTCAGAGCAAAGTAGTAGTGAGTGCCCAGTGTACCATATGAAATCTGTAGAAATGGTAGAATACTCACATAAATTGGCTTTTTGTAAATTGGTTATTTGTATGATTTTCACAGAGAGCAAACTGAAAGATGCCTTCTCCATCTGCAGAATAACAGCAAACAGAAAAATTTACTGCTCTGTGCCGATCAACCCATGGTCAACTACTGCGGCTTCTCAAAAGGCGTTTAATCAGAAAGAGCTAGAGTTAAAATCAGGTAAGTTAGTCAGCATTCAGGTCATCAGGACATTGTACCATGTGGGAAGAGAAGGGAAGGGAAGGGAGAGGGGAGGGGAAGGGGAAATGAATAGTGAAGCTCTTTCTGCTTGTTTTTTCCCATATCTAAAATTGCTAGTCAGATCTCAGGAAGTCTATTTCACCTCCTAGAGCTTGATTGCCATATTGTAGAAGAGCATGCAGAGTTGGGGGGTGATGTTAAACATGTTATCAGCTTAGAGTTCTTATGTTGCCACAAATGATCCAAGTCCAGCTCCTCTCTTGAATTCCATTAACATTCTTCTAGCTCCAATTTAGTGCTCATCATTAGATGACTAGATTCTTGTATGTAGGCTTGAATAAATCTTCTCTCAGCAATTTAATGTATTGTCCTAATCCTTTGCATCTGCCATTAATCTAATCATTGGGGGCGGACGTGGATTTGGATTATTTGTGGCAACATGAAGGCCTCTGACATGCTGTGCTCCCACAACTCAAAGTGTTTGCATTTTTCCTACACATAACCCTAAAATACATTCACATAGCACGGGTGCAAGCTAAGTCATTCCTCAGTTCAGCCTTTCGAGAACCTTGCTTACATTCACCCACCTTGTCAAATTACTATCAAGATAGTACTTGATTAACAACCTTTTGTTCATTCAAAGTTGCAGTCGATCTCTCTGCTTGGTTCAGAGATTAATCTTCAAGCCAGGAAGGGGCATCCACTTCAGGTGTTTTCAATTTGATCTGGAATTGTTTCAGGTATACTTCAAGCTGTCTTTTATTTCCTGCAAAGCAAGCTACAATGGTATTGTGCAACTGAGCAAACCGATTGAATAGTGTCTTTACCTCAAATAGATCCTGTAACTGTTCTGAGGAATCTAAATCTCTCATGGAAGAGTTGGCGTTGTTATGCATTGTGATTTTTCACATTTTGTTTTATTATGTGGTCATTATTAATTTTACTGTTAAAAACTAATCATATTTTTAATAAATATTTTTTTAAAAATATGTATAATTCTATGCCTTCAAGTCAGTATTGACTCCTGGTGACAGCCTGGACAAATACCTGCAACTTTCTCTGCAAAAGTTCAGAAGTGGAGCCTCCTTCCTAGGGCTGAGAGAAAGTAACTGGCCCAAGGCCCAACACGTTGTCTCTTAAACACTACAGCAAACTGGCTCTCCTATTCTCAGAAAATATTTAATATTGCAAGGATGTTATTATTATCATTGCCTTTGAGTCAGTGTTGATTCCTGATGTCTTCCTGGAAAAATCCATGTAGTTTTCTTGGATAATTTTTGAGAAGTATTTTGCCATTATCTTCTCATGAAGGCTAAGAGAGAGCGGCTGGCCCAAAGTCAGCCCTCTGGCTACATGTTTAAAGCAAGATTAAACTTCACGGTCTCCCAATTTTTAGACTGAGGTTAATTAAATCATATATTACTGATAGCCATATATTTTGAAGTAGATCTGACTATTGTACACATCAGATTTACTGGGGATTATAATTTTAAAACTATAGAAAACAAAATTTAACACAAATGGTGAACAAGTATAACACCATCTTCTCTCCTTCTTACATATCGCAGAATTTCATTACTGTATTTCTAAATGTAGAACAAACATACAGAGAAATTTCTTCTAATTTGATGCTCAGTCCAGAATAATAAACTTCCAGCTTTGGTTTGAATGTAAAATAAATTTTAAAAAGTATCTTACAATGGATGAAGACATACTAAATCCAAGCATTTATTTCTTTTTTTTTTTTTATTGCAAAAGTTTTACAATTACATTTTCACCCCTTTTTTTCACCCCCCCACCTCCCTCCCCAAACTTCCCGTCCTCCCTAGCCCTCCCTAACCCTCCCCCCCAGACTTCCCTATTATATACTCATAACTAATAATACTGATATATATACCTGAACCCATCCCTCCCCCTATATAATTTTCCCTCTTTATCTCTTTACATTAAAATATTTCTAATACATTGTTTTCAAATAAAAGCTATTTGGTACTTTCTAGTTTGGTATTTGTTCTGAACATATTCTATCCACCTTTTCCATTCCCATTCATAAGTCTCTTGTGAACAATCTTTTAAATATGCTGAAATCTTCGCCATCTCTGCAAAACTGGCCATCTTCAAAATCCATTCCTCGATAGTAGGCAAAGCTTCATTCTTCCAATATTTACCTATCAACAATCTTGCTGCTGTTATCATATACAATATTAATTTTATTTCACCCCGTGTAAAACCCTTAACTATACCCAATAAAAACAATTGTGGAGAAAATTGAATTTTTTTCTTCAAAACATTCTGCATGACCCACCATATTTTTATCCAAAAAGCCTTAACTTTCCTACAGGTCCACCAAACATGATAATACGTAGCATCCAAACATTCACATCTCCAACATTTTGGCTGAACATTAGGGTACATACATGACAACTTTTTAGGATCTAGATGCCATCTATAAAACATTTTATAAAAATTTTCCCTCAAATTCTGCGACTGTGTAAATTTAACATTCTGAACCCAAATTTTTTCCCATGTTTCCAACATCACTGGTTCTTCAAAATTTTGTGCCCACTTAATCATACAATCTTTAACTAATTCCGTTTCTGAATCCCTTTCTAGCAAAACATTGTAAAGCCTTTTAATATGCATTGGACCTTTCTCTCTTATATGTCTAACCAATTCTTCCTCATGCAACATAATACCAGTTTTTTGGTCCTCTTTCCATCTCAATTGTAATTGATTATATTGTAACCAGGTTAAATTAATCCCTTCGTCCAACAGTGTCTGCAATGTCTTCAACTGCCATCTGCCCGCATCTGTAAAAAGAACCTCTTTGTATAAAAACCCCCCGAGTGACATTATATTTGTATTCCACAAGGTATGACCAAGATCCATTTTATAATCCCATTTGAGTCGGTGCTTCTTCCAAACTCTCATCAAAGAGTCTCTAAGTATATGACTTTTAAATACTTTATCAACTTTGTCATCATAAAATAGGTAAGCATGCCATCCAAATTCAAGATCAAAACTTTCTGCATTCAATATTCCAGCCTTTTTACTTCCAAACCAATCACTTGTTAAAGTTAAAGCTGCTGCATCATAATATAACTGTAGGTTTGGAAGTTTAAGGCCTCCTCTTTCTGGAACATCTTGCATAATTTTCAATTTCACTCTCGGCTTTTTCTCGTTCCAGACAAACTTATTAAGTCCAGTTTGCCAAACTTTCAGTTGTTTATCACTTTTAAGCACCGGAATCATTTGAAACAAAAACAGAAATCTTGGCAAAATGTTCATCTTAACTGCTGCTATTCTTCCAAGTAAAGACAGTTGCAGCTTTTTCCAAGTCTCCATGTCTTTCTGAACCTCTCGCCACAACACCTCATAGTTATTTTGAAACAATTTCATGTTTGATTCTGCAACCTGAACTCCAAGATATTTTACCTTAGGTACAATTTCAAAACCTGCCCTCCTTTCAAACTCATGTTTACGATCTTGTGTCATATTTTTGACTATCATTTTAGTCTTTTTTGAGTTCACTCTAAAACCTGAAACTCTACCATAGTCTTGTATAATGTCGTTCATCAAGATTATTGATTCCATTGGTTGTGATAGGGTAACCACCAGATCATCTGCAAATGCCTTTATTCTATAATCCTCTTGCCTTATCATTATGCCTTTCAAAATTTTTGAGTCCCGTATTATATTTAGCAAGACTTCCAATGTTAAAATAAATAAAAGAGGGGACAACGGACATCCCTGTCTTGTTCCTTTTTCAATTTTAAACTCTGTCGTCAAACTTCCATTAATAATAATCTGTGCTTTTTGCTCTTGATAAATTGCTGAGATCGCCTGTATAAATTGGTCCCCAAAGCCCATCTTTTTTAAAGTCTTTAGTAGAAAATTCCAATCCACTCTATCAAAGGCCTTCTCCGCATCCAAAAAAACCAGCACTGCAGAAATCTGTTTATTCTTATCAAGATATTCCAATAAGTCTATTACTTGCCTTACATTGTCCTTCATATATCTGCCCTCAATAAATCCCGCTTGGTCCACATGAATCACCTTTTGGATTACTGGCATCAACCTGTTGGCTAATACCTTCGCATAAATTTTATAGTCTGTGTTCAAAAGAGATATTGGTCTGTAGTTCTCTGGTTTTTTAGGACCAACTTGTTCTTTTGGTATCAAAGATATATAAGCAGTTGTCCAGGATGGAGGTATTTTACCCCCTTGTTGAATATTGCAAAATAAATCTCTAAGTTGTCCCACCATTTCAGCTTGTAAAGTTTTGTAATACATTGCAGTCAGACCATCCGTGCCAGGAGCTTTGGCTGTTTTTAGCTGTTTAATTGCTGCTGTTATCTCCTCCTCTGTTATAGGATAATTCATTCTTTCCTTTTGTTGATCAGTAATTTTTGTAACTCTCTTATCCTTTAAATATTTTTCTATAAGTCCATTCTGCACCTCTTCTTTGGCATATAGTTTAGTATAATAATCCACAAAAGCTTCTTTAATTAGTTTTTGTTGAAAGATTTCTTTCCCTCCAATATCAATACTATCAATAGTCCGTATACTTTGTTTTTTCCTCAATGTGTAAGCCAACCATCTGCCCGGTTTGTTAGCGTTGCAAAATGTGTTATGCTTCGCATATTGTAAACTTGTTGCAACTTGTTCCGCCATAAGCATTTGAAATTGGTCTTTCAAAAGTTTTATAGCACTTCGTATTCTTTCATCTGTTGGATTTTTAATAAGTAACTGTTCTTTATTCTTTATTTCCATTTCCAACTCAGATCTTTTCTTTTGTCGGAGCAGTCTATGTTTAGAGTTCATGTAGATTAGTACCCCTCTCATATAAGCTTTACTTGCATCCCAAACAATTTCAATTGGGGTACCTTTATTCAAATTTATTTCAAAAAATTCTTTCAAGTGCTTTTTAAGTTCTATTGTATTTTTTTCATATCTAAACAAGTTCTCATTTAATCTCCAAGAACGTCTCTCAACCTTATCCATCTCAATTTCTATCCATACAGGGCTATGGTCAGTCAGAGTTCTTGGAAAAATCTTTGTTCTTTTTGTCTTAACAAGTAGATCATTTGACAACAGGATAAAATCAATCCTAGAAAAAGATCTATGTCTATCCGAAAAAAAAGTATAGTCCAATTCATTTGGATTATGTATTCTCCAAACATCTTTTAATTCCATATCTTCTTTCATATCAAAAAAAGTCTGTGGTAATCTAATTCTAGACTTTGCCAAGCTCTTTTTATCTAGTTTAGAATCAATTACTCCATTCCAGTCTCCCATAATTAAAATAGATCTATAGTCCCATTGCAATATTTTAGTATGTAACATCTTGTAAAAATAATCCTGTTGTTGGTTGGGAGCATAAATTCCAATCAAAAGAATTTGACCATTTGCTGTGAGCAATTCAATTGCTACAAACCTACCATCTTGATCTGCTTCTATAACTTTCGCTGTTAATTTTTTATTTACATAAATAACCACACCATTCTTTTTCTGCGAAGTTGAAGATATATAATGTGCTCCTAGTTTTGAATTTATCAAATATTTTTGATCTTGAGTTGTGATATGCGTTTCTTGTAAACATATTATATCATTATTAAATTGTTTCAAATATGTAAATAATTTCTTCCTTTTCTGTGCTGAATTCAACCCATTGACATTCCAAGATAGACACTTAAAGGTCATCAGCCTCTTTCTGGAGCACAGAGCAAAATATTTGAAGTTCATCCGAGAGCTTCGATCTCGCTCCTCCCATAGCTCCACTCTCTTGTACGATACTCTTAACTGCCTTCTTGTCTTGTCTTTCCTGTTGTTGTTGTTGCTTTTGTTTAAGTAGCTTGGATTGGGCTCTAGTTATACGTTGATCTTTAACTTCTGTCAACTGAATCAAATCCAAAATTGGAGAAGAATCCAACAAGGGCTCACTCAGAAAACCTCCTTCTGCACCTTGCACTACTTCTAATTCCTGCTTGGACTGTTCTTGCAATTGCCTCTCTTCACTCTCTTTAATCTCCAAAACTGTGGATGTACGTGGAGATGGTGTTCTTTCCTTAAGAATAGTAGTGTAAAAGTGTTGTGCCTTCTCCACGGTATTCAACCGATACCCTTCTCCCTTGTATCTAAAAATTAACCCAGCTGGTGCGTCCCACCGGAAGGGTATCTGTAAATTTCTCAGTTCCTTAACAAGAAAACCAAATTCTTTTCTGGCTTTCAGCATTTTAGGAGGTAATTCTTTAAAGATTTGAAGTCGTGAACCCCCCACTTGTACAGAAGTATAAAAAGATTTTTGCAGGATATCATTTCTAATTCCTCTTTCTGTAAAGTATATGACCACATCTCTAGGCAGTTGTCTTTGTCTGGCCACCCAAGAGTTCACTCTATAGATTTTATCTATTTTGTGAAATACCACATCAGGATTAACTTGTAGAATCTTGGCCAAGGCTTCAGAACAAACTTGTCTCAAATCCTGTCTCTCCTCCTCTCGAATTCCCCGAAGCCGTATGGCGAATTCCATCGCCCGGAATTGTATCATAACAATCTCATCATCAATTCTCTGCATTTTATTATCAACTTCATCAATTTTATAATCATTGTCTTTCATCTTGACATTAACTTCTGATTTGAATTCTTCAACTTTATAATCAACTTTCCCAATAAATTCTGCCAGGCCAGACGCCACTTCTGATATTTTTTTGGTCACCTTATTTTGATTCTGTTTCACCATGTCTTTGACTTCATTAATTTCCTGCATAAGTTCCTGATGTGATTTTTGAAATTTATCATCTATCTACTGTTGACATTTTTGAAATTTGTCATCCAGAGTTTTAGAAATAAATTCTTTTAAATCTCCCACATCAAATTCTTTTTTCTGAGTTTGTAGCTGTTGAGCAGGGGGAAGTTGCGTTTGCTGTTTGTGTGTGGGGGATCCCCCCCTAATGCCTTCCCTTCCTGCTTCTTTGAAGCCATCCTGGCTCGTGATCTAGTTTTTCTAAAGAGGGAAGTTCCTTTTCCTTTCCCTCCTGCACAAAGACTTCTAAAAAAGTCCCCCAGATTTGATCAAACAAGGGTTAAAATAAAGCAGAGTCCAATATTGAAAAGGGAAAAAAATTTCCCAGTTATTTCTCTTATAACAAGCAAGGCAGCTTAGTAGCAACTTGGAAACTTTGTAGCAAAACAAAATAACTTCACCAATCCACACTCGCTGGCTCGTTAACTCTGAAGCTAGGCGCCATGTTTTTTCAAAGCACTTTCACTCATTCGCATTGTCTCAGATTGAAAAGTCAACAAAGTGCTAATACTTGCGTTTCCAAATTTCAGGATTCAGGTAGTTTCGCTGTTTATTAAAGCTGGTTCTTTCGCTTTAAGTTTCCTGCAGCCGGCTTGTTCTGCAGGAGCAGATCGTCCCACGCCGCCCGGAGTCTCAGCAGGTTGGAAGGGAGCAGCGCCTGTTTCCTCCCCAGAAACGATTCCCTGGGGGGTTACAGGGGCTCGACCTGTGCCCTGCTATCTCTCCTCCAACAATCCTCAGGATTTTGAAGTTTTCGAGCCGCTTCTCGATCGCGAAGCGGCTCTACAGGCGGCGGGGCTGGCGGAGCTTCAAAGAGCGCCGCCGTCGCCGAAGACAAGGAAACCGGAAGTCCAAGCATTTATTTCTTGATTAATGGCTAAAAGGAAACCAATTGGACAAATATTGTGTCAAACAGGGAAGATGGCAATCTTGGACATGAAATCAAAGCCTACTCTTTGGTACATGCATGTAATGTCAAACCACAAAAGGGGCAGGGCTTTAGCCATGCTATGGCAGCCATCATCTTGCCTGTTTTGAAATACACACCCTCCAATGCCACTCTACAGTATAAGGCATTAATTTGTGTGTGTTCAAAAAGAATTCACTGAAAATCAGGATTCCTTGTATATAATTATTGATTTTCCTTGATCAATTGGGTAAAAGAACTTTCAGGCTCACAAGGGAAGAGCTTGTATTATAAGCAATACTAACAGAATAACAGAGTTGGAAGGGACCTGGGAGGTCTTCTAGTCCAAGCCCCTGCTCAAGCAGGAGACCCTATACCCATGATGGCGAACCTATGGCATACGTGCTGGAAGTGGCATGCAGAGCCATCTCTCTGGGCACGCCAGCCATCGCCTGTTGCTCTTCCCGGTTCCAGCATGCACATCTGTGCCGGCCAGCTGGTCTTCACGTGCACAGGAGCACTGGAAACCAGAAAAACAGCTCCCTGGCGCGCATGCGCACACTGAGAAACTGAGCTTTTGGCTTTAGGTGCATACATGCATGTCGGCCAGCTAATCTTTGCACACGCATGCATGCATGCCAGAAACCAGAAGACCAGGTGATTGTCGCGCATGCGCACACCAGAGACCGGAAGTTCAGCTTCTCTGTGCAGCTGAGAGCTGCTCTTCCAGCTTCTGGCGCTCACCCCACGCGCACCTGTGCGTTTTGGCATTTGGTGCTGAAAAGGTTCACCAACACTGCCCTCTACTATTTCAGACAAATGTTTCTCCAATCTGGAGAACCCACAATTTCTGAAGGTAAGATGTTCTATTGATTAATTATTGTAACTGTCAGGAAATTTCTCCTTATTTCTAAGTTTTTTTGAAATTAATTAATTAATGTTATTAGTTGATAGTTTAGAACCCTTTCCAACCCTTAGAATTAATGCCAACATGGAATTAAATCCTTGTTGGATTGTTCCAAAGTTGCTCACCTTTCCTCTCAATGTTGGAGTGGGTTGGCAAGTTTTTAAACATTTGGGGAGAGGTTGACAGAAGTTGGGATTTATGAACGAGAACATTCAGTTTACAAATCATTCAGTCTTCTTAAAGAAATTTTTTTTTTAATTTGATTTGATTTATATGCTGCTCTTCTCCAGAGACTCAGGGCAGCTTACAATGCGTTAAGCAATAGCCTTCATACTTTTGTATATTTTATACAAAGTCAGATTATTGCCCCCACAAACTGGGTTCTCAATTTACCTACCTTAGAAAGGATGGAAGGCTGAGTCAACCTTGAGCCTGGTGAGATTCGAACTTACTAATTGCAGACAGCTGGAGTTAAATTACAATGCATTAGTCTGCTGAGCTATCCAGGCTCTTTATTTAAGCTTGTTGTAAAGAAAATTTAATAATTTAAGAAAATTCTCTTTAAACAAAGTTACTAAAATCAAGTTTGGCATAATCAGTCTGGATTTCTCTTTTGTTTATAGGCAATAACACTCTACTGGGATTCAGTTTCAACTATGATGTGGCAGAATGGCATCATGGAGATTAGAAAGTGGAATTTGCCTCTGTCAGAGAATTTGACCTCAAATATACAATTTACATTGTAAAGATTTTGCGAGACGTTCATGATGACACATGAATATATATTTGTTATCCAGATAATAAAACGTTTTTTTAATCTCAATGCAAAACATCAGCAAACAGGCAAGACAAGAGAATTAAAAGGGAGTCCCATAGTCAAGACAGCAGGCTAATTATTAGTGATTTTCAATTTAAGGAAAGTGCAATCAAAGACGTTATTCCTGTAGCAACAGTCAACTTTTCAAATTACGGTGTTATAAATTATGAATCCCTCTACAATGTTATACCTATGTACAATGTTTCCTGCTCGTAAGGCAGGATAAACCAGTAATAAATTTCCTTCACTTATTAATGCATATGTATGGATTATATTAGGGTGAGCATCTTTACACAGTCCCTTTTACAATCTTTTAATACTTGATCATCCCAATGAATCGATGATCCAAAATCCACAGTATTCCCCAAAATAAAACACAAAATTATTATCCCTCAGCAGGAGGAGAATACATGATTCTATGAAACATATCATCAAACTGTAGGTAGTGTAGAAATTATTATTAATGACAAGCATTTCCTTATTAACACGAAGCATTTTTGTTCAATTTCTTTGACTTTTTTTAGTCCAGCTGTTGTTAGACTGGACTTTTTTTCACTGGACTTTTTTTAAAAAAGTCCAGATTGGTGTTGATCCTCTTAGTAAAAGATATTTTATTTTAGAAAGTTTCATCTCAACTGCTGCCAATCATTTCACTTGCACTTCTGAACTGGTAGGAAAAGTAGATTTCACACCTGCTTCTACATTATTGTTTACAATGTAGTTGGCAACTTTTCTCATTTCAGATTGATAGCTATGTGAGAGAAGACTGTGCCCCCTCCTTGCAAAATGCCTGAACAGCTGAGTTATAGAAGCTGAACATAGCTTGACTTGTTCTCCCTCTTCCCCCCCCCTTTAAATGTCTACTTCAATCATGCTAAGGAAGAAACAATTGGTACTTACCTCATTAGTTTAGCCCACGTCCACTGCTACCTTGAGTGATTTCTAATATACCAGCTGAGCTTCCACTTATAGCTCAATTTTTTCTTTTTACTGTGGCATCACATTCCTAAACCACACAGAACAGGAAAGGGCTGTTGATTTGCATATTCTGCATCATCTCAAATCTTGTAAACTGCTGTTTTTGGTAATTTCTCTTCAACACAACCATACAAGCATCTGGTTTACATTAATAAGCTTGGCAATGTTTTAAATAGCAGGTATGTCAGGTGTAACATTTTTAATTTACAGTATATCACAGAAGTGAGTACACCCCCTCACATTTTCTAAATATTTAAGTATATCTTTTCATGTGACAACACTGAAGAAATGACACTTGGCTACAGTATAAAGTAATGAGTATATACAGCTTATATAACAGTGTAAATGTGCTGTCCCCTCAAAATAACACAACATACAGCCATTAATGTTTAAACTGCTGGCAACAAAAGTGAGTACACCCTTAATTGATAATGTCCAAATGGGGCCCAGAGTGTCAATATTTTGTGTGGTCACCATTATTTTCCAGTACTGCCTTAACCCTCTTGGGCATAGAGTTCATCAGAGCTTCACAGGTTGCCACTGGAGTCCTCTGCCACTCCTCCATGACGACGTCACAGAGCTGGTGGATGTTAGAGACCTTGCGCACCTCCACCTTCCATTTCAGGATGCCCCACAGATGCTCAATAGGGTTTAGGTCTGGAGACATGCAGGACATAAGGATCGATCACCTTTACCCTCAGTTTCTTTAGCAAGGCAGTGGTTGATTTGGAGGTGTGTTTGGGGTTGTTATCATGTTGAAATACTGCCCTGCAGCCCAGTCTCTGAAGGAAGGGGATCATGCTCTGCTTCAGTATGTCACAGTACATGTTGGCATTCATGGTTTCCTCAATGAACTGTAGCTCCCCAGTGCCAGCAGCATTCATGCAGCCCCAGACCATGACATTCCCACCACCATGCTTGACTGTAGGCAAGACACACTTGTCTTTGTACTCCTCACCTGGTTGCCACCACACACGCTCAAAATTCAAAAAGAATTCACTGAAAATCAGGATTCCTTGTATATAATTATTGATTTTCCTTGATCAATTGGGTAAAAGAACTTTCAGGCTCACAAGGGAAGAGCTTGTATTATAAGCAATACTAACAGAATAACAGAGTTGGAAGGGACCTGGGAGGTCTTCTAGTCCAACCCCCTGCTCAAGCATGAGACCCTATACCTGTGATGGCGAACCTATGGCATACGTGCTGGAAGTGGCATGCAGAGCCATCTCTCTGGGCACGCCAGCCATCACCTGTTGCTCTTCCCGGTTCCAGCATGCACATCTGTGCCGGCCAGCTGGTCTTCTGGTTGCCACCACACATGCTTGACACCATCTGAACCAAATAAGTTTATCTTTGTCTCATTGGACCACAGGACATGGTTCCAGAAATCCATGTCCTTAGTCTGCTTGTTTGCAGCAAACCGTTTGAGGACTTTCTTGTGCATCATCTTTAGAAAAGGCTTCCTTCTGGGACAACAGCTCTGCAGACCAATTTGATGAAGTGTGTGGCGTATGGTCTGAGTACTGACCGGTTGACCCCCCACCCCTTCAACCTCTGCAGTAATGCTGGCAGCACTCATACATCTATTTCCCAAAGCCATCCTCTGGATATAACACTGAGCATGGGCACTCAACTTCTTTGGTCGACCATAGTGAGGCCTGTTCTAGGTGGAACCTGTCCTGTTAAACTGATGTATGGTCTTGGCCACCATGCTGCAGCTCAGTTTCAGGGTCTTGGCAATCTTCTTATAGCCTAGGCCATCTTTATGTAGAGCAACAATTCATTTTTTCAGATCCTCAAGAGAGTTAATTGCTAAGAGGTGCCATGTTGAACTTCTAGTGAACAGTATGAGAGAGTGAGAGCCATAAATGCAACATACCTGCTCCCCCTTCACACCTGAGACCTTGTACCACTAACAAGTCACATGGGGGCTAAGATGTTTTGATATTTTTGGAACTATAGAATGGGAAATTCTTATTGTTTCTTATTTATTTACATGTTACATTTATATGTCACCCTTTTCCATGATAACTCTATCCTGGGGCTCTGATCGGCTGTTCTGATTTCAAGACCAGAGGAAAGAACCCAGATAATTCCTAGTGTATACAAAAGGAGCTGTGTTATTGTTTATGAAACCACATTTGTCCGAGGTGGTAGCAGTGGTGGAAATAGTTATACCTTTTTCTCAACAAGCATTGGAACACTGATGGAATTAGGTGTGTGCCTTTACTTGGCCTGAAATTTTGTCAAATTATATTATTTCCTTTGCATGGGCTGATTCAGTACAGTCTGGTCAATTTCATCCTGCTTGTGTTGAAATGAATAACTTTCCTTTCTTTTGAGCTAGAAAGCTTTAAAGAGATATTGTTTAAGGGCAGGAATAGTTCTTAGGCTTGACAAGCTCGTGTAAAATGGGGGAGTGGCGCTTGTTACATATATGAGGTAAAATAAATTGAAGTGGGCTTTCATTAATACAGTAGTACAGTCAATAATACAGTAACAAACCAGTTGTTTACTTAATAATTGTAAGGAATGAGTAGGATATAAGGGAGGGAAATGTGAAACATATTAATAATGCAAATATGGGGCTGGACTTCAAAGTACATTCAGATGGAATTGAAGTTAACCAATATCCTGTTGAACCAAACTGAGGTAAATCAAAATACTTTTGAAGATAAATTTCAAAAAATGATCTGTAGCTTCAATGCACACATTCACAAAACACCTATGCCTTTTATTCTTGGCAAACAGATTGCATTCTAAGCTTGATCATCAAACATGTGTTATGACATAGAACTAAATAGTTCATATAATGAGTTACATATTGTCCAGTCTCCACACACACACATACACACACATACACATATTCCTTAACCAGGGCGAAATGCTCCCGGTTTGGACCGGCCCGGGCAAGTAGGTAGTAATGGCTGCGGGCAGTTCGGAGAACCGGTAGCAAAAATCCCTGCCCCCACCCCCCATGCCCAGCTGAGCCGCGCGATCATCAGAGCCTTTTTTTTCTTTTAAATGGCTCTGACCAGCCAAGCTCTGATAATCCCAGCTTAGTTGCCTGCTAATTAGGCAACTCAGCTTGGATTGCCAGAGCCATGTAAAAGAAAAAAACTTTTTTCCTTTTAAATGGCTCTGCCTGCTAATCGGTAGCAAAAATCCCTCCCCTTCCCCCCCTCAGCTTGCTTACTTTAGCTGCTGGTTGCAATGCCTTGCTGTAATCCCTGCAATCCATTGCATCAGCAAGCAACTGAATCTCCCTGCCTGCAATCAAGCAGGCAGGGAGTTGTGGACTTCAACTCCCATAATTCCTCAGCCAGCAAAGCAAAACTGGCTGAGGAATTCTGGGAGTTGAAGTCTACAAGTCTTAAAGTTGCCAAGGTTGGAGACCCCTGTTCAATTGGGTAAGTTTTTTTCCCCTTTGGGAGCTTTAAAAAAATAGTTAATTGGGGGGTTTTTTAGTTGTTCTTTTTTTAGAGCTGGCCATTTAAAGTTTAGGAAGTTTTAAATTTAGCTGCTTTTATATAAAAATAAAAATAAAATAAAATAAAATAATATTTGTGCAGCTTTCTGAGATTTAGTGTGTTTCTGTAGTGTTTCACTCTAACTACACAATCACACAAAATCTCACAAAGCTGTATGTGGAATTTTGTGTGTGTAAAGTGTGAAAGTTGGTTTTTTTGGGCTTTTTGTGGCTGTGTGAGGTTCCTGCTTGTTGCAGGGGCCATTTTGGGTCTAGCACAGCTGCTTTTATATTGTGAGTGAGCTAGTTGTGTTATGTTGTGTTTTGTAGGTTAAAAAAGGGCAAAGAAGTGACATTGACTTGGCCACGCCCACCTGACCAACAAGCCCCACCCTCTCAGTTACCTTACCACCAAGCCACGCCCACTAATTAAGCCACGCCTACAGAACCATTAGCAAAAATTTTAGATTTCACCCCTGTCCTTAACCCATTTAAAATGAAAATTTAGGGTCTGTTATACATTATTGTTCAGTCCTACTGTTTTTGCTTGTTTGTTTGTTTGTTTTTACAACTCAGTTAAGCCAAAGCTCTTTTTTTTGGAGTACAATTTTTAATTCTTAATTACATGAAAAGATAACTTTACTGGGACAGGCAGTCTTTCTGGCTTGAAAACATATCTTGTAAGGTGTCTGTTGGTTAACTTAAACAGATATTTTTTAGGTGATTATATGACCAAATGTGATTTTCAGTAAAAAGTATGAAGTAACCTGTATAAGACCTGATCAGTGTATTTTGTAAGTATATAAGATTTGCTGATGCTAAGTAGAAAAATACCTTGTAGTCAAAGAAAGTTAACATGCAGGTTTTGTTTCACCCTGCAATGTTCATCTTGCAAAATAGATACTGTAAGCTTTATGATATAGCCTCCAGATATGTGAAAATATTCCACCTTCTTTTTTATGATTTGAATAATTTTCTGAATATGTATTGTCCATTTTAATAATTAGTACTGGATTTTTTTCTTAGTGTATCATACACAGTGAATTTGTCTGTCTTCCATTGTTGAATAATATTCTGTTTAGGTTCAGCATCCATTTGATCATGTAATTTTTAATATATTTAGTCTCTGAATCATATTTCAGAAGCAACTTATATATAAGCTGTCAACGTTCCAATTGCCAAACCCAACCAAAGCAAGCACAGTCGAGACAATCTCAATGTCAACCACAATCTCTGAATGCAAAACTTTATTAAGTACATCATTTCAGCACTGATGACGGCAAAACCAGATCTAGCTAATTACTGCACAAACCCATATAATTAAAGTATAGGATTCTCCCTCCGCCTATTAGTGCAGGTCACATTGTCCAATTGAATGCCATTGTATTTTTATGAGAAAAAGTCTTTGGTTTTGGCAAACTCCTGCTGAAGCGTCCTTCTCTCTCACGCCTTGTCTTCTTGATGTCTGGAGCCTACATTGCATTTCACCCTTCCCTCCCCCCTGGATTCATTGGCAAGCAATAATGTCACAACAGCAAAAACATGCTTTGAACTTGACATAAGCCTTTGAAAATGTTCTGTCATGCTTTATAAGTATTTCAAATTCAATTAACCTCTAAACATAATGTCTTGATTTTCTAATCCCTTTGAGATTATACTGTTCATTTGAAGCGAGGATCTCATTGAATAATCTGGCAAGTCCCTCCCTGTCACATAGCTGGATCAGTTTACCAAGGCCACCTTGCCCCATGGATTTTAAAATTCCGTATTAATGTCAATTGGCCACCAAGCCAAGGACAAACAGAGGATCCTGGTTATTAGTACTCAATATCCTTGATATAGAGGCACTTGATAATATCAAATCCTTAAATGGCTGGCCCAGAACAAAAATGACTTTTCATTTCATCTAAAAAATACCTAACTATGCATGTGACACAAGACCAAAGAACAGCCCTCACCAAAGCAGGATTTAAGCTCCTGGATATTATGGTAAAACACAGGTGATTTCATCAAATAACCTTACCCAGAGATGATATGTATATTTGTCATGCTACAAATAGAGGAGATTACTCACATCCTCTGGACTGCTAACTATATGTTTCAGTTAGAGCACAGCAAGTCATTAACTGACAGGAGATCCCATTGGGATCATTAGCAGGCTCTTTTACTTCCTCTAAATTACATAGGCAATAAGATAGACTGCCAAATGCATAGTGTAAGACATCCAACTGAGAGTTTTCTATCAAAATCAGAAGAGAGTCATCTACTCTCCATCTACTCCAGGTTTCTAGTTTCCTGCTTTAACTACTACCCCTCTGGCATAGATGTGAAACAAAAACAAGTCTATAAAGCAAAATGGTTTTATGCAATTATATATATAATGAATATATATATATTTCATGTACTGCTTATACCCATATCAGTTTATTTTAGCAACATTTAAATCAAGGTTTTATAAGTTTTTAAACAACTAATTCAATAAACTTTTTTGAGTCACTGTAGTTTAGACAAAATACAACAGATTGCAATTTATAATATATTTATTTATTAAAGTTTGGAGTAAAGTATCATGTGCATTATAATTATATTCGTAACTAAGAGGCAATTTTTTGAATATCAGAAATCTGAATAAATGGAAGACAATATATAAGACATGATTCAAATATGCAACTATATTATATTGTAATTTAAGACTATAGTACAATTCAACCAACTTCAATTATTTTACATTAGCTATCCTTTTTTTTTTTTTATCAGAGCTTGGAGTTCTTACATGTATGTTTCCTTTTACAAGTCAAAGATGGCAATTTCATGATGATGACTGAGGTAATTGAGCCTGTTTCTTCCGTTCTATCACCTTGTGCAAAACCCCCAAGATTGTGTTTGCATTATTCTGAACATTATAGTTGGTTAGATTTAACAGCTTGTTAAATTCCTCCTCCTGCAGTGAGACCTGTCTTGTAGAATATGGTGAAAAGGCACTTGAGACATCAACATTGCCTTGTGGCAATTGAGCTGCATTACGTTCTATGCCTGCAGAAGAAAAAAAGAAGATACACTAATTATGTATAAAAAAATGACAATACCTTGTATTGTGCTCCTTAATTGACCAAACTAACACCAATCAGAAACCCACCAGAGGACATAACATAATATAATGCCCTTACATTCCTGTTCTCTAAGAAGGAAGAAGTATTAATGACAATTCCTTCATATATTGATCTAATCACTTTTTAAAACTATTTAGTTTGATAGTCAGCACTAGAGTCCGTTTCATACATCACTCTAAGTCACTGTTTGTTTAATAATGTTTGCACTGCAATTAGGATTTAAAGTTCACAATAACCAGTTTCATACAATGTATTAAGTGAAATCATACTATGGTATTGTGTAATGTATGTATGAACCCAGGTTTATATATTGAAGCAAAAAATTGTACAGGTTAATGATATGTTGTCCTTTCATATGTTCTGAGTCTTCCATTATTCAGCTTAATTGGATGAGGCAGGTTCTAGTGTTCCAAACATGAAAATGATTTATTTGCTTTCTCCACACAATAAATTATATAAAATAAATTTTATATAATTTTCTTTCTTGTTTTACTTTTTTTCTGACTAAAAGAATTCAACTGTGATAACTTTTCCTTTCAGATGAGCTCTTTCAATGAGTTTGTCCTGGATCAGGCAGATCAACACCTACTAAAAAGGTACTTTCTATTGTATTGTACTATTAACTCACCAGGTGCGATATATCTTTGGAAGGTGTCATTCACTAGTGGGAAATAAAGCAGGATGGGGGCTTCAGGATTGTCTGTATCTTCAAAGATGTAGCATTCTTTCATATTTTTCTTTTCCTCCTCATTTAGCAAAATCTTGGGGAATGGGATCCCTTGTGCTGAGAAATATGCGGAGGCATGTTCCAGAGGCTTAAAAAGCACAGTAACAGCCAATGTTAGCAAGTTCAAAAAGACATCCAGACAGGATTTTTAATGCAGACATTGATTTGAAACCATAATGTAATAAGCACAAAGTACAACGGTAATTCTTAGAAAGAAAACAGTCTTTAAAATCCCCACTTCCTTTCTTTGTGCCGGCTAATACTGGTTATTAATAATCGGTTATGATCAGATCTGAAATTCAAGTTGGCCAGATTCTGAAATTGAACAATATTAGGTGTTGCAATATTTTCAGGATCAGACTCAATAAGATTAGCAAGAGTTAAAGATTTAACTATATATTCTTTTATTTACAGTAGGCATTCTATATTCACTGAATATTCACAGATAGAAGCAAGGGAAAGGGTGTAGGTAGCTCCTTATATATACAATGGGTGGAGCTATATATGGGAGTGGTGAATTATGAATACATTAAGAAGTGAAGAATAAGTTAACCCCTGATACCCTGTTTGTACACTATTTACACATTAGAGAATAAGGCATTTACATCTGACAAATCCCCCTCTAAATGCCGATTCGTTATACAACACCAGTTACACTCAGATTCAGGACAATACAAAACATACAACTTAGAGGTTAAATATTTGTGCTGCTTAGAAGGTAAAGGCTTTGTCAATATATCAGCTAATTGTTCTGAAGTGTCGCAATGCACTGCTTTAATAAATCCATCCTGAGATAATTGTCTCACATGTTTAAATTTTATATCTATATGTCTGGACCTTTGTCCAATGGCATCAGATCTAGATATTTCAATGGCTGCTTTATTGTCTTCATGCATAACAAAAGGCAAAGCAGGTTTTTTCCAGACATCTGAAATTAAATCATTAAACCATACAAGGTTATTTGCGGCTTTGGATAAACAAACATATTCCGCTTCTGTCGTTGAAGTGGCCACTAGTTCTTGTTTACCAGTGTACCAGTAAACTGGACAGTCATTTAAGAGAAATACATAACCAGATGTACTTTTTCTGCATGAGATGTCTCCAGCCCAATCTGCATCTGCATAACACGTAAGCTTTGGTTCTTTATTATCATTAGGTTCTAACATTAAACAAAAGTCTAGTGTACTTTTTAGATATCTTAAAATTCTTTTAACAGCTTCCCAGTGATACATTGTTGGTTTGCTGACATGCCTGGATAATAAATTGAGTGGTAAAGCGATATCTGGTCTAGTCCAATTAGATATATAAAGGAGTGAACCTATGATTGATCTATAAAATGTGTTGTCCTTGAATTCGGGAGAAGATTCATCAGTATTTCTTAGAAAGTCAGTTTGCATAGGAGTATCACAAGGTTTGGCATTGTTTAAGTTGCATTTATTTAAAAGTTCTATGATCTTATCTCTCTGGGTAAGTTTGAATCCCCTTTTTGTCTTATTAATTTGGACACCAAGGTATTTGTTTACCTTGCCTAAAGATTTCAACGAGAAATGCTCATTTAATTTAGTTACAAAAGTTTCTCTTCTCTCTTTATGTTTTCCTATGTATAAAATGTCATCCACATAAATCAATACAAATTCAATGTAATCATCACCCCTCTTGACAAAGAAACAATTATCAGCAGTGGTAGCGTTGAAGTCCATGTTCTTAAGTACTTTTACTAAACAATCATACCACCGTTTACCAGATTGTTTTAGCCCGTATAAACTCTTGTTTAACAACCAAGTCTCATTTCTGTTTGTGTATTGACTGTGAGGTGCTCTTACGTATATTTCTTTATCTAGTTTTGCGTGTAGGTACGCAGTCTGTATGTCATATTGGAATACATCAAGATTGAGTACTGATGCTACCACTAGAGCTGTTTTGACACTCTCTGTTCTTACAGTGGGGGAATACGTGTCAGTATAGTCCTCCGGATATTTCTGTGCATAACCCTGTGCAACTAATCTAGCTTTGTATAGAGTATTTCCTCCCTCTAAATTCTTAATTTTATATATCCACCTGGTACCAATAATTGTTTTATCTTTAGGTGCAATTGCAGGTGTAAATACATTTAATCCTTGTAAACTTTCCATCTCTTTCTTCATTGCTAATTCCCATTTTTCTTTTTCTTCGCGAGGAAGTTTTAGCACTTCCTCATATGTATTGGGTGTTGTTGGTTCACCATCCATATGCATTACATAATCCTTGTATTTATTTGGCATTTGATTTCTGGTGTTTCTAATGATTTTTTCGGGTTTACTATCGTTATCATGCAAATATCTTGCTTCCTTTTTTGTTAGTGTGTCTGTCTTTATTTTGTGTTGGCTATTTGTCCAAGTCTTGGTTTTGTTTTTATATTTGTTGATATTTTGCTTTTCTATAGTCCCTTTCTCATGAGGTTTTGTATCTTCATATTTATTTGGGAATATTCATTAAGATGTAATTTAGACCAGTTGGCTTGTTCATGGAACACAGCTGTTCTGGAGACTATAAATTTGTTGTTACTATCAATGAATCTGTACCCTTTAGTGCCAGTCTCATATCCCATAAATCTGAGTCTTCTGGACACATTTTCTCCCTTTCTTCTTAATTGTTTAGGTATGTGTACGTCTGCTGTGACTCCAAATATATGCATGTGTGCTAATTTTGGTTTTCTATTATACATCACTTCATATGGTGTCTTATTTACAATGCTGGACCATGTTCTATTTTGTGTGTAATTTGAATAATGTAAGGCTTCTGACCAGAATTGTTTGCTTAAGCCAGCATCTTCCAATGTGCATCTAATCATGGTTTGTAATGTGGAATTTTTTCTCTCTGCAATCCTGTTTTGGAACGCAGAAAATGGACTAGATGTGTAATGTAACATTCCTTTGTCTTTTAACCATTGGGAGAATTCTTTAGACATGAATTCGCATCCTCTGTCTGTCATAATTTGTTTTATTTTGATGTTGTGTTGTGTTTCTATGCGTTTGTAAAATTCTTTAAATTTTTGAAATGTTTCATCTTTGTGTTTTAATGTATAAACAAATCCATAGCGGCTATAATCGTCCACTATTGTCAGGAAGTAACGTTTTCTATAAGTGATTGATGGAGTTAATGGACCAACTAAGTCCATGTGTACTAAATCAAAAATTTTGTTAGTTGATCTAGTAGATTTTCTTGGCCTGGGACTAGTTTTTAGTTTTGTAGATTTACATACTGAGCATTCCAGATAATTTTCACAATTTTTTATTTTAACACCTTCTGCGTGTTCAGTCATTTTTTGTACTACAGGAAAACTGGCATGTCCTAACTTCCTATGTAAGATGTGAGCACACTCATCATGAATTGGTTTACCTATTTTTGGCTTCTTATCGTTGTGTGCATCTGTGTGATCATGAGATATTTTACATTCATCATTGTCACTGTTGCTAACATTCTCATCATCTATTTCAATACAATCTTCCATATTTGAATCAATGTTATGTAACCATTTTTCTTTTGTCATCAGATAAGGTAGGCCTCCTTTAATCACCACAGTGCCTACATTTATTTTATTCTTTTCCAAAGTTGCCTTTCCTTTTGAAAAGACAATGTTAATGTCAGAATCTCTGCTTAGTTTTATGGCACTTAATATGTTATGAGGTATTTCAGGTATTAGTAATACCCCCTCTATTTTTCCTAGACCAGGCAAGGTTACATTTCCTCTACCTAATACTTGAACCTTTTCTTGGTTAGCTACCTTAATTACAAATTTATCTTCTGCAAATGAAGACAATATACTTTTGTTATTAGTGGTGTGATTAGTTGCTCCAGAATCAATAAGCCAATTATTGTTCTCACTTTGCTGTGTGTTAGTGTTGTCTTGTTTATTTAATCCATTCAGTGAACCAGATTTTCTATCCTTTGAATTGTCTCTGCCCCCTCTATTCTCTCTGTGATTTGGTGGGCTCCTATATCTATGCCTTTCTATGGAAGGCTGTCTATAATCGTATTTGTTTCTGTATTCTGATCTATATCTTTCTTTTAAAAATTTTGGGCAATCTCTTCTATTGTGTTCCCTGGATCCACAATTATGACATTTAAATGTTCCACTATATTTTTCTTGGAAAGCTACTTTCCTATATGGTTTGTGTTCTGTGTGATTGTTAGAACGATTCCTTCTTGAATTATCTTCTGTTATCAATTTGTTGGATAGACTTTCTATGGATAAATATCCTAGATTGATTGTGTCTAAATGTGACATAAAATTGTCCCATGATGGATCAAGTGAGTTGATAATAACACTTTTCATTGTTTGGTCTGAAATCACCTCCCCCCTCAAATGCAGTTCAGCTCTTATTTTGTTCAAAGATATTAAATGTTCACTTATGGAAACCCCTGGTTTTACCCTAGACGAAAAGAAATCTTTAGATATCCTTGTGGTGGTAGCTACACTGTCACTGTGAAACAAATTAAACATGCATTGAATAATTTCTGAAACAGTCAAATTTGGCTTAATGCTGTGATACATTGCAGGAGACACACTAGATATTATTAAGAAAAAAGCTCTATGGTGTAAACAATCTATTTTTAGAGTCCAAGGTCTTTTTGGGGGACTAGTGATAAAAAACAGTAAGTTTTCCTTCATAAAGACAACCTGGAGCTGTTGATACCATTCTTGTAAATTAATGCCATCAACCCTTAGTTTTGGGAAGTCACTGGGTAAATTTCCGACATTATTGGGTCCATTACTTACAACCTGAGGTAGTCCGTGGTCTCGTAAATGCAGAAAATTGCAAAACGGCGTGGGGATGCTCGCTACGAGTCTGCATGGTCTTCTCTCCAGTTCATGTCTTCCCGGACCGTCAGCGTAGTTTCGCGCATGCGCGTTGTTCATTTCTTCTTCGGCGGCGTCGTGGAAGGTTCTCCCCATTGCGGCTTGCTCGCTCTGCTCCTCTTCAGACGAGTCGGTCTCTGGTTCGACTTTGGGAGTCCTGACGACGGTGGCTGCTCTTCCTCTTCTATTGAGGGCGTTGGTGCTTGCTTCGGTCTGCGGCGTAGGGCGGTATCGGCAGGGCTCTCTGGGTTCGGGCGTCAGCGCTCTTGTAGTCAGGATGGGAGCGGGCAGGTCTTGAGGCATTGGCTTGCTCGCTCGTTTCTTCGGCATCTTTTTAGTAATTTTCAGTTTTGGCCCAAATGCAGCAAAGAGCGTTTTCATTGCTGATTTTATTTGGTGTTTTGTTGGATCTTCCTCACTTTCTGGTTCTGATTCTTCTGAGGTGTTTGAATCTTCTTTTTCGTTTTCGTTGTCTGATAACATTTTTCGCGCCAGAAATTTTGAATTGAGCTTGCTGATTGGCTTTGCTTCGCTCATCTTGGAGGCCTGTTGAAACCAAGATGGCTGCCATTCAAATTTTCGCGCGGGATCACCGTTTTTCTTCTTTGTAATGATTTTCTCCGCAATCATATCACTCACTATTTCTGGGTCCTTAGGCTTTTCATTAGTGATGTTTTTCTCTCTCGCTGCTCCGCTGTTCTTCAGCATATCTTGGAGGTTCGCGATGAGGCTTTCATCATTCTTCTGGCTCTTTAATAGTTTTAATATTTCTGACCTGAGTTCGTTATTCTCTATTTCGATTTCCTCCTGGTCATCAATTATTTCTTCGTCTTCAGTGGTGTATTCTTCGGACTCTCTCGAAATTGCGTTTGTGGATTCGTTGGTTATTTCTTGTTCCGTTTCCATTTCTTTGCTGTAGGCCCTGGTGTTGGGCCTATCTTTCTTAGACATTTTAAAGTTTTTTTATTGAGTCAATTAACCATCCTCTGCTACCAGTTTGTTGCAATATTTTCAGGATCAGACTCAATAAGATTAGCAAGAGTTAAAGATTTAACTATATATTCTTTTATTTACAGTAGGCATTCTATATTCACTGAATATTCACAGATAGAAGCAAGGGAAAGGGTGTAGGTAGCTCCTTATATATACAATGGGTGGAGCTATATATGGGAGTGGTGAATTATGAATACATTAAGAAGTGAAGAATAAGTTAACCCCTGATACCCTGTTTGTACACTATTTACACATTAGAGAATAAGGCATTTACATCTGACATTAGGAATATTTTCTAGGCCTGCAAGGGCCTAATATTTTAGAAAAACAGAAACATGATTTTAAATAGTCTAGGTGAAAATAACAGCATCAAAGCTAATAGCAATTTACTTTGGGAAAGAAAAACACAGAGGTACAAGTATAGGTTGGGGAATATCTGACATGAGAAAAGAATCTGTGAAACAGATTTCAGTTGGTTGCAACCGGTTTCTGGCATTGTATTTGGTTCTCAGCATTGCAGTTTTAGGACATTTCAGAAAAACTGAAATAGAAACAAAGAATGGCAACAAGAAGGATTTTGGAGGATTGAAAACTAAAATTTACAAGAGATTGAGGGAATGGTGAGATATACTTAGCCTTGAGAAAAGATGAATGTGGCAATGGCTAGATGTATTAAGTAGTCAATTGCTATTATTTTTATACAATACAAAGAATATTATTTTATTACAAATAAAATCAACATTATCTCTTCTAACCTTGGTTTGTGACCCTCCGGTATAATTGAAATGCAGAATAACATCCACTTTCCTCTCTGGTCTGAGAAGTGGAGGGCAACTGGTATCAAAGAAGAAGGCTGTATCTACAAGTTCCAATTGTTCTGTAGAATCTTTCAGTTGATTTGGGGATTCATCAAGCATTGTATCTATAACACACATTACAAAAATAAAATCAATACCCATAGGTCATCTTCAGTTAAAGACAAATACTCATACATTTCCTTCTTGCAAATACCCATCCTACCATGGATCTATTTGCTTCAATACACAATTCATTCTCCTCAGGATCTATGGCCATTTTTTTTTTAATCTCCTAACCTAATGAAGAGAACATTTATGATATAAATGAGTAGTTGGAAAGAGTATTTTTCTATTGCAGAGAGCAAGTTCAACTTCCATGATTCCCATGCATTCCATACTAAGGACCAATTTATCTCCTAAACCATGTATTATGTAGACTCCCAGATTCAGTTACCTAGTGACATTTTTTAGATTTTTAAATTTGTATTTATTTATTTGTAAATGTTGTATCCTACCTTTATTATTTTTACAAATAACTGAAGGTGGCAAGCATATCCCACATAACTTCTTCCTCCTATTGTCCCCACAACAGCAACCCTGTGAGGAAATTGGGCTGAGAGAGAGTAGCTGGTCCAATGGTTTTCATGGCTAAGGTAAGACTAGAACACATGGACTCCTGCTTTCTAGCCTGGTGCTATAACCATTAGACCAAACATTTTATTTGTAATGAGAAAAAATGTAATCAACTAGACAATTGTGGATTTCTAATGATACATAAAAACATTCAAATTCTATTGTGATACCTTTCCATTTAGTAAATTGTTGGTGCTGTACATATTCATTATGCATTTGGAGCCCTTTTAAAAAATTGTTATATTTGGATACTGCTGGACGATCTGTTAAAATATCCCGTAGAGTATTGGAAAGACCTCCAGCAGGAGTGAACATGCGAGTTGGCATCTCATGCGGTCTCTCCGGTATATCAGGCACTTCATCTAAATACAAGCAACAGAAATAAACTTTATTTAAATAATGAATAAGAATCTTATGTACTAGTGTATGATGCACTTCAGATGATACCCAAAGATGAACAAATGACAGTGGCATGAATAGTTTTTCTTTCTCTCACACATCTATATACATCTTTAACTCTACATTGAGTGTGAATTTAAATTTCAGTAGGCCAACACACAAAAGCTTAGGTTGCATAATTAATACCTGAATTTTATTTCAGTGTTTATTACACCGAAAACAAGATGCTCTCTGGATGTTTTGCATCACAATGCTTGCTGGAATTTATGGGGGTTGAACAATTTTACATTTATATCTGCTATTGAAATGTTTCACCCATGCATGAATATTTACTAAGCAGATATTCTTCAGAACTACAAAGGCATGAGAAGGCTTCAAAAAAGAATTAAGTAGCTTTGTGAACCAAACTGAGGCTGTGAGGCATAATAATAAGTTTATATATATAAATTATATAAAGTATATAAAGTATATTGCAAAGATAATTAAGGGTAACATTTCAAGTTTAACTGGAGCTAGCTGCTCTGCTCTAGCTTTAGCTAAACAAGCTGAAGAAAGTGTGAAGCAGTGTCATACAGAAGAAACAAGGAATAGAAAAATTATTCTTATATCAGGTGTTTGAAAAGATATAAAAGATGGCTTTGCCCTTTGGAGCACCAACAAACCATTAGCCAAAATTAACCTTTGCCCTCTTAACTAGTTGCATATGACATTTTTTTTTCAGAGAGTATCTATTAAAATCATTTGTTTTTAAAAAATCAAATTATTGTGTTATTCCAAGATACCTTAAAATAAGTTGCAGGTAAAACAGGGAGATATTTACACAAATAGAGTAATTTGGATATAAAACTAGAGGTAAAACATTAAAATCAGATAATGCAGAAAGAGGGAAGCAAATAAAAAAAATGTTCATAGCAATATAAGATCTGCTCAACCACTGAAGAGTTGCAAAATGATCATTTCCTTTTTCTAAAATATTATTTTAATTTGCATTAAATAAATGCATTTTTGCTGGGAAATTAGAGATAGTCCAAATAGTATATTATTAGGTGTCAATTATGTAATGGTACATAATAGTACATACTGTAATGGTACACAATGTAACTATGAAATAATACATTATACTTAAAAAGATCAAATTATACTGTATTTCTTCCCTCTTTTGTGGTCTGAATACATATTCCTTCGTATGAAATTATCTGAACTTTCAGTTTGTACAGGCAAGACAGATAAATATTGTAAATGTAAAAAGTATCAGTCAGTTAAATTCTGAATTCTAATTTTAGAACAACTTTTCATAGCTTACCAATCTCTGTGACAGTATCTTGGGTCCACCTGTTCCAGAAATCTTCTGAATTGTCTGCCGCATGCCAAGCATCTAATAGATTCTTGGAAAATACACTACTCCACAATCCTTTGAAAGTAAGAGATCAATGAAGTTAAAGCATTTTTTTCCTTGAAATTTTATTTTATTGTTGAGATAGAGACAGAAACAATGTTCTGGGCATGAACTGTTCTGTACAAACAACAGGCAGTTTTGGGAAGTCCATGTCTGCACAGAAACATACATATTTTGTATTAGGGCTGGGCATGGATCCAGAACATGCATGATTTGATTAGAAGGTGCTTTGGGATGGACAAGGTGGGAAAAAGTACGGCCAGTGATTGTGATGGCAACTAAGAAGAGGTGGGGAAAGGAAAGTGCTGGAAAGATCATGGGAAGGAGTGAGTGGCCTAGTTGATATGCCAAATTGCTGATGTGTGACAGCAACTGTCCCACCTTTCCTCCAACCTTTCCAGTGACTTCCTTTCCCTACCTCAGCAGCCACCCTTGACATCAAACACCAGATATCCAACCTGCCCTCTTCTCTCCTGCTGATAGATTGTGCTTGTATTCAAAAGTGATGTCAGCATGTGATGCCAGTTAAGGGAAAGTAGGAAAAGGAAGGAACTATAGAAATTGGTGAAGTAGCCCACATGTCATGCACAGAAGGACCAACCTAGCCCTTCTTGCCTCTATATTTTGTCTTGATCAAAACATAAACAACCAACATATTCTGGGATTTTATTTATTCAATCCATGGCCACCCAGTAAGCTTGGCTGAGGACATCTTTATTTTGGACCTAAAAAAATCTCCCCAGTTCAGTAAAATTCTTCACTGTTAATCTACTGGTCATACTTACAGAGTAGTAAGAGAATAATTGCATCTAGCAATATTGTTACATGAATTGTCCAGAAAACAATTGTTAAGTATTACTGTTAAAATGCAGTCAGAATTGAAGCTATATTCTAAACATAGCTATATTTGAAGTATTTATAGCTTGTATTTTCCAGTTGCTTGTCTTGGAACAGTTAATGATAAATTATGAAGTGCTACCTTACTAATTTAATTTTTAATATAATTTAATTTAATTTAGCATATCATCACATTCTGGGAGAGGGAGGGAGGGAGGGAGAGAGGAAGAAAGAGAGAGAGAACCATATTTTCCTACCTGTTTTACATACTATTGTATGAAGATACAATACAATGAACCTACAAGTTCTAGGTTTTTTTAAATAATGCTCACCCATTAGGGGGTGGAGCCCAAGGTTCTCCAATATAATATTAGGTGTATTCAGCTGAGAATCTGGCTGCAAAGTGAGTCCAGTTCTTATGAAAACCCCATAGATACCATTGGTATTTTCAACAAGGGAAAATCCCACCCACCCCCTTTCTTCTTGAGGTAGAAAAAAAGTCACCTTGCATAAAACATATCCTTGATTCTGGGAGTTTCTTCATTATGTGCCCCATGTAAAACTCGCTTCCAAAGTTTTCAGCGGGAACAAAAGCTCCGTATTTTGGAAATCCTACTTCATATGGTGTGAACTCTAACCACTCTGTAATGAATGTCAGCAAGAACACATTTAGTATCATACCTTCCTTATGCAGAGAAAGGATGCTTTCTTAGGTGACACTACCAAAGACATTATGTTCAAGGAATTATATGTCTTTTCAATGTGGACTGGCCTGACCTTAATAATACATGAAAATCAATAATAATCCAACATTTCAATATTTTCCAAATCCATTGTTAGTTCTTACACCTGAAATAAATGAAAGAAGGCAGCTTTCTGCATATGGATAAACATTTCAGAGGGTCCATTACATTTATTATTATCTATGCTACAAAGAATTAAAAACACTTACAAACTATTTTGAAAAGATAATTCTGCACTTTGTGTTTTTTGTCCTTCTCTTGGCTCAGATATGCTTTTTATCATTGCTGGCATGTATATCTGGGGTATATACATACAAACATACAAAATGCATGTATAAACATAGTCTCTGAACCTGGATACATACACTAGCGTGCCTACCGTCCCTGTCCTAATGTTCCCTTTTATATGTATCCATTTCATGTATTCATAATTATGTTTATACTTATATCTGTTACCTATTACATGCTTGACTAAATAAATAAATGGATGGATGGATGGATGGATGGATGGATGGATGGATAGATAGATAGATAGATAGTATTTCCAAACTGACATTTTAAGAAGTTGCCAGAAAGAGAATGAAAACCTAAGAATCAAGCTTCTTTAGATCTCCAAAAAAAAATCTTTGTTGTTCTGGTTTTGAGAAAGTGTTTGTAGCAGGCAATTCATATCAATAAAGCATTAACAGAATCTAAATGTTTTCTTAGCACAATGGTACCATGTAAAGGAAGTGTAACATGAAGAGGCTAACAAGGCCCCAGATAAGCTAGTGATCTTATACTTGAGCTGAAATTGTGTCTCTCTCTCTCTGTGATTATCATAATATGAATGGCTTATTTTAAATATCAATATTTAGCTATATGTGTAAGAATGAAAAGTCCTCAACCCATGGGTGGACTTATTCATATAACATTTTGGCACAATACTGACATGAGTTGCCATTGTCTTCCTCCTGGATAGGTTTTTTTCAACTTTCCAACCTAGCCTATAGTCCTTGGATTTCCCTGTGTACTCCCATCTGAAGACTGACCAAGTCTAACCGTGCTTAGCTTTTCCTGAAATCAGTTAAAGTTTGTTATCAATAGGTTGCAACTGTTGTGGGTTAAAACATTTGTATATGAAAGCCCCCAGTAAAGAACACACCTCTAAAATCTTTTGTGGTGATGTTGTCTTTCACATTGAGTGCCAGGTAGATTGGCAGAGGGTTCTGACCTTTGTTCACTGCCCGTCGTTGCTCTGAGAGTTTATGATGATTATTCTGTATTTTGTGGAAAAAAAAATAAGTGCATTATAATTTAAGTGAAATAGAAATTACAGCTGATTTGTTCACCTAGGCTTCATATCCATACAGAGCATCAATTTAAGGATCAGGTTACAATTTAAACACCAACTATATTATTTTTCACGATACATGGTAAAATGTGTGAGAAGGAAGGATAAAGAAAATGGAATATTAGAGAAGAAGGGATAATATGGCAAATAATAGCTGTGTGTCTGCGCAGGGTTGACTTCCAAAGTGGTGTAACACATACAAAGAAGATTAATTCCCTTTCCCTGAATTTCTTATCCAGATTGGGGCTTCATCTAGCTCAGGGGTGGCCCATGGGCCAGATGCGTCACATGCAGGCCACGCCCACCCCAGCTCCATGAAGGGAAAAACCATCACGATACATCACGTGACAGCAGCATGACGCAGCACGTTTGACACCTGTGATCTAGCTGAATATAATCACAATCAGCATGAGTAACCATAGCAAGTAATTATAGTTAGGGTGTCTGGGATGGAGAGGTTAAAATAAAAGGCAATACAGTCACAGTAACCACCTGATTGATAAAAGGTGAATAGTCCTGTCTGCAATCTTGACATTTTTAACTCCCTAAACTCTAGTAGTTGAAGTAGTTCAGGCTTGCCATCTCTTTCAAAACATGCTGGACTATCATACTGTTTGATCTCAGGAGCAGGGCCTGATGTAGATATGATAAAGTCCTAAACAATGGGAAGCTGTGGAGACTCAGCTTGACAAGTGTTATCAGAGAATAAGGTGTCACAACTGAATTTGGCAAGACTGCCACCAAGACTTCCCTACCTCATTACAGGGAATGTAATGAGGTAGGGAAAAGCTTTCTTTGAACAGGAAGTATGAATGTATGCAGAAACAGAGCATACCTTAATTATTTAATGAGTTATGTGGGGGTATGTGGTTTATGGAGACTTTGGTAGATGAAGTGGGGGGTTGACTAACAAAAGCACTGTGGCATCTTTCTCAAGCCTTGTGCCTTTTTGTCCATGCATTGTGGTGCCATAGACATGTTCTGAACCAGAGAGATTATAGTTAAAATTCTGGACACTTATCATTCTGATTCAGATAAAAGCAGGGGGATCTTGTGACGATCTGTCATCAGTGTATATCGTAGTAACTAATTCTGCATTGGCTTACTTTGAAAAATATTTGAATATTTCAGATGGTTCCAAATGACAAGCCAGGTATCACAAGAAAGAATGGTGGGATGCAGCTTATCAATAGATTTTATTATTTATCGATTCAAAATGCTGGTTCTTTGAAAAGTTTGGAACTTATAGGAATGGTCCTAAATGAAGATATGGCAGATTTAATATCTGAACAGGAAGGCCCACCTGCTTTCTCAACTTTTGCTGGATGGTGAACATGGAGGAACAGATGTGTGAAACATGCGGTAGATTATTCTCTTGTGTACTCTCTTGAGCAGCAAGTATATTCGAACTAGGGCTGTTCAAAAATACTCCCTCAAGGTGAGCTTGACTTGTGGTAAATGCTAAAATAAAAGTTGGTTTCCCCATTATCTTTGCCAATATTTTTTCAATGCCCTTATAAAGCTGGGACTTGCAGATCTCGTCAAAGTGCAAATCCCGATTTAGCTTTTCAGATCAGCTAAAATTAACGAGGTGCTGCCCTCTGCTGGGGTGAGACAAAGTAATTTTTTTTTTTACATTATCTCATTGTGTTTATTTCAACAGATGTTATTCATTAGGCAATATATTATACTGCACAAATAAATGCCAAAAATGGTGGTGGTGGAGAATTTGAGTTCTATTAATTCTTATACACTGAGGAAACAGTGGATAGGCACAACAATCGTTATACAGAAAGATTTACAAATCTAATTCAGGGGGATTAAGCAGAGCAACCCCGGCAGGGCAAGCTAATATTTAAATACAGGAAGCAAACTCCATACTTGCTCCCTCTGATGAAGTTATCTAGTTGGGTAATGAAATGTCTGCAAACAAACAACCAAGCTCAAAGAGTATCAAGGACTCCACAATTAAACCTGATCTACAAATATTCTCTTTTATTGAAATCTAATTCATCTCATTAATCCACTATGATTTATTGTTTTGATTTAGAAAGGTGTTTCAGTATATATTCATCAGGTGGTTGTTGAGTATAATTTTAAAATCAGTGTCCTGCTAGACACAAGAATGTTTTAGACTATTTCATTTTGTAGTGTGGTATTTTAAAATTCATACATTGCCCTTTTAATGTTGTTGTTGTTGTTAGTCGTGAAGTCGTGTCCGACCCATTGCGACCCCATGGCCAACATTCCTCCAGACCTTCCTGTCCTCTACCATCCCCCGGAGTCCATTTAAGCTCACGCCGACTGCTTCTGTGACTCCATCCAGCTACCTCATTTTCTGTCGTCCCATTCTTCTTTCGCCCTCAACCTTTCCCAGCATTAGGCTCTTTTCCAGTGAGTCCTTTCTTCTCATTAGATGGCCAAAGTATTTGAGTTTCATCTTCAGGATCTGGCCTTCTAAAGAGCACTCAGGGTTGATCTCCTCTAGAACTGACCGGTTTGATCGCCTTGCAATCCAAGGAAGTCTTCTTCAGCACCATAGTTCAAAGGCCTCAATTCAGCCTTCCTTATGGTCCAACTTTCATAGCCATACATTGCGACTGGGAAAACCATAGCCTTGACTATACCCTTTTAATAGGTACCCATAAAAGATTTTTTTTTTCAAAATGTCTCTTTTGGGAATGAATGAAGAAGGAATGTCTTTTTTTTTTTTCATCCTGCACCTTTTCCCCATGACTGCTTCTGATTTTCATTTGACTATGGTTTCTTCCATGCTTCCTTATTCAGTTTACAACAAAACATCCTAGGAAGAGCTGAATTATATTTTTGTGACAGAGGACAAAGCTAAAAAGAGCAAATATGGTTCATCTACAGTGTAAACCCTGCTGAACTAAATAAGAAAGCATGCTCATTTCAGAACACCATTCATCTCCCAGAAGCTAAGAAACAACATAAGGAGACCCACAAAAACCCCTTTTGCATACCGCATCATTCAGCATGGCTTCAATCATGAGTCCCCAAAGATCTATAAAAGAAGATTTATATCCTGCGATGGTCCGCTGAGCCAGCTCCTTATGGTAAGACTTCAGTTTTTCCAAGGAAAAGGCACCCCTCTTAGATTTGGCTGCTTGCCTCCGAGCTTGCAAAATGATTTCCCCAAGATCTTTATTTGACCAGTTGCTATCTTCATACAATTTTGTCATAGTCCTGAAAAGACAAATACAATAGAAATTTCAACTTTTGTATTTATTAAAGGTCGTTCTTATCCAGCCTAAGACCAGAGGCAAATAAATCCTGATGGATTGGACTCAGAAATTCAACCATTATTAATTGTTAAGGTATGTTCACATATCTAAATTATTAAATAATGTTTTTCCTATATGATTTTACTGTTGAAAATTTTCCAAGCTTATGATCTGGGAGAATAACCTTACACTTCAACTAACTTCTGGAAGGGGACATACAATATTTCAAAACATAGTACAATATTTACATAAATAGATTAAAAAACAGCTTTTTATCTTCTAGAATAGGTTAGTATCATTCACAAATATCTATGTAATGTCTAATGTCTATGTATATTTACTTACATTGTATGGCTGTAATATTACTATTCTTATCTTCTTTACTACCCCCTTTTATTGGTATTATTATTGTTATTGTTGCTGTTGTTGTTTGGTTGTTGTTGTTCATGTACACTGAAAGCTTTTGCACCAGAGATAATTTTTTTTGTCTATCTAATCACACTTGGCCAAATAAGTTGTCTTTTCTTCTCTTCTCTTCTCTTCCCTTCCCTTCCCTTCCCTTCCCTTCCCTTCCCTTCCCTTCCCTTCTATTCTAATGTTCACTGCATAAATCAATTTTTAAGAAAATATTACATAGTCATGGTTTCAACACAGATCCTTGTGGGATTTTAGTTCTTAGTTCCCTCTGTTGAGAAAGTTGCTCACTTATTCCTACACTTTGCTTTCTATTTTAACTAATTAACTGTTCATTAAAAAAAAGAGACTATTATTCCTCAACTACAGTTTCCCTAACACCCTTTGACTATCAAAGACTTCTTGCAAACCAGAATATACATTGTTATTGGAGTCACCTCTATCCACATGCCAGCCACACTCCCAGATGTAGAATGAATAGATTTACTTTAAAGGGGAAAAAAAGCTTTATGCTGCTTTTCCTTTAACGTGATTTGTTCCTCTATATGCCCAGTTATTATTTTTCTTTGATTACTGTTTCTATCAATTTCCTTGAAACAAATGTTATATGCACATACATTGCCCTACCATCTTCCAGAACCTGTTTTAAAAATTAACTACCTTCCAATAGATTGTCGATAATTTCACATTTCAGTTCTGCTATCAGGATCTAATAATCTGTTCCTAAATATCTTCTTTTTCTATCTCAATTTGCTTTAATAATATAGTTGTATAGAATTCTAGGTAATATGTTCTACCTTTAGCTCCTGAACGAAAGGTGGAATATAACGCTAAGTGATAAGAGTAAAAGCCGCATTAAGATTCTTTAGGGTCTAAGCAGTTGAAAGAAACACCAAATAAAAACACAGTTTGTTACCATGTGGTTCCAGATGATCCAGTTATATATGAAATACAGTCCAAAAGCTTTGTTCTCTGGAGACCCCAAAGAGTGCCATAAAGAGCTGTTAATGCTCTCATCCCAGCTCCTGTTGTTGTCATAGCAACTACTGGCACCTGTTCAATGAAAGAAAATAACATGTTATGATCATGAAGGTAAAGAAAGTCCTCAAAGAATTCTGTCAAAATCTTTCAAACTAACGTATTTTATTTGTCATTATAGGACTGTATTTCATCAAATGCAATATTAGATTGGGATGCATATGGGAAAAAATAGATGGATTACTATAAATAAAACTTACATAAATATAATAGACAAAATTGTATACACACTTTTAAACAGAGGAAATTAAAGAAAGACTCTTGAGTTCAAAAATGCCAGAATACTATAATATTAGTATAGTACCCAAATGCTATAATATTACGTTGTAAATTGAGTCGGACTGAATTTTACAATTTTTACAGTAGTTGATAAGTGAATTACTGCAATCATTAAGCCAAATGTGATCATTAAGGAAATCCAGTTTTCTCAATGAGCATTTTTTACCAGAAATTGGGAAAAAAAAGGTTGAAAATCATGATACTATGACTGTAGGATGCAGCAAACAGTTGAAAAGGTGAACCGGTTGCCAAGTGCCCAAATTGCACATGACTACAAAAAAAAAAGGGTCAAGTACAAAAAGAAAAGATAATGCAAATACATGCTTTTATTTTATTTTTATTTTTTTTGCAGCGAATACAAATAGGTTTACAAAATTGTATCTTACTCTTTGGTAAAAAAGAAAAAGCTCTCTTTTTTTATTAATTAGTGGGGGTTTTTTAATCATCCAAACCCACAAATCATTCATTTTTTTTTCTTCATACAAAGATCTGTAAGGGGAGGCCCATAGATTCATAGCAATTTCATATATACAGTTTGGAGGGAACTGGGTTGATACTGAGGGTTGGACCTCAGTCCAACCCTCCAAGATCCCTTCCAGCTTTGTTATTCTCTTACTCTGTTATCCACTTACTTCATGGTCATTCAGGCCTTGCCCCAAAGGAAGAATACTTTTCAGAGTTGCAGCTACCACTTTCTTTCGTTTCTGCAGGAAATTATTTTCGTCTGAGCACAGACCATATCCTAGGCGCACATCAAGAGCTTTTGGTGTTTTAAAGAACAGCCCCTGGGTCCTAAGGTAGACAGGAAATTCATTATAAATGTTGCCGTATCATATTGGCTTAATCTAGCAACGATCATTTATTAATCTGTGGGAAGACTAATCATATACCACTCATTGTATCAACCTATGAAAAGCCTTGGAAAGAACAAATAGCTTCATTGTGAAACATTGCAATATCAGGACCACGACAACTACTTTTGCAACAACTTGGGAAGACAATTAACCAGACATATAGAGAGAAACAGGGAAATGACTAGAAGCCAGCATGGATTCGTTAAAAATGGGTCATGTAAAACAAATCTTATGGCTTCCTTACACAATGTGATTAGACTGACAGACCAAGGGACCACTACAATCACTTAAATTTCACTAAGGCATTGGATAAAGTAGACTGTTGCCTCTTTCTTGATAAATTGGAACATTGAGCCTATCCAACAAAATGTTTTTCAGTTGTGTGAAATGTTAGTTTCTGCATTTAAGTAAGAAAAGATAGATGCATATATACATGAAATTGACAGTCCTCAACTTACAACCAGTTGCGTAACAATCATTCAAAGTTACAATGGATTCAAAAAATGTTATTTACGACCCATCTTTGAAACTATGACTGCCACACCACTGCCATGGTCACATGATTACATTTCGGGCTCTAGCATTTATGACCAGCTGCAGCATTCTGGAATTACATGATAACATTTTGTGAAGTTTTGGGGTGTTTTGGGAGAAAATAAGGCAACCCCCCCCCAATGGATAAACTGGATTTAGACTTAAGATCATGTGAGTCAGTACAGTAGGAAACAACTAGAACCATTTGGAAATAGGAAAACTAATGGCTCTTTTTTAAAAAATTGAGACAGGAAACCGTATAATATATTATTATTAATAATCAGTAAAATTACTGTACATTTTTTCGCGCAGCTCAGGAAGCATATATAGCAACACCTTCTCCAATTTTTCCCACAGTTACAACTTTGTGGGCTGCTTTGATCTGAGAGAGAATGACTGGCTTTAAGTCACCCAATAAACTTTCATGGATAGCTCCAGTCCTTCCAGTCCTAGGGAAACATCTTAACCACTTAACAAGAATCCCCCCTCCTTTTTTTTTTTTTTTGTTGTTGTTGTGTTATAATTTCCATTTTACTTGGGCATTTTATTTGCATTTCTAGGAGCAGAATTATTCCTTCTTTTCTTAACCTATTTGATTCTGCCTCTGTCTAGGCAGATCCTTTTCCTTAAGTCTGAGTGCATTAAGACAAAAATGTGATTGAAAACAAATATTTCAAACATAAAGTAACAAATTATGTCTACTCAACCTTCTGTAGCAAAGTGTATCTACAAATGTAAATGATTTTCATTGTTTATTTTTCAAGATCTGTATTCAGAGATACTTCTTACTATGCATAACCAAATGGTATGAAGAAATTAACTGCAATTTAGTATGTTTATTTTTTCTAATTATTTGAGGAATATATTGATACCATTCTGTTTTTTCTAAACAAGGAGAAAGGCAATATTCACATATTCATATCCAAACAAAGAGCAAATAAACATATTTCAGATGTGACATATACCAGGAGTATAGGTATACTCCTTGGAAAATGCTGCCAATTACGATTCCCTCACAAGTGACAATAGCAGGGTGTTGAAAGTGAATATGGCAGCCAATACCATGCAGTCAAAACCTACTTCCCTTTTTAATGTGTTACATGATTTAAAAATGGAATTAGGTTTTAATTGCTTGTTCATGGCTGCTTTTATGGCTTTTTTGAGTGCTGCTATTCACTCTTCTAGGCAACATGTTGTCAGTTAAAATTACTTTTCATATTAAAATCACATTAGGTTGGTACTACATTAAAGCAAGACATATTAAGACCAAATGAATTAGACAATGTGTGTGAAATTATAGTTCAGGATTATAAAATGCCTCCTTACCATTCCTTTGCCTTCACACTCAAATCAAATATTGTGTCCTAAAAAAAAAAGTAGGAAATAAAAGGTGGTTAAATGCTAGAGGATGTTTATGCTTTCAGAATACATTTTACTTTCTCAATAATATATATCTTTGTGGCTCAGTAAGAGTTTCAATGTGCAAAGAATTAGACACAAGCAATTGCCTTCATCCTACAGCATAACAAATTGGAAGCTTTATCTCAAAATTGGATAGATTAACCCTCACATATATTCCCCCAGATCCAGGTTTTAACCTAATAATTATATATTTAATAGTTAAATAAATGCCCGGCTTCAGGCCTGGGCACAGCACAGAAACGGCATTGGTCGCGTTGGTGGATGATCTCTGGAGGGCTCGGGATAGGGGTTGCTCCTCTATCCTGGTCCTATTAGATCTGTCAGCAGCTTTTGATACCATCGACCATGGTATCATGCTGCGCCGGTTGGAGGGGCTGGGAGTGGGGGGCACCGTTCTACGGTGGTTCTCCTCCTATTTCTCTGACCGGACGCAGTCAGTGTTGGCAGGGGGGCAGAGGTCAACCCTGAGGCGCCTTGTGTGTGGGGTGCCGTAGGGATCGGTCCTCTCACCCCTTCTGTTCAACATTTATGTGAAGCCGCTGGGCGAGATCATCCGTGGCTTCGGGGTGGAATTCCATCAGTACGCTGATGATACTCAGCTGTACATCTCCATCCCAACGATGCCCTTGAAGTGATGTCCTGGTGCTTGGAGGCCGTGCGGATCTGGATGGGGAGTAACAGGTTTCGACTCAACCCTTCCAAGACCGAGTGGCTGTGGCTTCCAGCGTCCTGATATAGCCAGCTGGTGCCATTGCTGGCTATTGGGGGTGAGTTATTGGCCCCCACGGAGAGGGCTCGCAACTTGGGTGTCCTCCTGGATGCACGGCTGTCTTTAGAAGAACATATGACGGCCGTGGCCAGGGAGGCTTTTTATCAGGTTCACCTGATTCGCCAGTTGCGTCCCTTTCTGGATCGGGACTCCTTACGCACAGTCACTCAGGCACTTGTCATTTCCTGCCTGGACTACTGCAATGCTCTCTACATGGGGCTCCCCTTGAGGTGCGCCCGGGGGCTCCAGCTGGTGCAGAATGCGGCTGCGCGGGGGATTATGGGAGCGAGAGGGCGCTCCCATGTGACACCTCTCCTGCGTGAGCTGCATTGGCTCCCGGTGGACTTCTGGGTGCGCTTCAAGGTACTGGTTACCACCTTTAAAGCGCTCCATGGCATCGGACCTGGGTATTTGCCGGACCGCCTTCTGCCGCCAATAGCCTCCCACCAGCCAGTACGCTCCCACAGAGAGGGACTCCTCAGGGTGCTGTCAGCTAGGCAGTGTCGGCTGGCGACCCCCAGGGGGAGGGCCTTCTCTGTGGCAGCACCTGCCCTCTGGAACGATTTGCTCCCGGAGATACGGAGGATATCAGATCTCCGGGCTTTTTGCCGTGCCCTAAAAACTTTTTTCTTCCATCAAGCAGGGCTGGCGTGAAATCTCCCCCCTCCCCCCATTTTTGAGATATTAGATTTTTTAATTGTTTAATGGGTTTTAGTCGTAAGTTTCTTAATGTTTGGCCAAAGGGTATAATTCTTTTAAATTTTTAAATTTTGTATTGGATGTTTTTTACTTGGCTGTGCACCACCCTGAGTCCACTAGGAGAAGGGCGGTATACAAATTTAAATAAAATAAATAAAATAAAATAATTAAAGATCCAATCAGATTTACCTGATATAAATTAGTATAGATAATAGAAAAACCATCTAACAAGATCATTTAAATAGCCATAAGTTCATAACTATATTGTAGATCTTTATTTGTTTCTTATTAATTTTTAAAATTTAAATTAGGCAAATGAAAAAACAAGATTTTCTTCATGACTGACTAGTGATCAAAAGAACTCTTGAACCCAGTCATAATGCAATAAGTGAAGCTTAGCTGAAATACTAATTTATGAAGAAAAGTGGATAATATCTGAAACTCTTTAATCAATTACATCCTCCCGCCCCCCCTTGGTGCTGCATAATGCTACAAAACCTAGCATAATCTGGACTATGGTTAAAAGTTACATCAAACAACAGGAATAATAAGAAAGAATTGAAAAAATATTCTTATGAAAATGACAGTACAAGTGGCATGTTAGAAGCCAATAACATTGGGCATTATGATATAGTCACATATGTGAAAACACTGGCCCTCTTTGCCCAGTCTTTGCCCAATCTTTATACCCGTGTTTTCATATTATCTCTTTGAACTAAAATTATATTTCCAAATTTTTGTCCTAAAAAGGCAACAGCTGATTCTCACCGGTGTTATCGTCACTTTCTCATTTATTGGAAGTGAGTTCAAAGGAACAGTTGTTGATTCATTGCTTTGTCTGGAAATCTGCATATAAAATAAATAAGTTCTGCTGGTTACTGACTGTGATGAAATCATTTGAATTTCAATAAATAAGTACATTTCTGCTAGGAAAAAGTGTGACAAGGAATTGGCTGGGGCTAGAATAGCTGTAGTGATCATGAAGGAATATTTGATGCCCAGGAAGTGGAATGACCACTGCTTGTCTCAGCACTAATTCTTTTCAAGGTATTTAAGCAGGGACTTCAGCAACTTTGGCCTTGTTCTGATTTTTGGAAGTGTTCTAGATTGACTACTAATGAGTGTTCTTTGATGGCAGTCTATTGCTCAGCCCAAATGTCTGGTCCCCCTCCCATCAAACTTCTAAGAATTATAAGGCATTTCCACCCAACCCCAAAGTCACATTTGTACTGATTGATAAGCATTCTCATCACAGATGCCACGAAATTGACCAATATGCCATCCCTCCTATTATTATTATTATTATTATTATTATTATTACTTTTATTACTATTATTGCTATCATCATCATCATCATCATCATCATCATCATCATCATCATATGGCATTGTTACAGTATCCAGGAGACCACAATGTAATTGTAGAGTAGTAGTTTGGCTTGTCAAGGTACCAGCCCTATTATAAAACACATTTATGTGCTTTCCAAGGTACAACACAAGAGGGCAAGATGGCTTCACACCAGAAAGTGTGGCACTTCCTGCAGCATCACCCAACCCCCCCCCTCCTTTCCTGGAGCTGCTTGGCAAGTGGGCACCACAACAAGGAAGGTTCAGAGCTATCAGGAATCTGACTGAATGCACAGAGCACCAGCTCCTCTCCCCACCAAAGTGGTACCTATCTATCTACTTGCATAGAACATGCTTTCAAACTGTTAGGTGGACAGAAGGTGAAGCAAGTGGCAGGAGCTCATCCTGCCATGCAATGCTTGGGCTCGAACTGCAGAGCTGAGACCATCTCCAGAGTCATTAAGTCACTGAACCACCATGCCTCTTACTTCCATTTCCTCCAATGAGGCTGTACAAAAAAAAAAATGATGGTCCAACCACTGCCCCAGTCCTACCTCAAAATTGCCATCTCAGGTTTGTTGTATGGGGTGGAGTATAAATAGGTAGTGGCATTAAAGACACCAAGTTGTGCCTTAAATCCAGCAGTCAGGATTGGAGAACAGTATCAAGGTGCAAGAGTTTATTTGCAAAGTTTCCCCTGAAGCAGCAGTTGAAGCAGAGGTGGCTTAGCTGCTGGAGGCCTCCCTGGACCAACAAAGTTGTGGGGACACAGCTATGCAACACACTCTCAGATAGGCACAGGCTATAAGCATGGAGACAAGCAACTTACTGCACAGAACTGTCTTCTTGGCAATTCAATGTTAAGATCTGATTGGTTGTATTTGATATAGTGAAATTTAGCAGGAGAAGCAGGACAAAGCCAGTAACCTAAAGAGAGATTTTGAGCTTCTTCATAGGATCCATCCACTGAAAGAGTAAAAGGTCTTTCTAAATGAAAGACAAAACAAGATTGAGATTAATTAATGATCCTATGAAAATATGCACAAACATTGAAAATGCCATTTAGATTCCTTGATTAATGAAAATTTCTAGGAAGGAAGGAAGGAAGGAAGGAAGGAAGGAAGGAAGGAAGGAAGGAAGGAAGGGAGACAAGAGAAGAGAAGAGATCTTTGTAAAATCCCCCTTTAATCCCCAGTCCCAGCTCCATACTATTTTGAAGATTACTTAATGTTTTTTGGGAAGCGCAGAATTTAACAAGAACCAAGGAAATTAATCTCCCCCCCCAACTTCTTTCTGTGAGTAGAACTTCATTCTCTGATCACTTGATTCAATCATTAGATTGGAGAGCAGCATAAATCAAATTTATATTCTGTTGGTATGTGAATTCCAGCATAACATATTAGAGATCCCTTTAGAATATGAAGGATATCAAACCATGCAAAAATATCTAAGAGCACATGTAACAGACCAAATCTAGATACTGAAAACAGTGATGAATTAAGAAGGAATGAATAACCACCTTCACAATTAGCTATTGCCATAAAATAAAGTAAGATGACATATATGGAAACTGACTGTTCCTTTAGTGTCATCCCAGCCACCCCAGGAGGAACATTGAAGGATATTGCTCTGGTATTGAAGTGACATACAACTGCCAAGAGGAAGGAGATGTCATGTGATCCTTTGCTTCGGGCATCTAATTTTCATAAAGCACTCCAGATTCTCTCATTTTATTGCCGGATTAGAATATGCAAGGAAACTGTATCCCTGAAAAGGTAAGATGAGTATTGTCCCTGTCTTAAGTAACAGAGTTCAACATAGTTCTAGGGGGCAACAAAAAAAAATGTTTTTTCTCAAAACATGAATTATCCAGAATGTTTGCTATATTAGGATGTAATTAAATAGCATATTGTAGCTACTTGGCAGTACAAATCAAATGGGGTATTACATTCCACTGGATGTTACATCCTTATTGCATTTTTACGAAAGCTACTCTTTATAACATCTTTGGGAAGGAGTGATTAAAAAGGGGACAGATACAGATCTGGTCTTTTTCTATAGATTTCACCAAATCTGCACAACCATATGCAGCACCCCACTGTAGGGAGTTTATGGTGAGATTTGCTAAATGTTGGATGCTACAAACACAAACTCGAAAAGTTCTGTGAACCTTGGGATAGGCTACAGTTCACAATGAATAGACTTGATGTTGTTTCATAGGTCTCTGATGAATCTTGTAGGTGAGCTATGAATCTTATTTTACATTTCTGAATTTCATCTGTACCATACATTCAGTACATAAACAGATTCCTCCTCTCTACTAATAGGAATAATAACATTTACTTTCCTTTCAGAAATGTAGTAACAATTTCACTATTTTAATGGACATGGTTGCAACTGTTAGATAAATGTTACATGCACTTTTTTAAAACTTCAGTTGTGTATTTAAATCCAAATAAATTAATTTTAATAAATCTGCCGCATTTTAGAAATAGATAAAAATAAATTGAGACATATACTGGCATATTTTTATATATGTATTATAGAACTTCTGAAAATGTATTGTCATTGGATTGTCATGGGAAAATAATTGTCCTTTTTCTGATCCCACTGGATGATCCATCAGCAGAAAAATCTTTCTAGATTTAATATAATCAACTGTCTTATAGAGGCCTATAAAAATTTACATTTAAAATTAAATGGAGAAGGGGATGTCTAAAATAAATTGCAAAAATGACAATGTATTAATTATGGGTTCAGTTCAGCAATTATCCAAAATGCTTTGAATGGTAAGGCCCAAAATTGTTGAGTTTGTCAACACTTTCTAATAAAAGTCAAAATCCCTCTTTGCTAGGTTTCATGCATGTCTTTTCCCCCATTTAATCCAAATTAATTCTGAATTTTGCTCAGAGAAGATGCACTGTTTGTCAATATTTTACTTTTCTGCAATGTTACTAATGCAATTAAAATGTTTTTGAACATTCCATAAGTTCATAGCAGTTCAGTATGGATTGTGAAAGGGACAGCTTGCAAAGAGGAAAACAAAATACTAATCGGTCCTTCTTGCATAATATAAAAATCAAAAGTTGCAATTTACCTGATAAGACACCTTTTCTTCTTCCCCCATTCACTTGAACTTCTAAACAGGCAACTTCACGAGACTGTATAAGATTTGTTATTTTAAAAAATGTAATAATAAAAGATGTTGTATAGGGCAAAGTTACATTTTTATACTTCTATCCCATGAGTCTGTTATGCAGAATGACATGAAATTTAAATGGTACATAAGACATCAGGCCCTAAGCACTGAATTTATTTATAAGCACTGTGCTAACAATATGCACGAATGAAGCATATGAAGGAATAATTAAGCATGGCATTTTGATTTCTTTAAAAACCTTTTTCGTTTCTACTCTCTAGTCAATATCCATTTGTTTCCAGGTTGCAAGATATGCTTCAGGCTTGGTTTTTCTAAGTTTAGTATTTAAATTTACAAGTATTTGAGTAAATCCTTTCAGAGTAATAAGCAGCCCTAGTAGGTGTGAGAGGCTAGCATAGCCTTGTTTCTCCTTCCCCCAGGCCGTGAAACTAGGATCAGATACTACAACAACTAAAAGTGTGTCCAGGTCATCTGCTTGTTTTCTGTCTTCCAAAGTGCCCGCATGTCTTGGAAATAATAGAGACAGAAGGAGATTCCTGGATTTTATACTTTCAGAAGGTGGGGGGGGGGCTCAACTTGTAAATCATTTTTCAATTATCCATTTTAATCACTCAGTCAGCCAGATGATCAGATTGGATTTGGCATTTTTGTCTACCTATTGAGTTCTTACCAAACACCTGTGATAGGCAAATCTGGATATTTGACGGTATTATAGATATCACCGCAGGATGGAAGCAGTTCCAAGTAGCCGCCTTCTGCAATTGACTAATGACAAATTTGTCAATGCCTATGGTGTTCAAGTGGTGCTCCAGTTGTTTTGGGATTGCACCCAAGGCGCCTATTACTATTGATACTACCCTTGCTTGCATTTGTCATAGTCGTTCTATTTCTATTTGTAGGTCTTTGTATTTTGTTATCTTCTCTTCTCTTCTGCTGTCTCCAGGCATTGCCACATCCACTATCCAGACTTTTTTATCTTTCTTATCGACAACTGTTAATTCCAGGTATAATGTGGCAGGTGCCTGTCTGGATTCTGAAGTCCCAGTGCAACAAGCACCTGCCACATGACACCCCAGACTTAACAGTTGTCGATAAGAAAGACAAAAAAGTATTATTATCATTATTATTATCTCTTTTATTCATTAAACATGAAACTCAGTCAACTGAACATTTAAAATGTATTATTATTATTATTATTATTATTATTATTATTATTATCTAGATTTTTTATCCCTTATTATTACTTTATAGGTAACTCAAAGTGGTGCACATACATAATACTCTTTCTACATCCTGCCATATTCCCCACAACAACCCTGTGAGTTGGCTGGGCTGAGAGAGAATGTCTGGCCCATTCCAGTCAGACTGATTCATCTTATTTTTTTTATGTTAGTTTCTTTTTTACTGTTGTGTGCATGCTTTGCTCCCTGCCTTTTACTGTTTACCATTTTGCTTGATAAATTTGGAGAAGTACAATTTTATATTCTAGTTCTAATTCAGCTAATCACACCAAATACAGAATTTAGGATCTTTTTTCATTGTGACACTATTATCTTTTATATGGGGGCTGTTGTTATTTCCAGCATCATTCCTTCTGAATAAAAGATTGTATAACCACACGTGGCAACACATTGCTCAATTTTCCAGCTAGCTATTATCTTTTGAGCAATAGAAAAAAAATGTTCATCCAGGCCTTGTAGTACAATTTCTTGCCCTAACCTATTTAAGCCATAGAACAGGCTATCCTAAGCAAATATTTATACACTAACAATGTATTTTTTATAATGTACATATCAATAGAATATGTTGGGAGGCAAAGCTTGATATGAGTGCAATTTCTTGATAGCACTCTTCTTACCAATATAAAAAAAATAATAATAATTCAATACAAAGCCCTCAGATTGGGGAAGATCTGATATATGACTCTTCTAGCCCAGGCTTGTTCCAAGACAAGTGTTTCAGTAAATTGTCCAAGTGAACAATTTCTACCCAATCACCCAGAGGAATGTTAAGATGGGCAGCAGCTGAGCATCCTCAGTTTAAGATGCTTCCCTTCACCAGCTATTCAATTCAAAAGCTAGAGTAAAATAGCAAAATTACCACTAAGACTCCATTGGTATGAATTTTTTCTGGAACATCAGGGCTGAAAAGGAAAAAAAATATACATTATTTCAATCGATGTTTTAACAAGCAGGGACAATATTCCTTCTGACATGCTTGTAATCTTCCATGCGTCAACTCCATAACTTGACTGCTCAGACTAGATATTCATTGGACTTCATGAGGAGGAACATGGTCTTACTGTCTCCATCAAGGAGTATTTGGGCTTAGCTCAAAAGCCCTTTATATGGTATTCTTTCCAGAAAAAGTGGAAGCAGGTTGGAAGGGATGCTAGAACTACTATGATCACTGAAGAAAATGACACTCTTCTATTATTGCCAGATGAGTTAAATCTGGATGCATATTGACAGTAGTATCTAGTAGGCAAGGTCTAAAGCAAGCTGTCTATGCTAGCAATTCCCTTTTATGGTTCACCTTACAGTTTTTGCTCTTACCTGCTCTCCATTGTGAATTCAACTTCTAGTTCCTCCTTGCCCTGAAAATATAAAATAAATACAATGTTTCATATTTGTATACATTTCTGCACATTCCTTTAGGAACAAGCCCTTTTAATGCTTAAATAAGGTTCCTTTGCAGAAACATACAATGCAACCAGGTCCTTTCCTCACCAGTACCACTGCCTCCAATACCCACAAATTAAATATAGATGGCTAATTCAGGGAAACCAATATAACTGAACAAGGTAATGCTTTGTCTCTTATGTACAATATTTACGGAATATTTTTTACAGATAGAGTGATCTATATACCTGGAAGCAGAAAGGTAAAATATTTCTTGAAACCACAGTGATGTTACAGACATCACAGCAAATCAAATAAAAACATCCAATTTGCACATCATTTGTATCATTTGCACAAAGATATTGTTGCGCACATGTTATTACTTATCTCATCTGTGTGTCTATGCTCCTCATAAAGGATTTGCCACCCAAAATGAAAAAAGAAATGGAAATGAATGGAGAAAATGAGTTTATTATTAATCTGTCTTAATTTAAAGGCTATTCATGTGGCTATCACTTTGTGACGTTGGTGTCCATATGCCTGATTTGCCTAAAACATCTCAACTCCAGACCAAAATATTTAAAGGAGAATGGACACCACTCGCATTAGTGATAATGTGGACAAAAATTTCCTGAGTTTTTCTTCTATTAGAGAAAATCCTGCATTTGTCTTCTACCAGTCCTTATTTAGACCGCTGTAAAAAGTATTTGATGTATGTGTTATTTGTAATTGATTAGGAGTTAAATATGATGTTACTGGTTTTATTTGAATGTCTTGCTTCTCATTGTTCCATCACCTGTCTGATGACCTGTAGCTACCCTGACTTCCCATGCTTCTATTAAATCCCAGGGAAAACCCATGTGGGCTTTTCAGTAATGGTTTTAACTGTCATCACTAAAGAGAAGTTCTGCCCTTGAAAAATTGAGAATCTTTCCTACATTGGACAAATTCAAAGACTTTTTAGCCCACAAAAAAATAATAATCCAAAAAACTATTTGCTGACTAACTATAGCTCATAAATTACATATTTGATATGAAAAATACTATCTTATGCAGACTAAACATCCACTTTTAATATGGCTCCACATTAGCAGAGTGAGAATGTTATGAAAATCCAGAGAAACGTTTCTTTTCCATCAAGTGGAAGAAGCAGGTTTGTTAAGTTTAGCAGTCACCTTTGGATTCAGCTGAAAGCTCAGGGGAACCGTTTCTCCAAGTTGGATTTTAGATACATCAAACATAACAGTCAGGAGGTGGTCATCTTCTGTAATTTTGTCTTCATCATAGACTTTAAATTCTAAAATATTCTGGAGAAAGAACAACAAAAAGAACTTCAGAATTCTATCCATGACTTAGGCTAGCATCCTGCCTCAGCCTATTTTTCTCCTTTGATGTTTCATTTGTTGTTAGGCAACAAAAGAGTGGACATTACTTTGCAAAAATAATGGAGCAATTATACTGTATGTACTAACAGCACAATGGCAATAACACTTGGTAATTATTGCTCTTAGTACTTAGCGTTAGCTTAGTACTTAGCAATAGCACTGAGACTTTGGAAAACTGCAAAGAAGAGCAACTAAGATGATTAAAGGCCTGGAGAATATTTGCAGGAATTGAGTATGGCTAGTCTAGAGAAAAGAAGGACTAGTGGTGACACGATAGCAGTATTCCTGTATTTGAGTGGCCTCTACAAAGAAGATGGGATCAATTTATTTTACAAAGCACCAGAAGGCAAGACAAGAAACAATGAATGGAAACTAAGGAGAGAAGCAACCTGGAATTAAGGAAAAACTTTTGGCAGTGGTTTACTCTCCAAACTTGTTTCAATTTAGTTTCTGAACATTTCGTTACCAGACTAGGTAATATCATCATCAGGATTTTCTTGTCTTATTCTCCTTAGTTTATAAATGATTAGTCATTTGAATGTCTGGATTCTTATGTATAATGACCAATCAATAAGAGAACCAATTAGTTGCTCAGAATTTAAATATAATTCCAAACAAACAACTAATCACATGACCAACTGACCACACTGGCACACAAGACATTTATAAGCGAAAGAGAATAAGACAAAAGAATCCTGCTGATGATGTTACCTAGACTGGTAACGAAACGTTCAGAAACTAAATTGAAACAAGCTTGGAGAGCAAACCATTGTTAAAATCTAAAACCCGAGCAACAAGTATTTTCTATTATTTTAAGGAAAAACTTCATAACAGTGAGAACAATTAACCAATGGAACAGCTTGCCTTCAGAAGTTGTAGGTGCTTCATCACTGGAGATTTTTAAGAAATCACTGGACAGCCATCTGTCTGGAATGGTATAGGGTCTCTTGTTTTAGCAGGGGGTTGGACTAGAAGACCTCCAAGGTCTCTACCAGCTCTATTTTGATTGATTGATTTACTGCTTCATAGTCTTTACAGCCCTCTCTAAGCGGTTTACAGTATATAGCCCCCAACAATCTGGGTCCTCATTTTACCGACCTCAAACCAATGGAAAGCTTAATCAACCTTAAGCCAGTCAGAATTGAACTCCTGGCAGCGAGCAGTAAGTTAGCTTGCAATACTGCATTCTAACCACTGCGCAACCATGGCTCCTGTAGGTGACTTTGTTTGTTTTTATTTCTAACTGCAGATCTGACTACATAAATATTTATCGTTATTGTTTCTACAATCCATCAAACAATAATAGCTTTCCACATAACAGGATTTGCTTGCCAATAAAATGACAAGATGTGAGTTATTGTAGGAACTTAGCCCAGTACTATTGCATATACTGCAGTGTAGTCATGGAAAAGTTCTATTTTATTAACATGAAATTAAATATGGAAATCCCTATGGATTTGTAGCGCTTTCCATGAAACTTTTTAAAAATACAAAAGGAGCAAGATTTTGTTCGTTTGTTTGTTTTCTGCCCAATTCCCAGTTACTCCAGAACTGCTATTCATCCAGGGAACAAGCATTTCTTATGTTATGAGGAGAAGTTAGGCCTACTCTGCCTTGAGGGGTTTTTTCCCAGCTGTCTTGGTCTCTGTAGATTTGCATAGAGAACTCTCTCACTGTGTCTCTTAGTGGAGTAAAGCGGTTGTGCCTGAACAGACATGTGGAGCGAATAGAGAAAATTTTGCAAGTCGATGCACCATACAGTTTGGGTATTTTCAAATGCTGTTTGAAATGCTTGAAAAATGAGTGAAAGAGGCATCAGGTGTGTGTTTCATTGTTGTTTGTTGTGAGGAAAAAAGGGAAACAAAATGGCAAATTTCCACTATTGCATTGTCTCTTGCCTGAGGTCTGATTCTTGAATACCTTGGTAATTCATCTCTTGTTGAATGGATTGATTCACAGTCCTTTTGTTTGTTTGCTCTAGTTTTATGGTTACTTGAAGTGACTGTTGAACAGCAAGCAAAACTTGAAATATTGAGAGATATTGTTCTATAAGTACGCAATCAGGCATGAATTTTTCAAAACTAGTCTCATTGCATAGTTTTAGCCTCTCTACATTATTATTTGTATATTCAGTATAAAAGGGATTCCCCCAAAAACATCTGGGAATTTCCTCATAGAAATTGGGCCTTTAATGGCATCTGATTGGAGAGGAGAGGGAGGTAAAAAAAATCAATATGACAGCCATGGTCACATGATCAAAGCCCAGCCCTTTATTAAATGTGTCAGAGATAAAAGGGGGCAGGGTTTCAATTGCACATCTTGATTTCATTCCCCCACCCAAACAAGGACAGCCTGTCACACTTGGTACCTTCTAAATATGTTAGAACACAGCTCCAAGAATTTCCTTACCTTTACTTTGTTCTGAATTCTGAAGTGAAAAGTTTCATTCCACACAGGATCCTTAGAATCTTTGATGGTCTGTGTCTTCATCCTTTTCACTGAAGCGGTAGGTAAGTATAAACTCACATAGCAGTCAGACTGGGTTACTGTACCAAAAGACATGGAATTTTACTAATAATGTAGCAATGTGTGATGATTATATACAAAGTTATATCAGTTTCTCAATATGTAAAGTTATTTAGTCACGTCAGTTGACCCAATCGTAGATCCAAATAGAGGATAGCAGGAGAAAAAGGGTTTGGGGTCAGAAGAGACAGGACAAACATGGCTAGTCCATGATATGTGGATTTAAAATACATTATTAGTAGATTGCAGAACAATAATTATGCAGTTCCTTGGGGTAATGAACCAATCTAGAATAGAAACATACTCTAACTGGACATTTTCATAGTGGATTCATGATCCAAAATATATAGGAACACGATTCAGGATTTCCAAATTTCTTTGTTCATATAAGTACAACTTGCATGTGTATTTTTATTTTGTTTTGTTTTGTTTCAATGCCATGCCTATTCCCAAAGGCCCTGGATAGCTAACAAACATCACAAAGCAACCCCTCTCAAATAAATCCACCCAGAAAATAAATCAAATATAATATCAAAATTATACAAAAAGAAAGAAGTATAAACAGGGAAGCTACTGTCCACCAGGGGGAGTAGTAAAACTCTTCTTTCAGGCCTAACCACACAAGCAAAGTTATACTACTCTATTTATCCTTTGAGTGACATCTTTCAAAATTGGGCCAATTTTATGCTTTGGCTAGTTTACAGTAAGTTGTTGTGAGATAAATGGCTGGATTTGGCTTTGTAATTAAGCAAATGCCTACTTCTATCCTCATGACTAATTTTGCCTTAAAATTAATCAGAGAAGAAGACACATAAATTAGTAAAGTTGTCCATGTACCTAGCTCTTATTTCTGGAACAATAACAAAAAAAAGGATTCTTGAGCTAAGAATCTTCAACGCTTATAAATTAAAGCACAACTCATTGTGAATACAAGAGACCAGATGCCTAAGCTAGCTCTTGTGTTTTCAAACAAGAATGTTTGCATACAGTCTTCTTGGATAGAACAAAATAAAATAGATATTAAGGATAGGGACTCAACATTTTTAATACTGACCATGCGACTTCTGGTGGCTCCGCGTTCCCCGAATGGATGCTCCTTTAGGAGCTCCAGCCCCGTGATTCTGTTTGCCACTAGAACAGCAAAAATCAGCTGTTCTAGCGGCTCGAAACTCTCCCCCAGGGAAAAAGGGGGAGACAAGAGCAGAAGGGTCTGGGTAGAGCTCCCCTAGACCCCCAGGCGCTTTTTTTAAGCCTGGGGTTTGCAGGGTGAGAGCTCCCTGAAAGCCCTTCAGTGCTCCGGATCCGGGACGATTCTGCTCTATGCAGAACAAGGGGTCGCGACCACACCAGCAGTGCAATTTTAAGGACTATGAGAAAATTCGAATTTGGATGCTGGCAGAGCAAATCAGGATAACAGAAAATGCAAGTATTAAACTTTAACTCCGTTTAAAAGAAAAAGGAAAAAAGATGGTGCTTAAGGGCATTTAAAACATTTAAAAAGTGAAAGTGATCATTAAAGCTGCAACATTGTAAAAGCTACCGGATTACGTGGCAAGAAAAAGATTTAAAGTGCTAGTGAAATGAAAAAGACTATGGTATTGACCTCAACTATTTTATACTTCTAAATTGTGTGAAAAACTATTGGATTTATTGACCTGATAGCTGAATAAACTTAAACTGGGAATTGAAATATGGCTGACAACAAGGATGGAGGATTATTACTATATGAGCCAGCAAATTCACAAGTTGTGACTGTAGAGGTTTTACAAGAACTTTTAAATTTCTATACTTCTGCTATACTGGAATCAATTGAAAGGACTATTCAAAATTATAATCTGGAGAACAAAAATGATTTGCTGGCTGGAAAAGAGCAAGAAAATCAAACTAATTTGTCTTTGGAGCAGGGAAAAGAGGCTGTCAGGAACACGATGGAAGTTACCACATTGAAAACAGAGGTTTTGGCAGAGGATTCTATGCAGTTAACTGAAAAGCAGCAAATAGACTCTTTCCTGCAGACTGATAAACTTTATCGTGACAATTCTTGGTTTTATAGACAGAATCAATTTTTAAGGGAGGAAGTGACTGATTATAGCAGGAAGAGTAGAAATGGAGCTTTCAAAATGAAGGAGATAACTTTAAGGAGAGAGCGATTTTCAAAGATGCATCAGTCTCAAATCTACATTCAAAAATTTTTGAAAATAAAAGCAGGGGGAGGAGCAATGTTGAAGGAGAGAGTATTATTGAAGAAGAAGGATTGGAAAAAATATAGAAAGAAAGGAAGAATTGAAGATTAATATCTTTTGGGGAGGATTTTAATAATAAATCTGAAAAGTCTATTGAAATTAGCACTTTTTTTAAGTTTAAGTAAAAATGTTTAACTAAAAATGGATAGCTTTTTTAAAAAATGACTGTGGTATTATAATGGTTAACTTTAAAGTTAATGGATAGTTTTCTGAAAGTTTTGAAATTGATATTTTGAAGAATGAATTTAAGACTTAGAAATAACTAAACTCAATGGATTAATAGTATCTTTAAGGTTATATTCTGAAGAATATTTTATTGAAGTATTTTTTTGAGAGAAAGAAAAAAGAAAAAAAAAGAACTTAATGAAGTACTAAAATGGTTAATTTAAAATTGAATGGATGCAAAATAATATCTTCTTTTTTTTCTTTTTCTTAAAGAGATATGCTTTAAAGAAAGTTTTAAAATGTTTAAATTAGAATTTTAAAAGGGGAGGCTGATGAACAATTTTTAAAAAGAGGAGTTAAAGAGGGTGAGGGAGTTTTGAATCTTGTAGCAAGTTAGTATATTTTAGCTTATGTTTAGTTTAATGCTATACCCTGTTTTTGCTCTGGGAAGTTGGGGGTGGGGGTGGGGAGGGGGGATAGAAGGTTGTGTGGGGATAAAATGGTGGTCTAATTTTTAATGTAATTAAAAGATAGATTAAGGTATTAATAGAGAAGTAAGAAAAATGGGGGAAATGTTATAATAAAGGGAATGACAATATTAAGATATGATAAATATTGGAGGAGTAAAAAGAAGATTTAAAAGATGTACTCAGAAGATATAATGATTGATTATGTATTGTTTGTTTATTTATAAAATAAAAAACTTTTTTTTATAAAAAACATATTTAATACTCAGCACGATAAACTTAATATTTGTAAGGTTGAAGAGCTATTTTAAAATATATATAACAAGTAGAAATTTGATGGAGAAACAACTTGCATGGAAATACAAAATGGACCCTAGTTTTCTCAGACTTTATACAATATACAAAAGACAGAGCTTTTTCCCATATGTAGGTAGGGATTGTTCATATCCCCTATAGTAAGATATTCTTTCATGCACATAAATTACCACCACAACCTTAGGATCGTTCTTGGGCAATAGAATGCACAAGGCTGAGTGGCTTATACTGGTTCACAGACATTTAACTACGACTATTAAACAAGGTGCTAATTATCACTCCTACTGGCAAGGCTGGGGCTTAATTGTGCTGCATAACCGGAAACACAAAAGCTAAAACATTCAGGTGACAAACCTTTTGTCATACGTCATGTTTCAACAGCAATACACTTGCTCCATAATAGCTCTATTTTCTTAGAGGGACCGTGGTGGAATCTGACACCGAGTGTGTTGAAAAGAATGAAACTGAATAGGCCTTGAGTCCTTTGTGGGGAGCAAGCGGCTAAAGGGAGACCCACCCTAAATTTTGCAGTATTTATCTAGTACTTGTGCAGTGTGTGCTTCAGTCTGGCAAGACTCCTCTCTCTAGATGACCATCAAAAAGATATACTGATCTGATCAGTTCATCATGCCCTTTCTGGTTCCTTGCACCTGACATGGACATTTTTTAAAAATGGAGTAATCATACTAATTTGAATTAGGATTTTTAATACATCATGGAATTCCACATGCTGGCATGCTGATTATGAGGCTCTTTTGCTTTCACCCATTTTATATTAAACCAACAAAGAAATTAAACTTGCTCTGATTTCCCTGAAAAGCCATATCTACTTGGTGACATGCTAAAAACATTCTAACATAATTTGTTTCACCATGAAAAACTCAACCTGACATTCTAGAATTAGCTGAATTTGAAGCATGAGTGCCAATTTCTATCTACTCCAGAAGATTTATATGGAGAGCTATTACTAAGTTATTTCTTAACATGAGAAATCTTACTGCATGTCTAATCTTTCATCCATTGGTCATCCCTTCATGAATGTGACTAAGCATGAACTTGGTTAGAGATAAAAAACTTGGAAAGGAATCTAGAAGCAGTGGATACATCACTCATAGGCAAGCAATAACCCTGTTGAAGGACTGATACCCAGAGGAAGGAAAATTTTAGTGGGAAGAAAAAGTTCTGATAGTCTCAAGTCACAGAACACTACATTCACTTCCCTGAACTCTTGAAGATGTTATATAATTCTAGAAAATAATAAAAATTATGACTCTTCAGAATGTTTGAATGGGTCATCAGCTTATGGATATATCAGCCTAAACAGTAGAAGTGAAATCCAATATAAAATCCATGAATCAGCCACAATATCTGTGTGTATATATGATGGATGTTCTATCCACAAATCAAATGTGAGTAGTTTCAGAAGCGAGGTTCAACAGATTGATAGGGAGGAAAAGTATGTCAAAGGGATAAGGACAATATTTATTTATTTATTTGCTTTTATCAAATTTAGGCACTTTCCATTTCACTACCAAATGACTCTTGTTTGGTTGGGGAAAGGGTCCTATGATATTTCCAACATACCTAGAAAAAATAAGGTGCACCATATTGCCAAACAGACCTATAGGTTAAGATCTAGATTTAAAAGGCAGGTGCGAAAGCAAACTGGTTTTGCCATATCCTGAAAAGAAAGGTGGGAGGAATGAAAAAATCAAATAATCTTCTGAGGTGGAATATGAGTACATTCATTCTCACTTTTCAACCATGTTAATAATCAATCCTGTTGAGATCCTGCAAGCACAACCTGTCCATCCATCTGCCTCCACAGCT